CCTGAATATAAGAATAGTTGTGCTTATGTGACCTAAGAATGAGCTGTTTTTATCTACAGAGGGAGCGGGTCCTCTTCTACAAAGTCCGCCATGTTTCTACAGTAGCCCAGAAGGGACAGAACAAACACAGGCTCTAGATAGGGCCATTCAATGCCACTAAATGCTACACACTGTTCCTTTAAATCCATTTATTTTTTGTAAAAAAGTATAAATTCAAGATTACCTTTATTTGGTAATGTAATCAGAAAATACAAGATTTTAGGCAATTTTGTGTCTGTTTATTAAAGCTGCAATAGGTAACTTTTATAAAAATAATATTTTACAAGCATCCACTGGGCCTTAGTGACAACTACCAGTCAGAGCAGAGAAAGATAGTTGTTTGTTGAGTCTCATTCCCAAAGCGTCTGTATTTAACGACCTAGGAATGAGACTTAACATTCAACTACTTTCCTTGGCTCTGATTGGTCGCTTTTGCCCGGTGGATTGTTGAAAATGCCATTAGAAAATTTCAGCAAATATGACAAAATATTTTTTTTCTTTTAACACCTACTGCAGCTTTAAACCAGTTAAATCAGGAGTGAATTTGTAGAACTTCTGAAAGTTTTGGGATCCAGAAGTTAAACTGGACAGTACAGTCCATGCTAATATTGAAACAATTCCTAATCAACTATTTGATTAATAGAAAATGTATCTAAGAATCTTTTAGATGATGGAGGAATTGTTTTGGTAATTTATCAAGCAAAAATGCCAAACAAATGGCTTTTCAGGTGTGAGGGTTAACTGCTTCGTAGACTAAATCTCATTGTTTTTGTGGCAAAACAAAGCATTTAAAGACACCTAGGACTGTGAGAAATAATAGTTTGGTGACATTTTACAGAACAATTATTAGTTGATGAATCCAGAATAACAATCAGGTTCAAATTTAATCTTTAGCTTTAGTGCGTGTACAACTGATAAATCTCAACAGTTCACTGACCATGTGCAGAGTTTACTGTATCTACTACCCTCCGGTGGACACTTTTGGTAAGAAACATCCAAGGTACAAGTCTTTGTGAAACCCCCTTTAAATCAGACCATAATTAAAACAGACAGGTTATGGTTTTACATATTTCATATACAAACTCTGATAAATATTGTGTATGGGGAGAACAACACGGCAGTTTTTTTTCCTCTACATTCATTCCACACAAGCAGGACTTTCGATTGCCAGAGAAAAATATGGCAAATGCAAAAACTTGTGGGTGTTTTTAAGAGTAAAGCTGTTCATATACACAAGGTGTAGCCCTGGCCTCTTAACTTACAAGGTTTCAATAAGAGATGTTCTATACCTTCAGAAGATGTGTGACCCTCCTAAACAGACAGGGAATTTATGATTTAGAGAGGTGGACTACAAAAATGTTATGTTCCCTTTCACTAATTCACATCTTCTCTGCTGCTAGCAAAAAAATCTGACATTTTCCAAAAGATTCACATCTTCCATTTACATATGAAATGTATTGTTTCCAGCCTAGGAACCCGACCGATGTGTAAGCTAATATTTGATTTGCTCAGGCAGATAGAATTCACATTTGTGAATTAGTCTGGGGATGCCAGGCTGTAGAGTTTTAATCATGTTCTGTAGTGTATCTTTTCATTTGAAGGTAGTGAAATCAGGAGAATGTCCCGAGTAAAATCAGCAATCATAACAGATAACCGTTTTCCCATCTGAATATAAAATTTGTGCCTCCTAAAGCAGGCCCAAAATGTCCACAACTGTACATCGAAGAGAACTACAACATAACGGGAAGTTTAATACATTTCACTCAAGGTCAGTCTGAAGTCAGTTTTTAGCCTGGCCAGGACCCAGTCACTCCGTTTCTCGGTTGTCCCACACGACTTATTAAATCTCACAAATCACGTTTATGCAAAATCATTACTGCAAAATGTCAAAATACACTGCTTTATCAAATGACTCTTTCCCAGAGCAGAGAGACATAGACAGTCTGGTGGGGAGACGGGACAGTGTTTTGGGGGGCAGGTGACATTCAGGCTTCTGCACTACCTTGTTTCTAAGGAGAGGACATTAGCAGAAGCAACAGGACAAGCAGAGAGGTGCTACTGCGGACGGCCACACTTGATTGTATAGGTTCAATGTGGATTTGGTGTCTAAGAGTTGTAGTGCATTATGTTCTTTATTAGCTGTGTGTGTGTGTGTCTGTAAGATGAAATGGTACAAGAGAAAATTACTCATTACTCATTTTAAATACTTTTTAGGAATATAACCTGATCCATGTCCTCAAATATGAATCATGTTTGAATCATTTACAGTAATTCTGGACTGGTTCTGTTCTAAAAATTGGTCATTTACTTTTTCTCATTTAAATACTTGTAGTATTTCCTTTTTTTTTGAAGACAGGAGTAAATGTGAGTAAAATGCTTCTGTACTGCTTCCACTTGTGTTGTATGCATGCTTTTATATATTTATTTATGTTGTCCACAGATCCAGAAGCCTTCTCCATGTCTTTATGAGTCCAGCCGTCAGTGTGGATGTTTGAGGACTGTTCTTCTGAACTCCCCCTGAAAGAGAAGCCAGAGCAGAAAACAATGTTTTAGTCACTTAGAAAGTACTCTAATAATCCAGGTGAGAAAACATTGCATGTAATGTTGCAGGCATTGCCCCAAAGCTCATCTATCACACTGAGCTGAGGTGTCCGATACAGTATGTAAACTAGCTTTAGTGAGATACTTTAGAGTTCAGGAACTGTAGCCTCTTTATTTGTTTAAATAGTAACATTGTGCCTGGTAACACCAGAAAATGCAAAAAAAGCAAACATGTATTTGCATCTCTGTGAGAAACAGACGGCGCTGGCAGCTCGGTGACATGGTGGCAACCTGCAGGGCCAGCTGGTGGCCACGTCACAGCTAGTGAGCTATTCTGTAATATGCTAGCTCTAGCAGCTAAAGCAGTCAGCCAAGGAGGCTTGCAAACTGCCAGTTAGTGAGCAAGCATTGCTTCAGATAAAAAGAAAAACGTTAGCAAGCTATTTTTATTTACGGAGTCATTAAAAAGAATAAGAAAAAAAACGTTAACAATCTAGCTTTTTGAACAATTGCAGCTTTTTTTAACAATACAAAAAAAGTAGTGCTGTCAAACTTAAAATATTTAATCGCCATTAATCGCATTAATGTCATAGTTAACTCGCATTTAATCGCACATTTTTATCTATTCTTAATGTCCTTTGATTTCTTTTTGTCGAGGGGGCGGAGAATTCGCATCAGCTGTGTGGGATTTCAGAGTGGACGTGCTGCGATGATAGCTCAGTTCGCAACGACAGAACACACAGATCACTTTGGTTTTGTCACACTACAAAGTTAAACAAACGTTAATCTCGTGATAAAAAAATTGACGCCGTTAAAATGGGTTTGCGTTAACGCCGTTAATAACGCGTTTAACTGACAGCACTAAAAAAAGGTTACCAAGAAAGTTTTCTCAACTGTTCCAGTTAAAAAGAAAAACGTTAGCAAGCTTTTTTTGTTCATGGTCTCAATTAAAAAGAAGAAAAAATTTTAGCAAGCTAGCTTTATGAAATGATTCATGCTAAAAGAAAAATGCAAGAAAGCTGTTTTATTCACCGTCTCAATTAAAAATATATAAAAAATAAAAGGTTAACAAGCTAGCTTTTTGGACCATGTCAATTAACAAGACGATAAAAATCAGCAACCGAGACTTTTTTTAATTAAAACTACACAAAAAGTTGTATGACGACAGTTTTCCAGGGTTCTTAATGAGCATGTAGCTAACATGTTACCTATATCTTCTTGATTGGCATCTCTGTTGCTCTAAATTTCTTTTTTGGGGGGTCACAAATGGCTTAATGCAAATTGTTATTGTAGAGGTTAACCTAATGAGAATTATTGAGCCTTACAGGTGCTGGTAGGGGAATCTTTCAGAGAGCTAGGATAGATATTTAATCCTGCCTCAAGTCTTTATACTTAAATTAGAATAACCACATCCACATCCTTATATATTAGCAGTTCTATCCAAGCACCAAGAAAACACTGCCATAAGTCTGAAACATGCTCTCTAGAAAACATTTTGTATTAATTCTCCTGATTGTGTTTTTCTAGATTCTTATTAATAGATACTGTATATTGTACCTTGTGTCACTGCTGATGTCCTACTGTCTCTCCACAAGCCTCCTCCTCCATTCTCTCCTCATCCTGCTCAACGTCCTCCTCCATCCTCTCCTCCTCTGATCTCCGGTCCCCCTCTTTGGCTGCTGGAGTGCAGCTCTGTCGCCCTCGTTGCCTCTGGCTGCGCCGGAACTTGCGTGTGAGGCCTTTCCTCCTCTGCCCCAGGGAGGAGGAGGAGGAGGAGGAGGAGGAGGAGGTGGTCTGGGTCGGGGTCGTTGCTGGACTCGGAGACGAAGAGGAAGGGCAGGAGGGTTTGGACCTTGACAGAGGGCTCTGGGCTGGGGAGGGTAGAGCTGCTGTGGATGAAGGATGGCTGGCAGATGTAGATGTTATGGCTGCAGAGGGCTGTGCGTGTGAGCCGGAGGAGGCGCAGGGTGTTTGGGATGGGTAATCATGCGCTTGGTCCTCCAAGTCTGGTTGTGGTGCGTAGGACGTGCAGACGGTGGATGAATCAGGAGCTGTAGAGCAGCCAGCTGCTTCATCGTCATCAGGACCTCTGGGAGGAGAGTCTGAGAGAATAATGAGCACATAGGTACACATGTCAAAGTCAGACTGTGCACTAAGAAAGAATTATGATCCTTGATGGGAAAATAAGAATCTTGCTTCCGTGTTTCCTCCTACCAGGGCCACTGCTGGTCTGGGACTCATCGGTCATTGGTGGCTCTGCCTCCTCTTGGATCGTTGGTACTGATGCTAGTAGACCTGACACACACACACACAAATACACCGAACTGTGATATAATTCTCCGACCTACCGTTAGGCGTATCTATGAAAAAGCCAAAAAGACATATATTCTAAAACCACATCTTAAACTCACTGTTAGAGACTCGTTTCATTTGACCGACTCCTACTTTCTATTCTAATTCAACAGTCTTATCAATAATTCCTTTTTGCTATGATTTTGTGTATAAGAATGAGAAAAGGAAAGCAGATAAATCTTTAAATTATAGTTTCTAAAAGTCTCAAGTACAGAAAATATCTGTGACTGCTGCAGAGTCATGGCTTTTAAAGTGAGCTCTTAATGAAAGCTGCAGTAGGTCATTTTTATAAAAAATAAAGTTTCACTATATTCACCATACCCTGACAGTAGTCTCATGTACTGTTATATAGTGAAAGTTTCAGCAAATATGACATTAAGTTAAGTTCTATAAAAGTTACCTACTGCAGGTTTAAGGTATGTAACTTTTACATAAATAACTTCTGAAACTATATCCACAAATACACCCATGTGAGCCATCAGGCCCCCCTATTATGACCTTTTCTGGGTAAACAAAAGGTCTATCTCTGTAGGGATCCTTTACATAATACTGTCAGACACTGTCAGTGGCAAAAACAAGCACTTTTAGGGGACAAGCGCATTTGTCGCCAAGGATTAGCTAATGTTACGTGTCAGCCAGTTTCTCATCTAACTCCTGAATTAAGGATTTATTTTGACCAAACCAGAGTTGGTGATTGTTGGCAAGACCACAAAAGACTGTTTTTTTTTGTTTTTTTCTATTCAGTTTTAAGTGTGTTTTATTGTTAATTATCTGCTAGGTAAAATGACTTGAAATAAGTTGCTGGTGCTCTAGTGCGACATCTAAGTGAAGTGGTTCTGATGCATGTGAGGTATGCATGTTTAGGAGCCAACAGAGAGCTTTGTTCCACTTTTTTGTGAGTTGTTATATTTATTGGAAAACTATTTACAAGATTAGGCTTCAGAGCAATGTTTCTGATCACAAGAGTAAAAGAACTAGTAACTCGTCAAGTTTTTCTTTTTCTTTTTCATACAAGTACGGATATTGCCACATTTTACTCGTTCGGTACTAAAAAGTGCATTACCTATACCGGATACTCGTTTCAGCCGAGCACTCGCTCAACCCCTCATTAGCAGTAATTTAATACTGCCCTTCTCCGGGTATTTCACCACAGATAGCTAGTTCATAATACTGTAAACATATAAATATTGAAATACTTTCATCAGTGGCCATTCTGCAGGCTGGATGGAAGTTTTGTTGGGATGAAATGTGTTGCATACCCCTGCTGTACACCCCTACAGGTCAGTGTTGTCAGACTTACTGAGTCCTCTGTAATGGGAGAGTTGCTGGTAAACTTGTTTCATCCTCTCGATGTTAAGCCTGCTGCCCTCTGCATGGTTTATCATCGGTTTGGGGTAATCCACTCCCACCACACAGTTGGCTGACTTCTGGACCGACTCTGGGGCGTTCCACGGCTCGTAGATGTACCGGTTGGGGTAGTCCTTCAGGATGGGGATGTAACGCCTGCAGGAAATTTCGAATGGAAAGCTCGAATCATTTAAACTTGAACCCTGTTTGTTTCTGACATTTACAAGCATACCCAAGCTATTACAAGGAGGAATATGGAGAGTTATCCATTATGGTAGGAATACCAGTTAAAAGTCTACCTGATGTAGTCTCCTGATGGGTCAGTTCTCCTTCCGAAGCCGACAGGACAGTAGCAGTGGAAGAACTGCTGGAAGAAGGCACTGCAGGACAGCCACATCCAGCTGCCAGCATTTACACTCCAATCGGCATCCAGCAGCAGCTCCTCAAACACCTGCAGGAACACACATAATGCTACATGATGTATACTGTCAATTCAAAAGTCACTGACGCAAACTGTGTTCTCCGGCTGTCAGACACCAGGTTGGTGTTCGAGATTGAGTGAAAACCGTTTTTTCCTACCTTCATGCCGCTCTCCCAGCTGATCCACAGGTCCCCCCTGGTGAGGAAACAGGCCACGGCGTGTCGGGCCAGGTGGTGGATCCAGCCCTCTTGTCTCAGCTGGGTCATGATGGCGTCAATCCAAGGAAAACCAGTCCGACCCTCAGCCCACTTGGCCAGTGCCTCCGGGTTCTGGTCCCATGGGATCTGGAGACATATGACGCACAGGACAAAGAGATAGTAATTATATACTTTTCTTTCTCTCTACAGGAGGAGACAAACGATTTAATAGGTTCGAGAGGACGGTTTTAGTGTCCTATGGTCTAAATTAGATTTAAAGACTTTTTTACTTTGACAAAATCTATATTATGGGCATCAATGAGAAAACATGGAGCCACAGTGAATTCTCAATTCTGATTGGCTGGAAGGTTTGGAACTTTTAGTAACTAGACAGTACAAGTGGACAGCTACAATGTATGCGTTTGATTCTATATGAATGTGCAGCTAATGCTAATGTTAGCTCAGCTTGTTTCTCTGATAACTCCAGATGTCTAATGACTAAAATCCTTAAAAAGCACCAAGAAACAGTCAATGTATGACAGATAGAGCTAGAGTTTATACACTGTTTAATGATTATAGATTACTGATTGAATCAACTACATATAGAACATAGAGCTAGAGTTTATACACTGTGTAATGTGGAAATGTTACAGATAATTTGATTACATATGGCATTTCCTTGGCATGTGGCATAATAAAAAGCAGGATAATAGCATCCAAGTGAGCACCATTAATGATTGTTATGTTTGTTATTCGGTTCTTTAGCTTCTAAAATGGCAGTTGGTGGAACTGTTTTGCAGGGATGCTGGGTGTGATTAGCAAGTTTGCATTGTTTTGCTGAAAATAAATATCAGCATATTCATAATGTTCTTCTGTTATTTTATCAGCATGGGATTTCTGGCCTTTATTGTCACATTACAGTGTTGACACATTCGCCTTGAAAAAGTGCTGCATGTCTCTTGAACCATGTTTAACATTTGAATTCCATTGAATCTAACATAATGCATCCAACACAGTACTTTGTATTTAAATAAATTCACTCTACCACAAATGTATTGTGTGTGTTACATTTTCAATTTCAGTTAACAGATGTACCACAGTGCATGACAAGTCGTTGCCCTTTATATAAAGTGTCTGACTCACAAACACCCTTATGTAAGACAGCTGCTGCCGTCATATCTACAGGCCAGAGAGTGCTGACAAATGTATGACCTAAATAACAGTTATTCCTTCTTGTTTGAACGGAGTGGTGCAAGGGCCCACCTGGACACAGATGGGGTTTCCATCCATGCGGTCGAAGTTTGGGTTGTTGGTGGCGGCTGTGTAGAAGAACTCCCTCCATAACAACTGGCCAAACAGGGACAGAGGAGGACTGCAACGCTTACGGAGCTGATGGAGAGCACAGGAGGGGAGGAACAACAGACAATTGCAATTAAAAAGTTCAAAATTTGATCATCAAGGAGAGTAATGAATTAGAATTGTCAGAGGAGCAAAAAGCAAAAAGAGTGATATCTCTGAGGCTAGGCGGCAGGTATGCACTGTACCTTCATGTAGAGCTCTCTGAGGTTGTAGTACAAAACCCTGCAGGACAAGCAGCCGAAGCGCAGGAAGGGGCTGAGGCCGGTAGGACTGGCATACAGGGAGCATGTGTTGACCCGAGGGTGCTCAAAGTTGGCCACCCACACCTACACAGACAGACACAGTGAAGGCATTCAAGTGATCATCTGAGATACTGTCATTTTTAAAGTACTTGCAATTAGGGAAGGGACAGCAAACTCAAAATGTTGTGGATTAGACCGGTAACAGGGTTTTAATTTCAGCTTCTGGTTTACCTTTTTGTCCAGATGTTTGTTGAGTCTGTCCAAGGCCTCTGACTCTCCTCCCTGCCAAATAGCTGGAGGTAAACCTTCTGTCCTGAAACCTGGAAAACATAATCACATGCAGACAAGGTCAAATACAAAGCAGCTATTATCTAATGAACCAAACCTTGCTCAAGTGCTAAACAGGGTTATATAAGCAGGAATCTGGTGATATGATACGTATCGCGATACAAGGGTTACGATATGATATCCTGCAAGAGTTTATTTTAATGCAACAGAACAGTGGGATCTGCATTTGTAATTTATTACAGTGCCTGTTACATCCAACATCACAGCACTCAGTTTACGTTAACAACACTGCTGGGTGGCCAGTGGGGGTTTAAACACAAAAATCGATACAGTGTTTTTGGGAATCGATAGAATATAACTAAACAATTGTATCTATATTCAGCATCAATATACCCAGAGAACATCAGCAGCAGCAGCAGCAGCAGTATTAGGAGTCCTACAGTTGTCAGATTCAATTCAAGTGTTAAAAACAACCATGCATACCTAGTTCTTCCAGTGAAGGTATACTGTATAGCTGGTCGTGGTTGTCGGCTATTTTAGTGCGACATTTGTCCATCTGCTGCTGGGTGATGGGAGGCAGAGGTCTCCTGGGCAACTCCAGTCGGCTCACAATGGTCTGAAAGCGCTTAAAGGTCAGAGGAGGACTGTTGTTGTTCATCTCTATTATCCTGTGACCAATACAGAAAAGATAGAAAAGCAGAGCAACATACAGCAGAGTTTATGTAACAGGTTGGGTTAATGGCAATGTTCTGTTTAAATGCTCAAATACACAGACACAAAAAAGTCTAAAATGTTGGTATAGAAGGTAAATGTTGGACTAAACCTTTGATATGACGCTTGTGGTTCAAATTCATTGAACACTCTCACATTTTTCGCTTTATTTGGAACAACAAACACCAAAGAGTTAAGTTCTCCACACTTACTAAGCCAAAGGATCTGGGAGGCTTGATCCTGCCCAATCTACAACTATATTATTGGTCAGCACAAGTTAAAATGATGTCAAATTGGTTTATGGACAGGAAAGATTCCTTATGGTTGGGTCTTGAATCCCTATTTTGCTATCCCAGAAGGCTTAACTCCCTTCCTTTTATCAATAATATAGATCAGTTAAATCATCTCAAGAACAACATAATTGTTTATAACACACTACTGGTTTGGCGAGATGTGAAGAAATACCTGAATATTCCCCCTGTCATCTCTCTCCATTCTCCCCTGGCTCTGAATCCAGATTTACCGCAGATTAGGAGTATTGGTTTGATGGAGTGGACATCTAGGGCCTGTCAAACTTTACAGACCTGTTGGTCTCCGACTCTGTTAAGTCCTTTGAGCAAATCAGGGCTGATTTTAATATTCCCCACAAAGATTTTTATAAGTATCTCCAAATTCGACAGGCGGGATCCGCCTGAGACTGTCAGAGCTGGAAAACATTATAGTTCTAGCCAAATCTCCCAAAGGACTAATTTCCAAGATTCATACTTCACTACTTTACTCTGATTCTTCAGGCTATGACTCCTGAAGCTGTTGTGGGAGCGCGATCTGGGGGTGACGTTCAACCCTGTAGACTGGGACAAGATCTGCGGCGGGGTTTTCCCTGAATGTACTTCAATCTCTATACATGAACAGAACTTTACATTTTTTCACCGAACTTAGTACACACCTGTTCGCCTCCAGAGAATGTACCCTGACACCTCCAACCTTTATTATAAATGTAATATACACAAAGGTACATTTATCCACTTGTTTTGGTCATGTGACCGCATCCAGACTTTCTGGAAGGGGGTTCACTCTGTAATCCAGGAGGTCACTGGTAAACAGTTTTTGTTGACTCCTTCTTTCTGTCTACTTAACCATGCTCCAGACAATCTCTCGGACACCAAATCTCTGTTGATAAATCTTTTGTTTTTGGCTAAAAAATGTATCTTGCTGCGGTGGTCGACTCCCCAGATCCCTACAGTCGACATGTGGATATCACAGATTTCGGCTCTTATAGAAGTTGACTCATGACCTTAATCACAAATTGGACGAGTTTTGGAGGATCTGGGAACCACTGCATTCCTTTTTACAGAAGCCATAACTTATCATCTGTCTCTGGAAGATGAGGACTGTCTGCCCTTTCATTTATTTCATGTATGTGCTCTTTGTTTACATGTCTCCTGTCGTCTTTTTATTTACTTATTTATTTTATGTATATGTAGAAATATATACCACATCGCTCACTGTTAGTTTGGGAGGGACTTTTTTGTTTTGTTTTGTGTTTTGTTGTCTGGTTTGTTTTTTTTCTAATGTTTGTGCTTGAAAAAATGAAAAACCAATAAAAAGAATATTAAAAAAAATAAATTAAAAAATAAATTAATTGAACACGGTATTTAATATACAACTGAACTGATTATGAGCGAATTTGAGCCAAAAAACAAACTCTGGCTCCTCCTAGTGCTCCTAATGGCATTTACATGAATCCACCAGGCCTGAACAAAAACAACCAATCAGAGCTGAGGAAGATAGTTGATTGTTGACCCTTGGAGACTCAAGCCTCCAAACCAAAGCGTCTATCTTTTTTTATTTTTACCAAAAATGATCACTGAACTATACCTCAATTAATAATCACAAGATTGACCCTATTTTGTATTTCATCCTTTTCAGCTTGTTTAGCTGGTGCAGCTGACAGCAAAGCTCTGTATTTATAGTTTCTGTCTTATACAACTTGTCTATATCTGTGAGGCCCTGTTCTGGATCATTGCCCGCTGGATTTGCAGCAGGGGTGGCTTCCTATTGGTCCATTTACTGTGACTACTACAAATGAGCACAGTAAGCTCCACCACTACCAATATAAACCCTGCAGCTACACACACACACACACACACACACACACACACACACACACACACACACACACACACACACACACACAAAGCTAAGCTCCCTGCCGCCTCATCCACCCATATAGTATTCTTACACACACACAGGCCAGTAATATTTATTATGTAATACTGTGCTGGTCTGACTGCTCTCTATATTGTATATAGGAAAGTCCTTTGGTACTCCCTTCGCTCTTACTCATGCTGCCACCTGGCCCCAGCACATGGACAGGGGTGTGACCTGCAGTGACATGAGTTGATCACTGGAGGGCTCTGCTGCATGTCATGCTGTAAGAAGGGGTTTGGATTGTTCAGATTTTCATTCAGCATCTTCTTGGACGTTGTGGGTTATTGGTGTTTTTCTAAACTGATGGGTGATCTCTCAGCTGTACTGACATGACAGTTGATGGTCCACATTATGGTTTAATGCACAAGCAAGTGTAACTGAACCCAGCACTTACTCACAAACTCATATCATTTAGGTAGGCCTAGCATTGACACATTTTCCCAGTTTCATTCCTCCTTTTTTAACTATGCAGGGTTCATGATGAAGTGACTCAGGGTCATTAGGTGGTCAGAGTTTATGGGACACTTTGTGTTGGCTTGCTTTCTGCTGTTCTCACTGCTGCTACTGCTGCTTAATTGTGCGATTTATAATTAAAAATATGGCTGCACTTGGAGAGACTGACTTACATAACCAGACGAAAGGTAGGAGATTTTGAAAAAGTGTGGAAACCTTCAAAGGAGTGTCTTAGACGTCAAGGTGCGCAGTCATAAAAATGGCAGAGCATTTCTATGTTGTTCTTGTTTTTCCTTTTGTTTGTTTTTTTCTCTTATGTGATGTAGGGTGATTTGTCTTTGTTATCATGCTAAGTATGTAAAATGTTATGTTTATTTTCCTTTCATCTTTGTAAAAACCATGAGTACATTCTTCATTGTTTAATTATTATCACTGTCTATCTGTATGTGTGAAATACATGCAAAATTCAATTAAAATATTGCAATCACAAACGTTTCAATCTTTGAGGAGTTTATCAGTACAATAACGACAGAAATGCATAAAAAATCCATCTATATGATCGCATTAATCCAACACTTTTTCGGATCTACTTTCTCATACTGTGAATTGACATATCGTAAAATTCATCTTGGAAGTGGAAAGACACACAATTTGTGTCCTTTTTTAAAAAGGACAAAAACGCACAGGTCAACAACGTATGGCAGTAAAATAAAAGAAAGACAGTAATGTCAGCTGACATATTATTCAGTGCACAGCTGAAGACTTTACCATAATGCCTGAAAGTGGGGGGACAAAAAGTGTTGTTCCCGTTATTGTGGTGTTGGAGTGCTGCTTGCCCTGCCTGTTGCACCATCACAAAAATGGCTAGTGCTACTGACTTTATCCCTGTTTTTAAGGCTTTTAAATGGAGGGAGATTATCTCTCTAAAGGTAAACACCTTAGGTATGTGCAGGTGTGACTGATGTTATCCCCATTGTCATTATTCGTGTGTGTGTATGTGTGTGTGTGTGTGTGTGTGTGTGTGTGTGTTTTACAAACCTGTCCAGGTTGTAGAGGGTGTGTGAGTTTCTGACAACAGTCTCCACTCCAAACTCTTGGGCCATCTTGATGATGGCTCCATCCCTCTCCTTCCCATAAGGCTCTGGGTCATATTCAAACGTCAACCTGGTCACTTTCCACTCCTGAAGAAAGAAGAACATTGATCATGGTCAGGGATGGGAATCGAGAACTGGTTCCAAATTGTCCGATCCATCAGCTTATAAATTCCTTTCATCAATGCCGGCATGTTTTTCTGACAGCGCATTGCAACTGAATGTGTCTATGCTGCTGGAAACTTGCAACAAGAAGGATTCATGGCAGAGAGGAAGACGTGATACAAAGCGTGACTTTATTTCATGACAAAAGTCAAATCACTATAATTCTACTCTGTTTCTATACTGCGTTCAGACTAATAAACAGTTGCACTGATGATGAAAACCGGTGTAGGCCAATCAGGAATCAATAAGGGAATCGAAAACAACCAGACCGATAAGCAGACTCAATAATGGTAACTTCTGTTTCTGAACTTCACATAACCTCACGTGAACAAACCAACAGTGTGATGTGGCACAATGCAATTGAGTTGTGAGTACCTGAACAGTGTTATTTTATGATTATGTTATCTTTTAGCTTCTGTTTACAACTTAAACCCTGGTTTTAATCACCAGTTTGAAACCTGTGTAGTATCTTTAATGCAATGTTGTGTTTTAATGGTGAAGAATTAACAAACTATTTCAAGTCTGGCTATGGTCTACAGGGCATTTCAAATTAGAAAAAAAAGGAGAGGAGGGGAGCTATTACATTATCCTCAGCATTGTCCAGTGTTTTTACTCTAATCAAACTGTACAGGAGCATGTTTAACTCTGTGGTATAATACTTGGCAGAGCTACTGTAGTTGACCCTGTTTGTGGCTGGAATGAAGACCTGCAGAGCACACTATTGGGTTTCCATAGCATATAATGCAAAAGCAGGAGTGCGTTATGTAAGGGCTGTTGTATAGAGATGGTGAGAGCTGCTCCTCCCTGCCTGGAACTAAATCCCCACAGGGAATCTCCTCATAAATGCTAACAGCATCTGCAGCTGCTCCAATATGGTTCAGTGCTGTGTGAACAGTCTGTAAAGTGTATACAGTGTGTATTCAGTGTCAATCAGATAACTGGGCTCAGTCACAAAAACATAATAATGGAATAGTAATAATAATGTGTCTTAGCTCCGCCTCAGCTGCTGTGATTGTCACTCCTCTAAGAATAGACACTATAAAAAAACAAAGCCACAACAGGACGTGTTAAGTTCATCCTGCCATCATTATTCCTGCAGGTGTGGTTACAGGTGCATCTGTTGGCAAGCTGGAGTCTGATAGGGCTTTTCCACTGGCACTTCTGACCGGGGTAAACCATGTCGCGCTGAATTACGTTTCCATTACTAGTTTAAACGTGCCGAGTTGTGCAGAGCTGCGCCAAGCCGGACTTTCTACACTGAAGGTCAGAGTGCTCAGCTCTCAGTGCTTCTGTAGCTTCTAACAGAATCGCTGTGGTTTAAAGTTGACTTTCTGTCCTGCGTCCCGATTTGTACTTCAACATAGATATCTGCTTTATTTTACTGATTCATGTTGGCTTTCAGCTCTGGAGTCGTGTTAAGTTGCTGCTGATGAACAACATTTGATTTTGCTTTTCAAAAGCTTAATGTAACCAGGGACTTTTATTGTGAAGAAATTGTAAGAAATTAAATGGTTTATGGCAGGAGTTGGTAAAGACTAAACACAGAGCTACAAGAAGAGTGAATATTACCAGGTGGTCAGGAACACAACAAGTAATGTTGCTCTGTGTGTGAGTAAATGTGATGTGTAAACCACATCCACTTAAATGTGATGATACATCGATGTTGTGTTTACAACTTGTTTCTGCTGCCTAAAAAATGGCAAAAACCCCTCAACATTTGCCTATTATGAGACAGTGAGACAGCTACTGTAGCTAGCAGGAGTGGCAGTGTTTGCTACAGGTCTGATGGTGCTGACTGAAACTTCACAAAAAAGGATTGCCTCCTGTGCACACGACATCACTAACATTATTGTCTAGAGAATTTCAGCCAGTACTGGGAGTTTTTTTATTCTCCGATTATGGTTAAAGTTCCAGACGGGCCTAACATCCACAATAAAAGCAGGGTAACGTCCTTAAACCATTCAAGAGTGCATGCTAGCACCAGGCAGAGGTCTATTTCACACACACACACACACACACACACACACACACACACACACACACACACACACACACACACACACACACACACACACTGGGGTCTCAGTGAATACAATAGTCAGCAGAAACAGTTTGACAATCATCCGCCTGTATCAAGTGGTTCTTTTAATCAATAGCCTTTGCTGTTTGCATGGTGTAAGTTGTGGCCCCTGACAGACACAGAGAGGTGGTGGCCAGGGACACAGAGAGGTGGTGGCCAGGGACACAGAGAGGTGGTGGCCAGGGACACAGACCTTTAGAAGCCTTGGAAAAACATCAGTGGGCTGCCCTCTGACTACAAACAATCTGGAGTTGAGCTTCTTCAGACTGCTGTCCAGGTCCTCCAGAGCCTCCAGCAGAAACCTGCACACAGACACACATAAAGGATGTAATTAGCAATCTATTAGACAAACAACATGATTATTTATTGCAGAGTCAGGAATGCAACCACTAGGACTCAGGCACCATAGCTGACCATCAGTCACTGCGATCAGAGTCTCTGTGTGAATTCTTTTCCAAACAGCACAGTGAAAGGTGTGCACGTTGTGGTGAAGTGTAGGAGGTTTGATGGTTTACCCACATGGAAGTGCCTGTTGCACTTCTGTTGCAGCTTCTAATCTGCTCACTGCAGCTGTTCCTTCTTTCATTACTCTTATTTACAGGGTTTCTGCAGGCTTTAACAGGTTAAAGACTTTTTCAGACCATTATGAATGCAATTTAAGATATATTTCACAACCACACTGGCAAAAAAAGTAAATCAATATTGGTTTCATGCTGGTTTGGTTTTGAAGTTGTTACAGCATGAGCAAAACAAGCTGCCATCCCAGTTATTATGTGGAGAACAAAGAGAAACAGGCACTGTCGAAAAACACCTCGATCCCCTCTTCTCTAGTGCTTAAACAAAGCCAAAAACCAATCATTCAGTGAATATATTATTGAGTTTGAGCTCATTTAGGCTAATATAATCAACAGTGTGAAAAAGAGTACACTATGTATATCAGTGCTCCTTCAGGTGGCTTTAATGGAAGTACAGTTGTAGAATACTTTCACATTATCCCTGTGGACACAGATTTATTTACTTGTTTTGCAACTTGTCAGATAGGTGAAATTTGTCTTGGTTGTTGTCAGGATTGTCTCAGGGACAGCGTCATCCAAGCCTGTTACAGTAGGATACATTTTACAGTACCAGTGATACTAATTAAGGTTCAGTTTCATTCAGGTCAAACAGAGTCAGGGTGCTGCTGTTGTACATGTTTTCTCACTGGAAAGGCTCTGCTACACTAAATGGAACGGAACCCCAATTAGTATCATTGGTAATACCTGTGTTTACCCTACTATTTAACATCATAATGGCTGCTGTGGATAAGGTCTATTGCAGAATATCGGAGTAAGAAAAGTTAATTTTACACCCTGCAAACACACTGCTGATTGAATGAGGAGATAACAGAAGCCATGAAACTGTGACTCAAATCTGAAGTATATATATATTATTATTTTTTAATCACTGAATATGTAAAAAACATTCAGTCATAATCCAAGATTTTCAATTAATTGTTCAGTAATGTAGAGTAGAGGTCCAAAGTACAAATAATTGTATCTTACATTTTATCACAAACTGGTAGGAGTGTAAAAATGCACGCATTAGTCCCGACCCATTCAGTCTAAGAATGGTATGCTACTACCGTAAATATGATGATTCCACAGAGCAAGTTCCAACTGAAGTGTGTCAGTCCATAAAGATAACATTATCTGGATGGTGATGAGAAATCGGTTCAGGAGCATGGTGGTTCCACATTAAGTGACAGCAACAATGGACAGGATACTGTCAATAGACCATATGCAGTACGCAGCACAACATACACGGCATCTGATTATATTTATTTATTCATATATATGTGTATATATGTTCTGATTCTGATTCTATGGTTGACTCCTGTGTTTTCCCTTTTTTCCATATGGAAACTGTATCTATTCCAGGGAATGTCTATCCTGTATCTAAGTAAATATTTTACACTTAAGGTTAATTAAGATACTGATACGTCATTTACTGTATCCTGCAGTTTGGAGCCAAGATTTATAGTGTGGTAAAAGCGGATGGAGCACAAAATTAAACTGACCTTAACCTGTCTGTCTTGCTGGCTGCTAATATTATTCAACTGATTTAACTCATGGAAGATCTACAGAACTACAGGAAAAAATTCTCCGCCCCCTCGTCAAAGCCAGGCGACAATGGATGATTATTCAATAAAAACAACATTTGCACAAAGCAAGCCGATCCACTTTTCCATGTTGATAAGAGCATTAAAATGAGAAAAAATAATGGGACAAAAAGAAATCAAGGGACATTTAGAATAGATAAAAATGTGTGATTCATGCGGGTTAACTATGACATTAATGCGATTAATCGCAATTAAATATTTCAATCATTTGACAGCGCTACACAAAACATTTTTCTCACAACCCACTATCAAGCCAGCCCTGAATGATGCTGCATTCACACGGACTCAGGCAGACAGACAGCATCTTCCTCGCAGCATGGGAAAAACAAACCATCTGACAGAATGGCAGGACGGCAAAACAAAAACGACAATACGTTGCTATGGTGATGTCCTAATGTTTACAAAGAATGGAATTAATTTATTCAATAAAACTATTCCGTGCATAATACTTTATGCTGTTTAATTATTAGGGTCACACAGTCCAGATTACAGTATACTGCAATGTACTGAATTGTAACCTCTGTATCAGGATACAGATCAGCCAGATTCTTGCCAATACACAGCCCTCGCATTCTTAAACAACAATAATGATAATAATAATAGTAACAACAACAACAACAAAAATGTGTTATTATTATTACTGTTATTATTATCATTACACCATAATAATATTATTACTACTTTAGGGGTCGCCAAAGCTTCACATGGTCTTCTTGACTGTAAGAAAAAATATGACTATTGTTCATTTCTGTGAAAAGAAGTTTAGATTATTATTTAACATGTGAACTTAAAAGACCTGAAGCAAGCTGTATTATTATTATTGTTATTACTATATATATACTATATATCATCATCATCATCAAAATTCTTCCAAATCTCTGGTTTCCCACAAACTTCCTGCAGTCATTGTGTTCACGGTTTGTGTTCATTGTAGTTTCAGTTGTTCCCAAATGTTATTGTTATGCATTGAATACATTATGAAATATTCATACAATATCCCACTTATTCAGGGGTCGTCAGTTTATTAAGGAAGAATGTTGGGAACCACTGCGACCATTTTCATGTTTACAGGAATAATGCACTCACCACATTATCGGTGTCGCAGGTAAACACAGCGAAACACTGTAGAACTATAAGAATGCTAACATTAGCCCACATACTGCACCATTCCGTGTGTAACGTTACATAACAAAAACAAGGACTTGTTTAAGTTAAAATGTCGTTATTAAGCAGTTATTTATGTGTTATTATCATGACCTCCTTTCAGTCTCTTCCACCAAACTCCAGCGGGATAAGTTAGGCGATAGTCAACATTGTGTATCTAGAGCTAGCTAACGTTACACATTGTTGTACAGAAGTGAACAGTAGCTCAGCGGTTGTGAATGCCGAACACACCAACAGATTGTAACGTTACTGTTCTGAGAAGTAAGTTAAGTGTCCTTCTCCTCGGTGGGTATACTTTGCCGATACACAGCGTGAACAATAACTTGTTGGTTTCCTCTATGGTGATTGGTTTGGCATTCTCTCCATTTCTCTGTAAACTAGCGCTAGCTAACTGACGTGGAGCGGAGGCCCGAGCCTAAACTCCCAGCGCTGCACATTAATACGGCAATGAATCATACAAATGGCGACCTGATACACTGTGTTCACATAACGCGCGGCGTCTAACCACCGTTTAACGGAACTTCAACGTGTCAGAAGAAGTTACAAACCTCCATCGGTTGATTCCCACGTTGGCGGCGCCAGCAAACCACGGGTCCAGGATATAAACACAGCGCACTGTGTCCGCTCCATTGAGGGCCTCCTGCAGCGCTGGATTATCGTGCAACCGCAGACCTTTGCGAAACCAGTGCACCGAATTCACCACCATGGTTACTTCTTATTCCATCATTTGAGGGAAAATCCGGAGTGATCGATCGAAATGAAGCCGAACACGCAATGATTTAAAGGCTGAAACAGTCCCAGTTCAGGAGAAGTAACTTCACTTGCTGTCAAACGAAAACCAACAGTGAGGGGGCGTGGATAGTTCACTGTGAGTCTGTGCGAGCGGTTAGATGTTATTATCCCTGTATCTGTTCGCTGATTGGCCCGCGGGGAAAACGTCAACAGGAATTACAAAACTGGAGAGCTTTGATTGGTTGATTGGCAAATGGCAGAGAGCCGTGGTGAGAAGCTGTGTCACGTTTCCCATTGGGAGCAGTGTCATGCTACTTCTGATGTAGAACCTAAGCTGAAATGAGATCATTTCAGATTTCACATGGTGGTGCAAATTTATACAAAGCAGCCTGCAGATTTTACAGTCAAATTTAAGCTGGTCTTAGAGCTTCTGGGTGATGGACCATTATTTGAGCTCAGTTTTTGCACCACCATGAATAAAATACCTAAAGAAAATTATGTAATGCATGGGGGGAAATGCAAAACTGGAATTGCATAAGTCACTGAGTGAATTTTATGTGTGAAGAAATATTGCAAACGTTTTATGCTTGGCTGAGGTGAAAAAGTACAGGGCCCCTGAGGGGACATGGAGGAGATAACAATAGAACAATAACAGATTTGCAGTTATTCCTAAATGTTATTGTTATGCATTGTTATTGAATATAATACAATATCCCACTTATTCAGGGGTCATCAGTTTATTAAGGAAAAATGTTGGGAACAACTGCGACCATTTTCATGTTTACAGGAATAATGCACTCACCACATTATCGGTGTCGCAGGTAAACACAGCGAAACACTGTATAACTTACTCTTTAAGAATGCTAACATTAGCCCACATACTGCACCATTCTGTGTGTACATAACAAAAACAAGGACTTGTTTAAGTTAAAATGCCGTTATTAAGCAGTTATTTATGTGTTATTATCATGACCTCCTTTCAGTCTCTTCCACCAAACTTCAGCAGGATAAGTTAGGCGATAGTCAACATTGTGTATGTTTTTTTCTCCATCCAGATAACAATAGAACATGGGGGAGAAAATGAAATACTTAGGTGAAAAAAAAACACTTTTAATTTCGCCAGAGAAATATGTTTATTAGTAGATAATTAAAGAAAATAACCCACTGCTCAGTTTTAGGCATGGTTTTCAAATAAATGAAAGATAGATGAAGAGAATACTCTGCACAAGGGGATTTTCTTGAAAGGAAACTTACCCAAGCGTCTTGGACCTACTTGGAAATATATATATAAGAAGAAAAAATTTAATATTTCTCAGGAGAACAAAGTTTTTCTATTTTACTCAGTTATGTGTTTTGTCCTTCCCGATGCTCTGTAGAGCAAAAGCCTATCGACAAAAGCAAAAAGCGACAATGTAATGGAAAAATACATTCTGACATAGTGCGATGTAACCTTCCCCAAATTAATCATGAAACAAAAATGAATGCCATATTTCCATCGTGTTCTTACATTAAATTTAAATCCGTTGTTCTGCAATGGTTTAATGGAAACCAGCTGGTGAATTAGTGCCACCAGCTCTTTATCTCTCCTACACTGTAAAACCTGACAACACATCTTAATTAAAGAAGTTGACATAAATTATTCCTCCAAAAAAACTCACTTAGTCACTTATTCACATGAATTAAACTTAAATAAAAAAAAATATTGTTAAAGCAACTCAGTCGTTTTGAGTGAATTTAAATGTGTGCAGTATTTTAAGTATTGGGGATATAATTGTAGTTTGTTCCATTGACTCATTTTCTTTGAGCTGACTTTAGACATTATAAAAATGTAAGCATTATAATGATGTACAGTTTAGGATTTTTTCATTTTTGTTTTCCTTTCAGTTTATCAATCATCATTAGTGCAAGTATGCATCAAAATAATTCTAAATGGTCTCCCGAAGTGTAAAGATTTGACATTAGTCACAGAAAAAAACACAGAAAATTCAATTAATTGTAAATAGTTTTTATCATATGTCAGCTGTTTTGACAGGTAATGTAATAATGTGCTGAAAAAAACTGTGTAAATTCAACTTGGTGGTAACGTGTACAAAGAAGATGCATTCAAGTTACTTTATTCAGATAAAAACAAATTTTTAAAAAGTCAGGAGAAATGCTGCATATGAATGTAACTTCAATTAACTGAATGGAATTAGTACAATTAACTTAATTTACACAAGTTAGGTTAACAGTAAATACTTAAGTTACTTCTACTCAAATCTACTTTTTATATCTGTATTTATTTCACTCAAATGTTGCTGTGACAAGTGAATTTCCCCACTGTGAGATTAATAGTTTCTTATCTATCTATCTATCTATCTATCTATCTATCTATCTATCTATCTATCTATCTATTTCCCCATATAGGCCACGCCCACTTCCGCCTAAATTTTTTTTCTTGCTAGAGCGTGAAATGTCCATAAACTACTTTTTACGTGTTTCTCCTATGCACTTTGTCCGATTCGCACGAAACTTTTCACGTAGCATCTGGGAACCGTCCTGGCAACAAAAGCAATTTAAAGAATTTTGATACTTCAAAAAATAAGCCCATTATAAAATTAGCTTTTCCTGTAGATTTTGGTCAAAAAAGGAAGTGGAGCATTTCTCCACATTGGTATGTCCGATTGACACCAAGCTTGGGTCCATAGTTCCCCATGTCTTCATTAGGCATCGTGCACAATTTCAGGCCATCGCCACAAGGTGGCGTTCTTTAAAATGAAGAAGTTAATATCTCCTCATCAGCACATGTGATTAAAATGAAACTTGGTACGATGCTTGCCCACAAGGTGGCGCTCTGGTGGCATGGTAAATCACTGTGCGGAGACCGTAATAGTTATGAATATGAAATTCACAGGGCACATGTAGAGTGGTGCCTGCAGCCCACATACCAAAAATCGTGTTTGTCGTGTTTGTAGCACCCCCTACAGTATTTAAAAAAAGCAGACCCGACGCCACGTTTCACTGATATGTATGAAACTCGGTAGGCACGTGTAACGTGCCGAGACCTACAGAAAAGCTTCTTGGACCCATATACCAAACCCCACGGGAAGTCGGCCATTTTGAATTGTGTTTTTTTCGCTACAGCGCAAAATGTCCATAAACTATGTTTATGTGTTCCTCCTATACGTTTTTGTCCGATTTGCAAAAAAATAAGCGTAGCATTCAAGAGTAGGCTAAATACATTCCTCTTTGATAAAGCTTATAGTTAGGGCTGGATCAGGTGAGACCTGAACCATCCCTTAGTTATGCTGCTATAGGCCTAGACTATCGGGGGATTTCCCATGGTGCACTGAGCTCCTCCCTTCCTCTCTCTTTCTGCACTCATTCATGTCCCATTAATGCATGTTACTTCACTTCTTCCCCGCAGTTCTTGTGCTTTTCGTCTCGTAGGTTCTCATGGATCCTGGTGGAGCCTCCTGCCATGGTCCTGCTTGACTGCCATTGCCAATACTGTTGTTGCTGTGCACCTGTCTGTCTGTCTGTTCTCGTCTCTCTCTCTCTGCCTCTCTCTCTCGCTCTCTCTCTCTCTGCCTCTCTCTCTCTCTCTCTCTCTCTCTCTCTCTCACCCCAACTGGTCGAGACAGACAACCACCCACCTAGAGCCGGAGGATCTGTCTAGGTTTCTGCCTTTTAACAGGCAGTTTTTCCTTGCCCTTGTCGCCAAGTGCTTGCTCATGGTGGTACTGTTGGGTCTCTGTAATTAATGTTAAAGAGTTCGGTCTAGACCTGCTCTATTTGAAAAGTGTCCTGAGATAACTTCTGTTATGAATTGGCGCTATACAAATAAAATTGAATTGAATTGAATTGAATTGAATAAGCACGTTATAAAATTAGCACTTCCTGTGGATTTAACGTCAAAAAAGGAAGTGGAGCATTTCTCCACATTGGTATGTCCGATTGACACCAAGCTTTGGTCCATAGTTCCCTATGTCTTTCTTAGGCATGGTGCACAATCGTGAACAATTTGAGGCCACCGCCACAAGGTAGAGTTCTTTAAAAGGAAAACGTTTATATCTTCATATCGGCACGTGAGGTATGATGATTGGCCATGGCTCCCTGAGGCTCCCTAAAAAATGTGTCAATAATCCGCCACTAGGTGGTGCTCTGGTGGCAGTTTAAATAACAAAGTGGTACTATGCATAGACCATAATAGTTATGAATATGAAATTCACAGGGCAGGTGTAGACTGGTGCCTGTAGCTCACATACCAAAAATCGTGTTTGTCGTGTTTGTAGCACCCCCTACAGTATTTCAACAAAGCAGCCCTGGCACCACGTTTCACCGATATGTATGAAACTAGGTAGGCACGTGTAACTTGCCGAGACCTACAGAAAAGCCCCTTGGACCCATGCCCCAAAACCCACAGGAAATCAGCTATTTTTATTTTCATTTTCACTCTCGGCGGCCATTTTGTTTGTCATTTTCACTTTAGGCAAATTTTTGCCTTGTATTTGAACGAACTCCTCATAGGGGACATATTGGATCTACTTCAAAATTGGACAGTACAATAAAAAAAAATTTGCTGATTAAAATGAAAGCGTAAGTCTTTTGCACAGTGTCTGACACGTTTGACAACGTAGAGCGGTCTCCCTCAGCTTCTGGCGATGACGGCTTGGGAGTGGGGTGACGTGGGGTGACGTGGGGTGATGTGGGGTGACGTGACGTGGCGTGGTGCGGCTGCGGCGGGCGACCGCCGTGCAGGCCCCGACGTAGGTTGACGGCAAGGTCCCGCCCAATGCTGCTTGCAGCTTTAATTTAAAATGTGTTTGCAGGGTGTTTTTGTTTTCAACTCTACTGATTGGAAGGATAACCTGTAGTCCTATACAGAATGGTAAGATATTCCTATGTTTTTTTGTTTCAGTTAAATAAATCAGAATGCCTAACATTCTGTTCTCCAGACTATAGATCAGAAGCTGCAGCTCCATCTGGAAGCCATCTTCTCCTGGATATTGGTTCAGTGGCAGTGGTGAGTTCTGACCTGGGCAGCAGTGACACAAACCCCGAACCAGTCTTCAGTGACGTGTTTGAGCTGGAGCTACTGTACTCCTTCAGCTCTTGTACGCGCTACCAGCAAGGAAGGGCGATGTTGGCTCAAAGCTGCTACACCCCAGGAGGGCCCGTTTCCCCACCCATGGCAGCAGCCAGACGCATTACTAAAACCCCTTGAAAGCAAAGCAGCTCTGTTAAAGCACCAACCAAAGGTGGCTTATAAAGGTTGTTCTGGTAAGGCCTAATTCCCTCAATATCTACAATGTTCTCTGTATCTGACAGTTGACTTCTCTTGCCTTTACCTTGCAGGTCTCAATGCTCCAGATTTCGTAACAGATTTTTTGTATGAACTTAAGCCTTTCTGATTAATGGAAAGGTTGTCTCCTGTGGGAAGTGTACAGTTTGGTGTTTCATCTATCTCTTTCATCTGACCATGATATTCTTTTACAGAGACTTGAGCATCAAATTCGCATTAAAGGAACCGCACTAAGCTGGTTTAGGTCATACTTATCAGATCGTTCTCATTTTGTACACATTAACGATGAATCTTCCATAAATACTTTTTTTAGTCATGGAGTTCCACAAGGTTCTGTACTTGGACCAATACTATTTACTTTATATATGCTCCCTTTAGGCAACATTATTAGGAATCACTCTATTAACTTTCATTGCTATACAGATGATATACAGTTATATCTATCGATCAAGCCCGATGAAATTAATCAATTATCTAAACTACTCTAGATGGCATTACCTTGGCCTCTAGCACCACTGTCAGGAATCTTGGAGTTATCTTTGATCAGGACTGCCTTCTTTCATTTACGTAATATCCCAAAAATTTGACACATCCTCTCACAGATGGATGCAGAAAAACTAATCCATGCATTTGTTACTTCTATGCTGGATTACTGCAATTCCTTATTATCAGGTTGCCCAAATAAGTCCATTAAGACGCTCCAATTAATTCAGAACGCTGCAGCACGAGTACTGACAGGAACTAGAAAAAGAGATCACATCTCTCCTGTACTAGCTTCTCTGCACTGGCTCCCTGTAAAATTTAGAATAGAATTTACAATCCTCCTCCTCACCTATAAAGCTCTTCATGGTCAGGCCCCTTCATATCTGAAAGAGCTAATAGTACCCTATTACCCTACTAGAACACTGCACTCTCTGAATGCAGAGCTACTTGTGGTTCCTATAGTCTCTAAAAGTAGAACAGGAGCCAGAGCTTTCAATTACCAAGCTCCTCTCCTGTGGAACCAGCTTCCAGTTTGGGTCCAGGAGGCAGACACCCTCTCCACATTCAAGAGTAGGCTTAAGACGTTCCTCTTTGATAAAGAGCTAAAAAGCTTATAGAACCATCCCTTAGTTATGCTGCTATAGGCCTAGACAGCTGGCGGACTTCCCATGATGCACTGAGCTCCTCTCTTCGCTTTTTCTTTCTGCACACACTCATTTCCCATTAATGCATATTATTAACTTCACTTCTTCCCTGGAGTTCTTGAGCTTTCTCGTCATACAGGTTCTCATAGATCCTGGTGGTGCTTGCTGCCATGGTCCTGCTTGACCCCCACTGCTAATATTACTATTTTATCATTCATCCCCCATTGTTGCGGCTATTAGTCATTTCTCCTAGTATAGTGGTTGCTGTGCACCTTTATCTTTGTTTCGGTCCTCTTTGCCACCCATCTACTAGACCTACTCTATTTGAAAAGTGTTCTGAGATAACTTATGATTGAACCAGTTGGGGCAGTGGCCAGGCAGGGGAGAGCCACAAAGTGACAAGTAGGCTCATGGGCAGCAAGAGACTGCAGACTGTACTGGCTTTGTGTGCCCCCTTCAAGTGCCTGGACAAACTTGTAGTGGTTTGTGTTCGTTTTACACTTTGTATTTTTTTGTTACTGTGTGTCTGGGATATTGTATTCTCTTTTAATAGTGGTTCTGCCATAACTAGGTAAAAATACAGGAAGGGGAAATTGTCAGGGAGGCATGTTTTAATGCAACATTGTAAATTACCTGTACCTTAGACAATAGTGACTGATTTACAGGCAGAGCACTGACTGCTGTTAGTGGATTTTAGGATCTTTGTGTAGTTTGGGGTGTTAATTATTTCAGCTTTGTTTCTAGTACTGCAGCTGATGGTGGCCTCCAGTCATGGTGTAGTTGGGAGTAAACTGGATGGTGGTATGCCTCCTATGGCTTCGCAGCCACAGTATGACATTTCTCTCCTTTAGGATTTAGTAAATGTGCCAATAGCTAGTTATCCTACACTGACTGTTCTGCCTCTTTGAATCCATGTGTTACAATTCACTGTTACATTAGGGTCACAGCTAGCATCCAATACTGCTCAATGTTCGTGAGAAGCCAACTGTTCCACAATGATCACAATTTGCACTGGTACAGTCTACATGACTGGTTGGGAGCCACTGGCCTAAAATGTACCCAAAACAACAAAACCTAGAGCGACAAGGTGAGACAGCTAGGTGCCCCTTAAAAAGTTTAAACCATCTTTAGTTAGCCAACTAGATTTCTCCCTTTAGCGTTGCCATTATCTAATGTCTCAGTGTATTGACTGTTCACTCCCACCCCTTTTGGAACCCAGTCAACTTTCCTGTATTCAGATAGGCTATGTTGAACAGAAACTTGAAATGCAACAGTTGCAACTCGGGTCAGCAAATCACTAGCATATTACTAATATTGGCCAACCTGAGAGGTTACAACTGTCTAAGACAGCTAGCTTCCTCAACACGGCTCACAATGTCAGATGCAAGTCAAAATAGGGCCTGGTCCAAAATGTTCCACTGAAACATTGCCCTGCTAAAGTCTACAGGACTGTTACTGCTAAGAAGTTTTAGACTTTGGAAATCTGTAATAAAGCAATACTGTGGAAATGTTCAAAGTAAAACCCAAGACGAACAGTGAAGGTTAGAATTTATTGGCATCATCAATGAGTCATCTGGGACATTAAACCTGCAAAAGCACAGACATTAGTGGGGCAACCATTTAAGGTAATCCATTATAGTACACTGATCAGAGACTGAGGGAATTAGGCCTTACCAGAACAACCTTTAGAAGCCACCTTTGGGTGGTGCTTTAGCAGGGCTGCTTTGCTTTGAAAGGGGTTTTACTACTGCGTCTGGCTGCTGCCATGGGGAGAACGGCCTCTCCTGGGGTGTAGCGGCTTTGAGCCAACATTGCCCTTCCTCGCTGGTAGCGCGAACGAGAGCTGAAGGAGTACAGTGGCTCCAGATCAGACACGTCACTGAAGACTGGTTCGGGGTTTGTGTCGCCGAACTCAGTGCCCGTAGCAGATCCAGAGCTCTGGCTCTCATCTTGAGGGGACACACTGAACCCGTAAGAACTGTCCCCTACATAAGCGCCAGCATAGTCACCAACTGGAGCACTGCCGTAATACCCGCTAGGTTGAGCGGCATAAGAGACCTCATAATTGCCTGCCTTGGGGTTGCTATAGCCGCCATCCCAGACATTAGCGTAGCCACCGAATGACGGAGCCATGTTAGTGGCATCTTGAGCAGCTTTGACAGAGTTTGGGTTGGGTAGACTTGGTAGAGAGGAGCTGCTGCCCGGGTCAGAACTCACCCCTGTGCCACTGAACCAATACCCAGGAGAAAGTGGCCGCTGCCTAAAGCTTGGATCATCACTGCTCGAGCCTAGGGAGAAACAGGATTTGGTTTGATATGGGGCCAGCATTCATTTAAGGGAGTTAAAATGGTGCACAGGATATAGAATTTAAGTTCAGTATTCTTACCTTTCCACGCAGGGCCACAGGTAACGCTCCTGATCAGCAGACATGAAACCAGTAGCACCCTTGAGCAAGTAGAGACACGGCTGTCAAATCACAAGTTGTTCAGTAGCCATTTAAGAACACACAGTAACTTCCTTACCTCATTGTAGCACAGGTAAGTGGGTAAATTGCAGATACAGTAAGGGTTTGGAACTTCTCACCAAAAGACTGCACATTCAAAGGATGACAAAGATTAAAATTATAGTTAACCACACTATTACACCAACAATGGCAGTTAAAGCCCTAAAGCCCAACCACAAACCAACACATACCTGCAGGAGCTGCTCCGTAGTGGCTTCAATCTACAACAGCTGCTTTTAAATGGTTCTCAGTGCTGTGGGAACTGATTGCTCATTGGTAGCGGCCTGTGGTAAAAGACACCTGTATGGTTAATTGACCTCGTTAAAGAGGAAACAATGGACTGAAGAGGGCATCTTGAAGTTGTCTTTGCTATAGGGGGGTGAAAAAGGACATTTATGAACTGAAACAAATTATGGGAAATTATGGGATTACTTGGTGTCGTTTCAAATGACAATGCTGCCAATGCAATATACATTTCTTACTGTCAGCAAATCCCAAACAATCCTACAAACAAGTATTGTGTGTGTATTCGCAGTCTGATATATCTTCTTCCTCTGTGCCATAGAGCTCCATTGTTGTCCAAAACTATTAGAAACACATCATTGGGTCACACTGTTGCAGATGTTCCTTCAAGTAAAGGAACATGTGCAACAGTGGTTTGTATGGGGTTCATTACTTAAAATAAATGCATCATGTCCTCCTGTTTGTAGCTATTTTTCAGATTTTCAGAGCATTCTCAATACATTCTTTATGGGGCATCTACTATGTAACATATACAGTAAAGTGCACAGAACATGCTACTGTTGTAGAGACTGAAAAAGAATAAAATATACATCAAGTACATGACTGATGTTTAAAAGATTGTTTAAAAGGAGTCCTTACATTCAAAACATTTATGTTGCACAATGGGTTCTTTGTTTGACCTGAAGTCCCAAGATCATCAGTGAGATGGCGCCATCTCCCTATTATGGGCTTTTTCCGCCTGTATACTGAGCTCTTTAGATTTTCCCGCTGTGATTTTTGTGGCTGAAGTGTATATCATTCATTCATCACATATTACATAACATATACTATGTTATACTAATACACAGTACGTTTCTGTATGTATACTTTTAACACATCAGAGTGTCATATTCAAACTCCTCACCTACAAAGCTCTTATCTTATATATATCTTAAAGAGATCATAGTACCCTATTACCCCACTAGAACACTACGTTCTCTGAATGCTGGGCTACTTGTGGTTCCTATAGTCTCTAAAAGTAGAACAGGAGCCAGAGCCTTCAGTTACCAAGACACCCTCACCACATTCAAGAGTAGGCTTAAGACATTCCTCTTTGATAAAGCTTATAGTTAGGGCTGGATCAGGTGAGTCCTGAACCATCCCTTAGTTATGTTGCTATAGGCCTAGACTATTAGGGGATTTCCCATGATGCACTGAGCTCCTCTCTTCCTCTCTCTTTCTGCACTCACTGATGTCCCATTAATGCATGTTACTAACTTCACTTCTTCCCTGGATTTTTGTGCCGTCCATGGTCCTGCTTGACTCCCATTGCTAATATTACTGACATTAGTGTTACTATTATTATTACTATTATTATTACTACAGATACTATTATTACTGTAATCACTACTCATTGTCCCCCATCGTAGTTGTCTCATCGTCGCCATTATCTTCTTCATGTTCATCATCATCAGTCACTAATATTAGTGTAGTTGTTGCTACTGTTGTTGCTGTGCACCTCTGTCTGTCTGTCTGTCTGTCTGTCTGTCTGTCTGTCTGTCTGTCTGTCTGTGTCTCTCTGTCTCTCTCTCTCTCTCACCCCAACTGGTCGAGACAGACGACCACCCACCTAGAGCCGAGGGGTCTGTCCTAGGTTTCTGCCTTTTAACAGGCAGTTTTTCCTTGCCGCTGTCGCCAACTGCTTGCTCATGGTGGTACTGTTGGGTCTCTGTAAATAATGCTATGAGGAGTTCGGTCTAGACCTGCTCTATTTGAAAAGTTTCCTGAGATGAAGATGTTATATTTGGCATTGTACAAATAAAGTTGGATGGGTTATTTTGAAAATGTAATCCAATAAAATGAATTACCTGTTAAAAAAATGCAGTCAGTGATGTAATCCAAGTATCACAATACTTAGATTACATTACTGGATTACAAGCTGAAGAAGGTAATTTTTATAAAAACAAATATTTGCTGAAACTTTCACTATATTCAGTTCAGTGGTAAAGAGAGAGAGAGAGAGACAGGATTTTAATCCAGCCTAGAAGTAACAAATGCATGGATTAGTTTTTCTGCATCTGTCTGTGATAGGATGTGTCTGATTTTTGTTATATTACGTAAATGAAAGAAGGCAGTCCTAGAGGTCTGCTTCATGTGGGAATTAAAGGACATATCAAAGATAACTCCAAGATTCCCGGCAGTGGTGCTAGAGGGCAAGGTAATACCATCTAGAGTAACTATATATTTTTTGACAGAGAGTTTTGGAGGTGTTTGGGGCCAAGTGCAAGAACTTCAGAGTTTTTCAGAGTTATATCTTGACAGTAGCAGATAAGACATAATCTGGAGATATTAAAAAAGCTCCTCTAGCACCTCCTAGTGGCATTTTCAAGAATCCACTGGGGCTGAACAAAAACAGATTCAGTTTCTTGTCAGGATTTAGGGAAAGTTTCAAATATGAAAAGTGTAAGTTACATACTGCAGATTTTAAGTATCAAAAGCAAATACAGACAAGTGATTTTATAAGACAGAGCAATGCAACCTTAGAAAAGGAGAAACTGAGATATTTTTCCCTCAAGTGTGTCCTCTACTCTAATCTCTGCATTTAAATGTAATCACAATCACCATTTTAATTAAAAAAAAAAAAAAAAAAGTATTGAGTTGTAAACTAAATGTAATCACATTCCCACAAGAAAATTATCTACAATACATCAGAATTAGTTTGAGACCAAAACCACTTTTTGCTCTGCCGTCATTGGTCCAAACCCAAAGCAAGATGTCAAACTTTCTAGACACAGTGAAGACTCTTATAGGAAGCAAGTACCTTCCAAGATTAGATATTTTTGCATGATTAAAGTGATTGTTATGTATATGTTATGTAATATGTGATGAATGAATGATATACACTTCAGCCACAAAAATCACAGCGGGAAAATCTAAAGAGCTCAGTATACAGGCGGAAAAAGCCCATAATAGGGAGATGGCGCCATCTCACTGATGATCTTGGGACTTCAGGTCAAACAAAGAACCCATTGTGCAACATAAATGTTTTGAATGTAAGGACTCCTTTTAAACAATCTTTTAAACATCAGTCATGTACTTGATGTATATTTTATTCTTTTTCAGTCTCTACAACAGTAGCATGTTCTGTGCACTTTACTGTATATGTTACATAGTAGATGCCCCATAAAGAATGTATTGAGAATGCTCTGAAAATCTGAAAAATAGCTACAAACAGGAGGACATGATGCATTTATTTTAAGTAATGAACCCCATACAAACCACTGTTGCACATGTTCCTTTACTTGAAGGAACATCTGCAACAGTGTGACCCAATGATGTGTTTCTAATAGTTTTGGACAACAATGGAGCTCTATGGCACAGAGGAAGAAGATATATCAGACTGCGAATACACACACAATACTTGTTTGTAGGATTGTTTGGGATTTGCTGACAGTAAGAAATGTACATTGCATTGGCAGCATTGTCATTTGAAACGACACCAAGTAATCCCATAATTTCCCATAATTTGTTTCAGTTCATAAATGTCCTTTTTCACCCCCCCTATAGCAAAGACAACTTCAAGATGCCCTCTTCAGTCCATTGTTTCCTCTTTAACGAGGTCAATTAACCATACAGGTGTCTTTTACCACAGGCCGCTACCAATGAGCAATCAGTTCCCACAGCACTGAGAACCATTTAAAAGCAGCTGTTGTAGATTGAAGCCACTACGGAGCAGCTCCTGCAGGTATGTGTTGGTTTGTGGTTGGGCTTTAGGGCTTTAACTGCCATTGTTGGTGTAATAGTGTGGTTAACTATAATTTTAATCTTTGTCATCCTTTGAATGTGCAGTCTTTTGGTGAGAAGTTCCAAACCCTTACTGTATCTGCAATTTACCCACTTACCTGTGCTACAATGAGGTAAGGAAGTTACTGTGTGTTCTTAAATGGCTACTGAACAACTTGTGATTTGACAGCCGTGTCTCTACTTGCTCAAGGGTGCTACTGGTTTCATGTCTGCTGATCAGGAGCGTTACCTGTGGCCCTGCGTGGAAAGGTAAGAATACTGAACTTAAATTCTATATCCTGTGAACCATTTTAACTCCCTTAAATGAATGCTGGCCCCATATCAAACCAAATCCTGTTTCTCCCTAGGCTCGAGCAGTGATGATCCAAGCTTTAGGCAGCGGCCACTTTCTCCTGGGTATTGGTTCAGTGGCACAGGGGTGAGTTCTGACCCGGGCAGCAGCTCCTCTCTACCAAGTCTACCCAACCCAAACTCTGTCAAAGCTGCTCAAGATGCCACTAACATGGCTCCGTCATTCGGTGGCTACGCTAATGTCTGGGATGGCGGCTATAGCAACCCCAAGGCAGGCAATTATGAGGTCGCTTATGCCGCTCAACCTAGCGGGTATTACGGCAGTGCTCCAGTTGGTGACTATGCTAGCGCTTATGTAGGGGACAGTTCTTACGGGTTCAGTGTGTCCCCTCAAGATGAGAGCCAGAGCTCTGGATCTGCTACGGGCACTGAGTTCGGCGACACAAACCCCGAACCAGTCTTCAGTGACGTGTCTGATCTGGAGCCACTGTACTCCTTCAGCTCTCGTTCGCGCTACCAGCGAGGAAGGGCAATGTTGGCTCAAAGCCGCTACACCCCAGGAGAGGCCGTTCTCCCCATGGCAGCAGCCAGACGCAGTAGTAAAACCCCTTCAAAGCAAAGCAGCCCTGCTAAAGCACCACCCAAAGGTGGCTTCTAAAGGTTGTTCTGGTAAGGCCTAATTCCCTCAGTCTCTGATCAGTGTACTATAATGGATTACCTTAAATGGTTGCCCCACTAATGTCTGTGCTTTTGCAGGTTTAATGTCCCAGATGACTCATTGATGATGCCAATAAATTCTAACCTTCACCGTTCGTCTTGGGTTTTACTTTGAACATTTCCACAGTATTGCTTTATTACACAGATTTTCCAATGTCTAAAACTTCTTAGCAGTAACAGTCCTGTAGACTTTAGCAGGGCAATGTTTCAGTGGAACATTTTGGACCAGGCCCTATTTTGACTTGCATCTGACATTGTGAGCTGTGTTGAGGAAGCTAGCTGTCTTAGACAGTTGTAACCTCTCAGGTTGGCCAATATTAGTAATATGCTAGTGAGTTGCTGACCCGAGTTGCAACTGTTGCATTTCAAGTTTCTGTTCAACATAGCCTATCTGAATACAGGAAAGTTGACTGGGTTCCAAAAGGGGTGGGAGTGAACAGTCAATACACTGAGACATTAGATAATGGCAACGCTAAAGGGAGAAATCTAGGTGGCTAACTAAAGATGGTTCAAACTTTTTAAGGGGCACCTAGCTGTCTCACCTTGTCGCTCTAGGTTTTGTTTTTTTGGGTACATTTTAGGCCAGTGGCTCCCAACCAGGGGTTGCCCAATATTCAATGGGGGGGGGGGTCACAAGGCTGTGATTTAAAGGTGTGCTAGAAAATGTTCAACAGTAGGCCTATATCTCTGCACTTAGTTCACTTCTGGGAAGAAAATGTAACTTGTCTAGAACAATGTCCCAGTGTTAGGAGAAGAAAATGCTGAATTTGTCAAAGAAGTCTATATAGTAAAATGCATAAACCAGAATTGTGAAGTTCCCATATACCTTTCAATTTGTACTAAATATAACAGCCAAATATTACATGAATGTAAATTACACTAAACGACCTCAGATGTATAAGGAAGGTCAAATGTTCTGCCAGAAAATTCAGTTGGTTTAATCTAGTCCCATGTTCAGTGCATTTAGTTTATTTAATTCTGTTTATCTTGTGGCGTTAAATTGAACTAAGCCAGGGGTGTCAAACTGATCTGTGAAAGGGCCAAAAACTTGCACCCACGCTTTAATCAAGGGTGGCTGTTTTTGTTCCAATCAAGCAAGAGGACACCTGAAATGACTGTGTGAAGACAGTTCAGATGACTGAATGAACCAAGTCAGGTGTGCTGCTGCATGGTTGGAATGAGAACCTGCAGCCACACCGGCCCTTTCACGGATCAGTCTGACACCCCTGAACTGAGCAGTGGGAGGTGTGACCCATGCTGAAGAAGATATACTTTATTAATCCCCCAGGGAAACTGTTCTCTTCACTTTAAAAAAAAGTTCCTCCAGTTCCCAAACCAAGTCCCTACACACTGAGCCCCTGGAAACAACCAGGCAACACCCAGAAGGATACATAAACATTGGAGGAATATTTAAACAATAAAAGAGTATATACATTTTGAATTGTGCTGCTATGGGTTTAATGAGTGTGCAGCTGACAGTGTATTGTTTGAGTTCCTGGTGAAGGCAACAAAGCAGTTTCCTTCCACTCAACTTTCTTTTAGAAATCTGGAATTTGGCAACAAAAACACAAACAAACTGTTTACGTTTACAATTCCCTCGCATAAGTTGCTTCGCTTTGGTTACGTCATTTCCGACAATAGCGCCAGCCAATCCCTTGAGCCCAGGACGATGCGTAACGTTATGACGTATAATTTCAGCGCCATTTGAGATGTTTTCAACAGCATTGTACATCCAGAGCATGTTGGGATATTAAAACCGAGTCTGTGCGTATGTCACATAGAGTGGCCTGTAACGTCAGCTGAGTGTGTGTGTGTGTGTGTGTGAGAGTGTGTGTGTGTAATGGGGAGATGACTGCAGCTGTCCTCTCGGCGATACGTCTTCTCACGAAGCCTCTCGGCGGTAAGTGATAGTTTGACACGCCGAGGACACCGTAGATATTTACCGACAGAAAGAACGAGTACCGTACTGACCTTTAACGACGAGTGTACAGCGACCTGTTACCGGATATAAGATTGTAGTCTTTGTAACGAGAAACCATCTCCAACCAATGAGACAGTCTTCCGTAAACACTGTAATAGTAACTCATTATAATGACTTACATTATCTTTATTTGACAATTTAACAGTTTATATTAGATTTATACAGTTTTTAGCTAAATTTAATTAATTAATTATTATTAATTTAATTTTAGAAGATCTTCAATCATTTATTTTAGAGCTTTTTCAACCATTCATCCGTTCCTTAGCAACCTGTTTACTCCCCGCTTGCTAACTAACTAGCTAGTTTTCACACAGCTGTTGTCCAGATGTTACCGCTAACTCAATATGTTTATATAGCTAGAAATATATTTATATATTTTATTTAACTGCAAAAACACTCCTGCTTGGGACTCACTGGCGTACCACATTAGTTGTACACAACCCATAATGCAATGTTCTGTGTGTTATTGTCTGTAGAGGTGCATGATGCTCAGTCCTCACACCAAGAGACCCTCTCAGCAGCGCTGCGGGCCAACAGAGCCTTCCTCCTCCAGCAGCTTCACAGTGAGCGCAGCTTTGAGGAGGTGAAGAGGCTGAGGGGGGAGGTGATGGTGGCGGCAGAATGGTTCTCCAGCAATACAGAGGACGCCACATGGGTCTTTGTCCAGGAGTGTCTCCTGCTGCTCCTCGCCTTAGCGCGACACCTTTCTGTTGAACTTGAACTTTTCAAGCAGACTCCTGCTCCCTCCACGGCTAAACTATGCACCCCTGAGATGGCGCCGCCTTTACCTCCTGACACCCTGAGTGTCACCCAGCAGAAGACGCTTGGAACCGCTCTTCAGTTTGTGATTTCTTTGGGGCTCTGCCCCTACCTGGCCCCTGGAGTGGGTGTGCCACTGGCCCGCAGGTCAGCGTTTGGAGTCATGGTGGAGAAACTTGTTTGCGGTGGGGCGGTGCCAGCAGTGGGCCGCCGCCTTTACACCACAACAAATGTCCTGTTGCAGTTGTCAGAGCTGTCATCTCTCGCCACACTAGTGTTCACGCGACATTTGGGAGATGTAATGGCTGCTCTGTGCCAGCTTGGATACCAGCCACACCGGGCAGGGAGTGACACAGAGGAGGAGAAGGTAACACACCAGAATATCTCATTTCTTCACCTGTTAGTAGGATTTATTGGCAAGACAGGACTTGAAGTAAACTGTGCAGTTAAGTGATCGTATTATTTTTGTCAATTGCTTTTGATGCCCGAGGACAAGATAAATAAAAGGCACCTTTTTTTTTTCCTTCTTGCAAACTCTTTAGATGCAGGAGCTCAGTGCTGAGGAACGTCAAACCTGCAGGGAAGCCCTCAAAAGCCTTCTAGGAAAAGTCTACCAGCCAATCGTCATCAAGGAGCTGCTGATCCTCCAAGGTGGACCCAAACAGGTGTGCTTGTCTGTGTTTGGTGGGAGGAGTACGGCGCTGACAGCTGGAAATAGGAGTGATAATAGTGTGCTTATTATTTGATGAATATTTGAAATTATTATATAGTGTAGTTGCTGGCCCTTGGTTAGATAGCTAGACTTGCTCTTCAATACCACTGCTAACAGCACGCTGTCTGCCCATTGCTTGTGTGCTTCAGTTAAAGTACATTTTAACTGAGACAAAAAAAAATATCTGATATTTCCCCAAAGACCTTTTTCTTCCTTTTTGATAATAAGGAAATAAGAACACATTTAAAGGTTATATATACACAATATTGACTTGGCACTGGGTGGCGCACTAGAGCACCAGCATCTTGTTTTTGCCACTGACGGACTCAGATTGAGTAAGTATCTGACGACATTATGGAAAGGATCCTTACAGAGATAGACCTTGATGTAATATTGCTATTGCTCTCCACCAGACTATGTAGACAAAAACTGTAATTTTACTTTGCCTTGACTGTAAAAAGGGATGACTAAAGGTGATTTTAGTTGGACTTTGGTATAATAATAATATAAGCCTATCAAAATTACAATACTGGATATGTTTTAGAACTTATTTAAAAACTACATTTCCGTATAAGAGAAGGCCAAGATGGCAGGCTTCTATTATTAAAGCTTCCCTGTGTTTTCTTCTAAACAAGCGAAGGACTAACAAACGCGTCGAGTCCTTCCTCAAAAAACAATAATGAAATGCTGTTCTCCATTCAGATTTCCCAGTTGCGGTGTTTATAAGGCTCACTGTAAGGCCATTTTTCATGTGTGCTGTCCCTCCTTCCAGTCTGCTGCAGTGAGAAGCTCCAGTGGTCCCAGCAGCAGCAGGGCAGCTCTGGGATCAGCTCCGGCCTGGCTGAGGCGTCTGTGTGGCCAGCTGCTGTCTGAACGCCTGATGCAGCCTAACGGTGTCCAGGCTGTTGTCAGAGCCATCCTGGGGGGAGGAACAGGTGAGTAGGAGGGAAGGTAATGATAGAAGAATGTCTCCACACTGTGTTTGCCTCTGCTATATCATTTTCTTAGCATCTTGTATTTTACCTTTTGGATCTTTTTATTCAAATTTAGAGAATGGAACTTGTATTTGATGCATTCAAACCTAACTAGATCACTGTTTCTGTCCTCCAGGGGATGAGTCAGACTGGAGGAAATGTGAGAGTGTGGCCAAGATCCTGGTGACCTGTCCTCAACAGTCCTCAGCAGACAGCTACTACAGACAAGTCTGTCCTCAGGTCAGCTCACCCACCCACCAGTCGGCTGTGCTGTTTTTGAACTAAAATGGCGCGTATCTCCTCACCAGTGGAAGAGGCACAGTCTGTGGGAGCTGGTTAGCTTGCCGACCCCTGGCAGAGACCCAAAAAGTCTGTTGTTTTTAGTTCCCCTGTTCTACTGAGACACTTTGATCTGCAACTTCACTGCTAGAGCTCACTAAATCCTACACACTGGGCCGTTGTGTCAAAGCAGGCTGATTACGCAGTGAGAGGACAGACACACAGTAGAACAGCTTTTCTTCAGAGCACAGACTGTCAGAATTTTACAAATGGCATTCAAAATAATGAAATCATTGTAAATACAAGGACAAATCGCCATGTGCACCAATCTATCCAGCTGCTCTGTTGTAACATGAGCAGTTTCCAAAGCGATCTGCGTTCTCCCGGGGAAATCTAGCTGGTGAAATTGTGTTTCTTTAGTCTCCCATCCAAATTTTGAAAACGGTGTTTCTTGTTTGTCAACTACATAATTCTGATTGCTTGTAAAAGGAAGAAGGCTAAACTTATTTGAAAGAGAAAACGTAAAATAATTACGCAAACTGTCAATCGATCATCCATCACAGTTTGTTTGTAGTAATTGTTACCGTAAAGAATTTGTTCATTTGAAGTGTCTTTGTTGTTTTTCTTGTTGTTTTTCTTGCTGTCTAGATACTGGACCTCCTGCACTTTAAAGACAAGCTGACAGCCCAACAGTTTCAGCGTGTGGCCACCAGGGCGGTGCTCTCTGTGGTGCAGGAGAAGCCCAGCTTTGGCCAGCAGTACCTGCTCACTCCTCTTTTCGCGCCTCTTCACCGCTGCACCACTGCTTCCAGTCAGTAACACCACCATTTAAACATATGTGTGAGATGTAACATTCAAAGTGGAGGTAGTATTAGTAGAAAAAAAAGAAAAAAAGAAAGTGACTTGACTCGGGCTCTTCTCTTCACATAAACAGCCAATGGATGATAAGTCAGATACCAAAAGGGCTAAACATGTTGTTGTTGAAATGTGTTGGTGCATGTGTGTGTTTTACAGACGATGGTGATTCCCAAGCTACTGTGGAGGAATGGGAGCTGACACGTTGTATAGAGGACATATACAAGGTAAGGACACCCAAACGCATCCATTTCTTTCTTTTTATTAAGTGAGGGAAAACTGTCCTAGTATAAAGAACACACCAGCATATGCATAAAACCAGAGCAGTGGGATCTGCATTTGTATTTATCACAGTCGCTGTAACATCCAACATCATAGCCCACAGTTTACATAACTGTTTAACTTTGCTGTCCAGGTTGGGGGTTTAAACACAATAATCAATAGTGTTTTTGAGAATTGATACAATATCACAAAAAAAGGAATGCGATACTCAAGTGTATCGATATTTTCCTACTTCCCTAGTGATGATCTTATAGAATATGATGCATTGCTGTTGATAGTTAAAGCTTTTACTTAGTTGTAGTTAGAGGCTAACTAGCTGTTAGCTAGCTTCAGCTCTGCTGTGAAGAGTACAAGAAGACACAGAGAAATGTTACATAAACCGGGACTTTTTATTTCTTTTCCGTGGCAGCAAACACAACACACAGCCTTCTATGGCGTTTTCACACTTAAAAGTCCTGACCAAGGTCGGGACCAACGTTGGTGTTTAATTACATTGTATACATTTGATCCCGTTATTTCTGGTTTCACATAGTAATTTTGCTAGCGCACTAAAGAACTTTCCATGACATACCTACGGCGTGTTGTCACCACGTACGTGTGTTGCGTCTCCCTTTGATTGGTTAGTAGACGGGCGTGTGTCTGACGTTGGCGTGTAGTTATTTTGGCGGGTAGTCTTTTCCGTATGAATGAAAATGAATGAGCAAATCCCGATTGCGTTATTATGGTATTACTACCAGCAGCAACAACGTCGGCCCCAGCTGCAAGCACAATACTCGCGAGGAATGTACGTTCTCGTAGTGCAAAATACGTACCCTCTCTCTTTCATCCGTCAGAAAATGTTTTGTAAATGTCGACATTTTTGTGAGTGTTTTCTAACTGACTTTTAATGTTTTCGTCTGACCAAATTGAAATTAAACATATAATCTCCCCCTCTCCCCACGTACTTCCACGACTCATTTCTGCTTGTTCTGGCGGGGGTTTTATTACGTTTTTTTCTTCTTCTATGGTACATATGCCTAACTTCCTGTAATTGGTCCGAAAGTCCGAAGCATCCAAAAAGTGTTTTCATACTGTAAACGAACCGAACCATGGTTCAGTTTGATCCGGACCAAGACCACCTCTTTAGTTCGGAACAAATTTTGGTCTTTTGATCCAGACCGTGGTCCGTGGCACCTTTCTCACCTACAATTTTGGTTCGGACCAAACTGAAAAGTCCGAAGGTCCGGACCGAATGAGGTATGTGTGAAAACGCCTAATACTGCAACCAGAGCTGGCAGTGTGGGGATAAAACCTGGTGAAATATTTGATGGCAACAGAGTAACTTTTTGTGGCCGTGGGCCCCTCAGCTCCACAATGATGCACTTCAACTGCATAGTAATGACCAGAGCTCATTCCCTTGGTACCCACTATGTCTCAGTGTCCTCGACTAGTGGTTCCCAACCTGGGGGTGGGGGACACCCACTAGGGGTCGACAAGCTTCGAAGGTGGCCCTTCTTGATTTTAAGGGGTGTAACAAAACTTAAATACACAGTAGGCCTATATCTTAGCATTTTATTCAGTTCAGATAGTTTAGACAGTATGTATGATTGTTGATTGAAAAAATAGAAAATACACAATACAGACAGGGAATTGTATAAAGAGTTGCAGAAAATATTGCTATATATAAATAATTTGCTTAGAATTCCTCCAAATCTCAGGTTTTACACAAACTTCCTGCAGTTATTGTGTTCACTGTTTGGGTTCATTGTACAGTTTATAATTTGTTTCTACTATTATTGTGTGTAAAATATGTCACAGTGTATCTGGCGATATTTTCTAAAATATGCAACAATCCATATATGATCATTGCACTGCATGGTACTGTAATGAATTGTAAAACTGAACATGAATGATATTCACTGAATTCTGTTAAAATACAGTAAGTGTTTTTGGTGCTCTTGTGTCTCTTGTTGCTGTCAGATCTGGGTGGTTGGAAACACTCCTTCAGCTTCTCTCCTCAAAGCTCTAGAACAAGTTCTTCCTGTCATCTTTGCACTCTTCTGTTTCACCAAGCAGAACGTCTCCCACCTACGGTAATGTTTTCCCTGTGTTATCAGCTGAGATTTTCATCTACAAATAACAGCACTCTGATAAATAACAGCCCCAAACATATATAAAGACGGACAACACGACAGCTCTCCAAAAAGTGAAGCCAAAACATCTATGTCGTCCCCTGGTGGCTGGTTGTAGTAAAGGTCATCAAGCCAGCTGCCTCCATGTTGGCAGGGGCAACAAAAAAAAAAAAGTACACATCAAAATAAATGTTTCCCAAACACAATTTAGGTAGTGTTCTGTCATTTGAGGTAGTTCTTATGATGCTGGTGTATGATCAGGTGTTTATTCTGATCAGTTTGGTTTTAATTAGTTATTTGAAGGTATAAGTAAACCGGTTTCCCGCCATGATTGACAATCGAGCCTGCTCGTGACTAAGTCAGCCAGACCTTGATACTGCAGCGCCAACCCCGATCACTACTGTGCGGACTCTGGCTTTGAATGGCGAAAGATGGCAGCGGCTGTATCCGGTTTATTTTGGCTTTAGTGGTAGGAATGTCCATCTTTCATATGTCGATGGTAAAACTGAAACAGCCATACTTCCACAAGTAAATGTCACATCTGGTGCAGTATGAAACTTTCTGTTTTTACTGCACATTAAAATGCTGTTTTCCTGATAATTGTGAATCTGAAACAAAAGGCGGCTTGGCAAGAATTTAAAAAAATAAATAGAAATGTGTCCTTTGTAAAACAGTCAGCAGGAATGTAAAATGTAATTAATCAGATCTAAAGTAGACATTGAAAATTTGCTGTGTGTGTATGTGCGTGTGCGTGTGCATGCATGCGTGCTTTGTGCTGCACAGCGCCCCCTGTCAGGAGATTTTGCTGTGGTACCTGAGCCACATCGAGGCGTCGGTAGCCCTGTCAGCACTGAGGCAGCTCTCAGGTCTACAGGGACAGGAGACCACGGTGGCAGCAGACTTCCACTTCACCCCGGGCAGTGATGGAGGAGCCAGACTCTCTCTCCAAGAGAGCTGCAGGTGATTGACATGTTCTCACTGGTAATCTTTGTGAAACAGCACTGCCTTATTGTGTTAGGGCATGATGCTCACAGCACAAAGCCACCCTCATCTCACTCTACCGGTGATGACTATAACACTCTACATTTCTCAGTGTCTTCCCTCACTTCTCTGTTCTCGCCTCCCAGTGATGAGGATGATGCTCTGTATGAGAAGGTGTCAGGGGAGCAGTGGAGGCTAGAGTGTCTGATGCAGCTGCTGGCTGAACTCAAAGACTATGACCTGCCTGGAGACTTTTTCCTGGAACTGCTGCAGGTACACATACTTACACCTGTAAAACATGATCAGTCCAGTGCAATAAATACTCCTGTGTTTGTATTGCTGAGAATGTGGAGGTAACCTCTGGTCACTGCTTCATTATTTCCTTGCTTCTTCTGCAGGAGCTGACCAGCTGGGCATCTGCAGAAGATGATGAAGAGGAGGAGGATAAACAGGAGCTGGACATTTCAGCCATGACACTGCTGGAGGTGGAGCAGCGGCTGCTGGGAAGAGCTGTGAGGCGAAGCCAGAGACTCGCTTTGCTTCAGGTGTTGGCTGTGATGGTCGAGTCTGTCCAGCCTACTGTGCTGCTGAGGAAAAGCACACAAGTGAGTGGAGAGATATGTACCCAGCAGAAAGAGCTGGAGTTGCAAAACCTGGACTCTTTAGCCACGATGACGCAGAAGTCAAAGTCACTGTAGCTGGAACCAGTATATTTCAGTGTCCTATATTGAATCCCCTTAAACATACAATATGTAGTTTCTGCAGCTAGAGGGTCTCTCAAATGAAGCTGCGTGGGATCATGGGAGTTGTAGTCTTCACCACCATTGCCGTCATTGCAGTCAGCTTCTCCCGGTTAGGATTCCTTCAGTGTTCATGGTTCAGGAGGTTTCTACCGGGAGCCCAATTATCCACAGAGGTCTCCTCCTCTCCAAAACAAACAGACCCGCTGATTAAAACCACTAAACACACTGAATAAAGCAGTTCCACCTTAACAATCACTGCTTCTCCCACACTGTTGGACAGACAAAGGACGTCCTGGAGGGGCTGCGAGCCGAGCTGCTGCTAACCTTAGCGCAGCTTGTTTCTCTGATAACTTAAGATCCAGACGTCTAATGACTAAAATCCTTCATCTGGCTCAAATCTCAAATCCAGCCTGGTTTTGGTCTCTATAGCTAATTTCCTCGTTCGTCACAACTGTATTGCGGTGGATTTTCTCACCTGTTTAAATTATATTATGGCAGAGCCGACCACCCTGAGCTTCACAACGGCTATGGGTGACGTCACGCAGACTACGGCCATTTTTACTTAAACAGTCTATGATCTAACCATTTGGTGGTACCACTGCCTCTGCCACCCACTAGCTGGCATTCTGAGGCCCACCAGTGGGCCACACATGTTTGAATGTTTTGCACAAAGTGTCTGTGGTGACGCACTCCTGATAATAGAAAAAACACTGGTGATCTGTTCTGCTGGCAGAATGGTAACAAACCCACACAGGTGACACAAAAACCTAAAAATATACTGCAGAGGATTGTGCTTGCTTGTGTGGAACTGCAGTATGTACAGTACATCTGTCCCGGTTGTGACAGGTTCTGTGTCCTAAATTCATGCTGTTTGGTTGTTTTGTTTAAGAATTAAATTTAATAAGACAGACGTTGCAGGGCAAGCTGCACTATTCTGTTGAAACTCCTCTGAAGCTGCACGTCCCACCCTCTCTTAGGTGCTAGCTCGTCCTCTTGGGATTGCATCTCGGCATAGTTTAAAATCGGCCTGTGCTCCCGTGGGAGTTCTCATAACGGAAGGAGGCCACGTTGAGTCATGCTGCCACACAAAAATAGCCTATTAGCTTCATTTCTGGTAGAGTGGAGGGTGGGGAGAGTTGGCGGCTGGCTGGCTGCTGTTATAGGGCCAACAAACATTCCCTCACAGATTAAGAAACGTTTCTGATAACTCACTTTACTGGAAAATGTCTATTTTTAGATGTCATACCTTTTGGATGTCTTTATAAGGACTGAATGTTTTCTTAGAATTTCCTTTAAAAAAAAGTCCTATTTCCTAAATTGTATATTTAACATACTTGAACCTGAATCTCTTTCTGTTTATTATTTGTGTCCATGACTGAGTTGGTCCTTTGTCCAGGTGGTGGACTTTATTGTGTCCCTGCTTCAGAGGGCCTGTGTGGGCCTGGATCAGGCCACCGGTCCAGGTCTTGGGAACCCAGTAGAGAGCCAGACGCTGAGCATGGGGATTGGCCTAGTGGCCACACTGCTGTCTGGACCTCAGGTATTGACAACTGTAAATGTATGCATGTGTATGTAGGCCTGTTACAGTAATTCCGCTATCGCCTTAATGTACAATATATACATTATATAATTATCAGCTGTCGTTGACTTAAATTTTAAGAATACCACCCAAATATTAGCCAGCATGACAGCAGGGTTTTCCCTACCATTACTATATTGCCTGTGAAGGAAGTGATGACTCTTTATATACCACTGTGCCAAATGTTTTGTATTTATTTAAGGTCAGTTTTTATTAAAGCTGCAGTAGGTAACTTTTATTAAATAGCTTTTTGTGATAATTTCTGAAACTTTCACTATATCCTGACAGTAGAACATGATACAGATAATCTGTGAAACAATCAGGTTCCCCTGGCTCCTCCAAGTGCTCCTAATGACATTTGCAAAAATGCACCGAGCCTGAACAAAAACAACCAATCAGAGTCAAGAAAGATATTTTATTGTTGAGTCTTATTCCCATGTCGTCAGATACAGACACTGGAAATTTGACTCAACAATTAATTACAAAACGTGGCAGACTGTTACAAAATGCAAGTGTTTATTACATAATGTGTTGTTACAAGATGCAATCCACTCTAGTCTGTGGCTACATGATGAGTTTACAGTAGGTGGATAGCAGCTACCTGAGGAGTACAGTGCAGGTGTACAAATACAAATATGATGACCAGATTTAGGATACATGGAAATTATAAAATATATGTGATATCTTATATCTTAAATGTAGAGTAGTAGTAGCGACGTGAAGTAGCGTGGGATCATCGGAGTTGTTGTCTTCATTGTTAAGCAACCACTCAGACACATTTCTGCCTGTTCACAGACAAAGAAATGTATTAAAGTTTATTTCACATCCTGTTTGCTGACTTCCTTCCGTATTCCCGTGTTTCCCACAGTTATAGCAACTACATGGTGACATTTTAACGCAGAAACATTACATAGTATAGCTTTCAATCTCAAATATATGTAGGAAATGTATCAGAGAAGGAGGGTGGTAGGCGCACCTAGCTCATAATCATCTTCTCCCTTTTTTTCTATTCCAGCTTAGTGCAGAGGACTACTCTTCTATGTCGAGGCTGCTCCCACCACTGGAGGCACTGTCTCAGATGCACCCTGAGGCAGTCATCCAGGAGCTGGCATCCAACCTCAGAGCTGTCATTGCCACTCACGGTGCCTACCAGCCTGAAAACCTTACTGCTTCTACTCAGCCCTCCAGCAACCCCGCTCTTAGGAAAAAACAAAAGATGCAAACTGAAGCAAACAACTCACAGACTAGTCCTCATCCATCTCCCCAAGACAGTAATTCACCTGGCAGCACCCAAATCAGACACCCAGCATCCTCTGGAGGGTCTGCAGCAGGAGTAGGTCCAAAAGCTGGAGGGAGGACCTCTGGCACCAGTAACTCTTGCCCCCCTACCAAGACCTTTTCTGATTGCCTACTGGAGGCTTGTGACCCGGATGTGCCAACCAGAGCGGTTGCCCTGAGGGTCCTGACCCAGATGGTGAAAAAGGGAAACCCAGAGGCTGTCCAAGCCCAGGAGAAAGTCCTCGTGGTGGGTTGCTTGGTTATGTACTTCAATATTTTAGTTATTGTTTCAGCATTTGGGCAGTTATGGTGCTCTGAAAATATTGATTAACAAGTTTTATCATTATTTTTCTGAGAAGTTTAGAAGTTTTAGAGCTTTGGGGTAGTTTACCCAAATATGGCATTCAGATAATAATCTGGATTTTTTCCTTCCTGCCTCAGGTCATAGTAGATGACAAATCCTAAGAAACCTTAAGGGATTGTCAAGTTTTAAAACTGTACCAATGTCGTTTAAGTCCTCAATGATGGAAGGTTTTTTGTACCTCCTCATTGTGTGATTTTTTTTAAAATTCATCTTCAACCACTCTGGCCCTGATACATGCTCCCTTCATGGACTGTTATCCCAAAGGACTGTGCCAGTAGAGCTCTGGGTCAAGTGTATGTGTGTGTACAATGCCAATACAGGCTGAAGTCTTTGTTTCACTCACAGGATTGTGTACTGGAGCTAACTATATTACAATATGCTATGAGCTGTAACGAGTCAAGATGAAACTGTACAATAGTGCGTCAGAAATGGTTAGACAGCAGACATTTAAGGAAGGTAGAGACAATTATGAGAGAGAAAAAATTCAGCCATCACTAGTATGTCTTTTGTTGATGAATGTAGCTTAACATCTTAACATAACACACTTGTTGCTTAGTGAATACATGAACAGTAACTGGAACGCTGGGGTCTCTGAACAGTGTTGGAATTGCATAAATTGGATATGACTGGAAAGCTCAGTCTCTTGTCAATTCAATGGAGCCCCTTTTTGAAACCACAGTCAACGTCCTAGATAACTTAAGATGCTAATCAATCATTTTGCTACAGAGCAAAACACTAGCTCACTATCTGACTAACCAGCTAACTAGCCAACTAATAATTAATATAGATTAGTTAGCTAGTTAGTTAGTGTTTTTCTCTGTAGACCAACCAAAAAACCAAAAAGGGGGTTGGACTTCGGAAGGGTCAATATTAGCAAGACTTTTTTTTTTTAACTTTCCAGAACAGAAGTGCTTACCATGGGTGCTGGAATGGCTCACCTGGCTGCAGGAGCCTAGGGTTCGAATCCGACCTGCAACACTCTAAACTTTCAATTATTTGGTGCCTAACTAAAACACAATGTTGGTACAAATATATGACCACAATAACTTCATCTTTAGGTTACCAGCTTCCAGATGATGTATACCACTCCTCTGTGGCGTTTACTGATGATCTGCTATCTCCCCTTAAAGATGCTCCCTCTAAAATATTAGGGGAAAAAAGGTTGTTATTGTTATTGAATGAAGCAGGGGTAGGCAATTAATTTTTACAAGGGGCCAAATAAGAAACCTGAGCTGTGTTAAAGGGCCGAACCAACAACAACTTGAACTTAATTCTGCTCAATATTAATTTTCTCCCATTGTAAAAAGTAGTTAATTGTATATTTTGATTAGCTGCTACTGGTAATCAGAGAAATAAGGATATTCTGTAAATATTTATATAAATATATGAAATTGTGGTCAAATAGGAAAATACTCCTATAGAAGTAATTGAACAGTAAAAACAAAAAATGTACTTTACGTAAAATCTTTTTAAAAAGGGCACAGTTGTATTGCGTGCACAGCATAAATACTTTTTCATTTATGTCCTAATTTACGATTGACCTCATGCGGGCCTGACAGGGATGCCCAAAGGGCCGTAAAATGCCCAGCTCTGGTATGGAGGGGTGGAGGGGTGGAGGGGTGGAGTGGAAGAGGTTAAACCTGTGTTGGCTCAACCACCTATAAGACACTGAATGTGTGCGGTGGTATTATCGGCACCTCCTGGGACATTCTGTGCAAACATGTATAATAAATGAGCCGGTTGAACCTCTTCCCGGGGGGGGAGGGGGACGACAATGGTGCACACTAGGGACTTGTTAAGGTGGTATGGGCGAGAAAGGATAACAACTCATTCAGTATTCTCTGTAATCAGAAGCCCCCCCACTGCGTTCACCTCTAGATATACTTCAGCACCCCACTGTTACAGCAGATCAACAGTGCCCCCCCCCTATTGATTTTTCTCCCTTTTGTGTCATGGCTGGGTTCTCCAATACTGTTCCGGCCACCTCTCCATATGTTCTACCTCCCTCCTTACTCCACCCGAAACTCATGGCCGTTCTTTCTAGCTTGTCTAAGAAACACCTTGTATTTACACCCTGCCCCCCCCTCACCAAACCATAACTTCAAGGGCCTATTATTATTCCCTTTGATAGTTGGTTGCATTGTTTTCGATGTATTCAGTGCCTACACAGCATTATTGATCTTCTTTGGTTCTACTGGAAAGATCCATATTGGTGATGTTTTTGATGTTTTTCATACAGAAATGGCCGAATATTCTCAGTAAGGGACTTGTATAACTATACATAGACCAGTGTGTGTGGTGAATAATTATTCTGATGGTATGTCTTCTCCAGCTTTTCTTAGAAAATTTGGAGCATGAAGACTCATTCATCTACCTGTCAGCCATTCAAGGTAATATAATGGTACAGCTTGGCAAAATGTGATGCTATCATTGATTTTTATGATCATCGATCTACAGAAATAGGCAGTTTAATCCATTGATAATCGCTGAAACAGTCTCGAGAGCAGTTGGACTGAGTATAAACTCTCTTTAGGTCTGTCTGCATTGGCTGATTCCTACCCCGAGAGGATTCTGGAAAGGCTCCTAAAAGACTTCCAGCATGGTCCATCGCTCCCTACATCCAACAAGGAGCACTCCCTGGAAACCCGGCTTAAAGTGGGAGAGGTCCTGATGAGGGCGAGCAGGGCTATGGGTGAGCATCATCTGTAGTTTGTTCATATAAATGTTTGTGAGATCAGATTTGATACCCAATTTCTGACTGAATTAAGCATATATCATGCTCCATGTTATACCTTAAAGGGATCATTCATCATTGTGGGAAGCACACTTACTTGATTTCTTAAAGCTGCAGTAGGTAATTAAGAAAACAACAACTTTTTGTCATATTTGCTGAAACTTTCACTCTATCCTGACAGATGATGTGTGAAAAAAGTCAGTTCCCCCTAGTGCTCCTAATGGCATTTGCAAGAATCCATCAGGCCTGAACTGTCTCATGTTCTACTGTCAGGATATAGTGAAAGTTTTAGCAAATATGATATTATATCATATTAATTAAATTATTTTGTGAGATTAACGCCTGTACCCTTTCCAAAGCTAAATGACTAGTACCATAATCTCAATATGCAGCTGCAAATTTCTAATAACTCTAAAAGGACCACTAGCTAGTTCTCAGATTGCATTACTCTGGCGACAGGCACTAAATAGAAATTGACAGGGGTTGAGGGATTCTGGGGTGTTGTTATTGCTTGCAAAGTGAAACTATCTGTAGCTGAGCTTGACCTTTGACCTCTGTGGAGGGCTGCCAAATGCCAAAAGGTGCCCTTGTCCAGCCAAAGGAACATAGCCATTTGACTTTGTGTGAATGGTAAACATAATATAAGTTTGTTTATTTAATATTTGATATGTATCCATATTTGTTTACATGCATATTTGTCCGTGGTAGACAGAGCCAGCAGCCACCACACCATAAAAGCCACAGTGCAGGCTTGTTTTCCATGCAGATCTCTGTTCAGAAGGGACCCTGTGTATTAGAACCTTTCCCTGATAGAAAACCCTGTTTTGTGTTTTTTTCCTGCACTCTGGTTTTATCTGCCAGATTGCCATCGTACCACTTCCCTGGGACAATCAGGGGGTTTATATCCTTGCTGAGAGATTGGATAGACCTTCAGTTTGCTGCACAGACATCCAGAGAGCCTCTGTGTTTGTCTTGAACCCCCCGAGTGGCCAAGATTTGCCTTTTGCCAGGCTGTCATTTGTAAATAAGAAGGTTTTCTTAATTGACTGGCCTGGTTGAGTAAATGTTGAATAAATGAATGTTTGGCTCTGCTTTGGTTTGCTCCCAGTTGCTGGCTTATTGCACTCGTAGAGAAGCACTTGCAGAGTCTTGTGAGCTCCCATAGTGTGCAATGATAGGCAGAAAATGTACTAAAAGATGAAAACTCTGCACCAAATGACACTCCCAAGACATAAAGTTTATTTAAATACAGGAAAGGGATGCATAGACTAAATACAGCTCAGTAAAAGCGAGTGTTGTATGCATTTTCCCAGGTGTGTTTTGTATATGTGTATGTTAATGTGTGCAGCTGTGACACAGGCTGATATTCTTGCTGACTCACTTTCATTTGAACACAGCGATTCTCCTTCATCACATCTACAGCCGTGACAGTCTATTGAGACATGGAAAATAAGGGAGAATAGCTGAGCTGGTGTGTGTATGCGTGTGTGTGTTTGGGGGTTGAATCTTGTGAATATGAGGAAGTGCTTGGCAGGGTAATCTAGGACAAGCTAAATATGTCATTACATTACATTGCATTTATGTAGCAGAAGCTAATCCAAACCAATTTACAATAAGTGCATTCAACCATGAGGTTACAACCCAAACATTACAAGAATCAGTACATCAGTGTCATCAAATGGGCTGAGCTGCTTCAAGTGCTACATTTAGAAACAATATGAGATAGAGAAAGAGTTTGTTTTGCTTTTTGTTTGTTTGTAGAAATGCACCGAAGGATTGGTGACCGGAACCACCCGGTTTTCAGCTTGATTGGCCATGACTGGTGCTTGGTGTCATATCATATTCTGTGCTGGATATATATTTACACAGACAGACAATAAGCAGCTATTGTCACAGCGCCACACGCACGCGCTAAATCTTGTCACTGGTGTGGAATTTTTTTACCATGAGTTCAGAAGACATAACACTCCTCCACACGCGACTCACAGCTGTGGAAACAGAATCGCAGGTGAAATAATACAAAACGTACAGTGGCTGAGATGTATCAACTAATTGCAAAAGCCACGAAAGGATGGAAGTGAGTAACAACTGATGCTGACAACGACATGGACTATTGTCGGACTGACTGAATGAGAACATGTAACGAATAATACAGTATGAATGCTTAGGTAGGAGTTTCCCTCATCTCAGGGTGAAGAAAATCTCAACATCTTTCATGTTGTTAGGTAATAATAGTCCACCCCGTTTCATTCACTCACCACCGTAAAAACTTGTTTTTTGGGCAACTTTATAAAGCATACTGCCGAGCCTGACAGTGAAATTCAACAGAGCCGAAACAGGGCCACCGCCTTCCCTGTTTCTGTGTGCAATAAGAGGTGTGTGTTTGTGGAAAAGGGAAAAGCAAGGTGAGCACATAGAGTTCACAATAGTAATGGATAGGTTCCCTGGAAGGAGTAGCAGCTAGTCTTGTCGAGGTTGAGCTTCAGGTGGTGTGCAGACATCTAGACATTTGCAGACACCAGATTTGTGCTGCCAGACTGTGGAAAATACAGAATTAGATGAGTGTCATCTGCAAAGCTATAGTAGGAAAAGCAATGTGAGTGAATAGCAGGGTCAAGTGACTTGGTATATAAAGAAAACTAGGAGGGGACCCATTATAGAACCCTGAGGGACCCCAACCCAGTAGTGAGGCTACAAGTTTCAGACACAGATTCTCTACAAGTTACTATGTAAAAGCGGTAGGATGTGAAGTAGTGACGGTAGTCTGACATACCGACGAGTTCTCAGTAGTAAAGGAGAGGTTCCCTGGAAGGAGTAGCAGCTAGTCTTGTCGAGGTTGAGCTTCAGGTGTTGTGCAGACATCTAGACATTTGCAGACACCAGATTTGTGCTGCCAGACTGTGGAAAATACAGAATTAGATGAGTGTCATCTGCAAAGCTATAGTAGGAAAAGCAATGTGAGTGAATAGCAGGGTCAAGTGACTTGGTATATAAAGAAAACTAGGAGGGGACCCATTATAGAACCCTGAGGGACCCCAACCCAGTAGTGAGGCTACAAGTTTCAGACACAGATTCTCTACAAGTTACTATGTAAAAGCGGTAGGATGTGAAGTAGTGACGGTAGTCTGACATACCGACGAGTTCTCAGTAGTAAAGGAGAGGTTCCCTGGAAGGAGGAGCAGCTCAGTCTTGTCAAGGTTGAGCTTCAGGTTGTGTGTAGACATCGACTGAGATATGTCAGCCAGACACCAGATTTGTGGTACCAGACAAATACAGAGTTAGATGAGTGTCATCTGCATAGCTGTGGTAGGAAAGCCATGTGAGTGAATAACAGAATCAAGTGACTTGGCGCATAGAGAAACGAGAAGGGGACCCAGCCCAGTAGTGAGGTTTCACATTTCAGACACAAATTCTCTCCAAGTTACCCAGTAAGTGTGGCACACACACGCCTGTGTAACAGTGTCGCCCACACACGGAATGAGCTGTTTTTTTTATGTCTTAAGCGGGTCCTCTTCTACGGAGTCCGCCATGTTGAACCACCATGCTACAGTAGCCGGGAACGAACAAACCAAACGCTGGCCGCAGATAGGACCTTTTTCTCACATTTTTTCTGCAGTTTCACAGCCACCGTAGTTTCTACTTTGCACATGGTTGAGTCAGGAGGTTTCAGTTGGTTGCAATCTGCAATCTCACTGCTAGATGCCACTAAATACCACACAATGGTCTTTTGAATGGATAACACAACAAGATAACAAGACAAATATAACACTCCTATAGAGGCTAAACTTTGTTTAGTTTAGCATGTTAGTGTGCTAATATTTGCTTATTAGCAGTAAACACAAAGCTGAGGCTGATGAATGTCACTATTATTATTATTAGTATATATTATATAGATATTATTATCACCTCTGGGATAATAAAGTGAACCAGTCAGTCAGTGTTTAGTCATAAACTGAATAATTCTCTGGGGACTGTGAATGTCTGTGCTGAACATCATGGCTCTCCCTCCAATAGTTGTTAAGATATTTAAGTCTGTACCAAAGTGAGGAACTGATTATATTCAGTCTATTTAGATTTATATATATCATTGGATTTAATTTTGCCTCAAAAATCGTTTGAAGTTTTAGTAGAGCATTGTGCTATTTGGTGTTAAAGACTCTGACAACACTTGCTGCTGCATTTGATAATGTAGGGGGCGCCAGCTCTACCAGGTGCGGTATAGGGCGCCCCTGTGAATGCATCTTATATCTACGCGAGAACTAACCTACCTGCATCGTCTTCCACTCCTCTCTTCCTCCTCCAGGGGAACTGGCGCCGCACCTCGGCCGTCCTCTGGTAGCCGTCTTCCTGCAAGGAACCAGAGACCCAGACCAGAGTGTCCGGGCCAGCAGCCTGTCCAACCTGGGGGAGCTCTGTCAGAGACTGGACTATGCCCTTGGACCATTGACCCAAGAGGTGAGAGGGAGAGCGAGAGGTGACATGAAACCTTGATGATCCTCCCAGAGGAACGTTGTCACATGTGTGACTTTGGATTTATAAACTATTTTAAAGATCCCCTCCAGATAAGTATTAAGACATATACGAATAGTCTGCTTGGAACAATAATATCATATATTAGTTGAGATTTCAGGTGGCTATGAGGAGGCATGCAAGTTGGCTGTCAACTGTTCAGTAAATTCAACTCGCTCCTTTCAACAACCGCCCATCCAGTCGACTTCACACTCGGCAGGTTTCTGGGGACCGAAGGAAGTGCAGTGCTGAAATTGGTTCAGCTTGGACAGACCACACGTTCAATATTAATAAAGTTTGAATAAACAAGTGAACGGCGCTCTGTGCAGCAGCAGCAGAGCATGCCTTCAGGGATCTCCATGCAACAGCAGCACGGTTCGGAGCATCTTTCCTGCCGGCTGCTGACAGCGCTGTCAGCTGAAGAGTTAAAATGCTGTTTAAATGTAAGCTGTGTATGGCTTTTTAAAACATACATACGGTAGTTGTTCTATATGGCTGGTATTTTAAAAAGAAGAGTCTTGCAAACAAGTAGAAACTACAGCGGCTGTTTTTGTGTGAAAAATACAAACACCCCTATCTAGAGACAGTGTTTAGGGGCTTCTGTAGAAACATGGAGGTCCCCACAGAAGGTGACCTATAGATAAAAACAGTTCACTCTAAGGTAACAAAAACTGTAAATGCATCCAAGCTGTTGGCTAACAATAGCGTAACTGTCATTGTTGTAACTAAACTGCTAAGTTCAGAAGTTCTCCTTGTTCAGCATCAGGTACATTACCACCCTCTGGACTGGAGGAGGCCCAACCTTGGTAGATTTGTGATCTCGTCAGTGTAAATTAAAAAAAAAAGGAAGAGTGCTTCCTTTTTTTTTTTTTTTAGGAAGCACATGAGGTCAATAAGCACAAGCTGCTCTATACAATCCTGCTCATTCTCCAAGAAGAGTGAGGTCAGGAGTCAGGGAGAAGCAGGTAATGCTGCGTAGGTATTGAGAAGTGAGGAAGTCAGGCTTTTCAGTTACTGCAAGGAAAAAATCTGTTAGAATCGCTCTTCTAACATATCATTGAAGTTCATCTAATCCAATCCAACGTGTGTGTGTGTGCATGCGCTGCACAAACACAAATACATGCCCGCTTCACTTTGATCAGGGTGTGAGTCGACAGAAAATTTGTGTGTGTGTGTGTGTGTGTGTGTGTGTGTGTGTGTGTGTGTGTGTGTGTGTGTGTGTGTGTGTGTGTGTGTGTGTGTGTGTGTGTGTGTGTGTGTGTGTGTGTGTGTGTGTGTGTGTGTGTGTGTGTGTGTGTGTGTGTGTGTGTGTGTGTGTGTGTGTGTGTGTGTGTGAATAAGCAACGCTGTCAGCTGGAGAAACAGGGATGCTTATTCATGAACCTGCCCCCTTTTTCTTCTTCACCCTAACCTTGTGTGTGTGTGGTGAGAGAGTAGAGAGGTGGGGGCCCATGTTGGTTTCAATGTCTGACCAATACATCAATCAATCCAGTTTCATTCTGGCACTGACCTCAGCAGTGTAAGCAGCTGACCTTAACCTTTGTGATAAACGTGTCACAGCTCCAGACGGTGCTGTATGTCTTACCAATAGATCACTAATTTTGTGTGTGCGTGTGTGTGTGTGTGCAGCTGAGCTCCTGTCTGACTGCTCTGATAAAGACGGAGAAGGAGGCAGAGGTGAGGAGAGCTGCTGTCCACGTTATCACCCTGCTGCTCCGAGGCCTCAGCGACAAATCTACCCAGGTACACACACACTCACACACACAAAAGACCTCTACATCAAACCATACATTTCCACACTCACACACACATAAAGGACACACTCTGAACAAGTCATTCTGTGCTTTTTTTGACCTGAACTTGAGCTCCAGGTCAACAGTGAAGGTGTCATTTCCCCTTTGACCTGCAGGTCAGTCAAACTGAATCAGTCTCACACTGTGATCAAATGGCCTAGACCCTTTTCAATCCAATCGTACAGTGGCTGCAAAACTCGCAAAAAAAGGCCCTAAGGAAGTGGGTCCTCTTCTACATTCTAAGATAACAATTTTGATATTACAAAACTAACAAAAACCAATGCATTTCTTTGTTTCTTTGTTTAGTACAGCTAAACTTTTGTCATAGATAACTGAAGAGTGTTTTTGGCCATGCTAACAACGTGGCTCTAGGAATAATCCTGTTTGTCCACCACTTTTGTCCAGACTGAAGTATCTCTACGACAGATTTTCCCTGGTGGCCTTTCTGCTAATGACTTTGGTAATCCCCTGACCTAAAGTGCCACCAGGAGAGTGCTGGAGGAATGAATCCTAAAACTCGTCCCTCTCCTTGAAGTCAGTGGGTTTTCTGAACGGGTTTCTGGTTAGATGCCTGAAATAAGGTCTGTGGTTAACACAAGTTTAAGATATTTTCATAAAACATAAAATACGTCAGTGATACCCTACCTGTGAATTTCTTTTATTAAAGGCAGTTGATAACAAGTGTCTAAATGAGACTACAGAGTGTGTCAGTGACATTAAAACACAGAGACTGATCTCCTCAGTAGTCCGCCTTTACAGCCTCGTTGTGTTTATACTCTGCAAACTATTCTGACGCACTGACTTTACAACTTGTAGATTTTAGTTACACAATTTAATTTGAAGTTTAGTGGTGGTGTTGTTGAAAGTCCTGCAACCGTACTGTAGTTCTTTATAACCTGACATTAGCTTTTTACTTGTCATAAAAGTGGTGTTCATTAGTGAAGGTTATCTTGTTGAACAAAACGTGTCGTTATCAGAAACCTTTGTTGACCACAGAGCTTAGCCAATCCAATCAAAAATCCAATTTTAAAATCCCATTGGCTTTTTTTTTTTTTCAAAGGAACCAGGACGAGAACTACATCCCTGCAATGCTCTATTGTAACTAATGTATTGCAAACAGCTACTAAGGGCTAGATCGACCCACTGGAATTGAACATATCTTGCTAATCCTACTCTGTGCTTTGGTCAGTAATTAATACTGAAGATCGGTGTGTGGATATGTGTTGGTAAGCGTTTCATGTGTATTCACTGTTATTGTATCAACAAAGACACTGGGCCAAAAGGTCAGAGTAGTGACCATGGGGCCACTACCTCTGTCACTATGGTTTAAGAATGTCTCCACTGCCTGAGAACACAACTGAAAACAATCAAGTACAACTTAAAGGAGTTTCCTGGTACAAAGTGTGGAATGCTAAAGACAGAAGGAATCCATTTTGTCCTCTTTTTCTTCAGGCTCTAAGCATCTTGAATAATATGGTTCAAGCTGTGTTTTTGAGCGCAAGAGGCTGTTGTTACAGAGCCTGACAGGTCCTGTAATTTAGTCCCCTTCTCCCTGTGGTCAGCAATGGCTTTATAGGCTAAATGTTAGCTTGTCAGCACAAGGTCCTAACACCATGTTATAGATCCACACCAGTTCTCTCTTTCTCACAGTTTTACGTTCTTCAGTCTGTGGACAATCTGTGGTTATTGTGATGTCTCTGCTAGAGTGTTGTTTTTAGTCTACCATAGGGCCCAGACTAATCATATCACAGTTCTAGATTCATTTAAACCTAAGCTGCAGAGAACCAAACAGGATAGGAAAGCACCCATTGGGAAATTCTGGGCCGATACAATGTTTAAAATAACAATTTGGCCGATAGCCGATTCCAATGTGTTTTTGTTATTTATTCACCATTTTGTGCCAGGGAGACAAATAAATCTACAAAGATAAGCGTCAATCTATTTATCTTCTAAATGTCAGTCAACAAGGCGAATATGGGCCGATGTTCAGCCAGCGCATATACTGAGGTATAAGCTGTGATTTTCAGCATAGAAATAGTATTCAACTTATCATGTAAATCATTGAACACTGTGGGTGTATTCCATTCAGCCAACAGGGCTCCCTGCTCCCCTTCACATCTGAGCTCCTCCCAGCAAAGTTTTTGGCCAAACTTACATACAGCAGCATAGGATACACCTGTGCCTTCCCCTTCCAAGCTCCTCCTCGCTCCTTGTCTCCTCCAGACGCATTCCAGGGATCGATGTTCAGGTCACCGGCTGGAGGATGGAGGAGCAGAATGAGCAGAATGGAAAGCTGTAATCACTGGCTGTGTTAATCAAATTAAAGATTATAATATCAAAATGCAACCGGATGACTCTTCTGTCTTCTTTGGGAGACAATGGAGGTCTATGTCAGTAACATACTTAATCATACACAGACAGTTCGTAGAAGAAAAGTCATTGTTGGCTTGGCTCCTTTCAGTGGGTTAGGGTTCAACCCAGTCTAAAAAAATGTAGTCAGCAAGACTTTTGTAATGTGTCTCCTGGAACAAAACCTAATGAATACAGTCTCTCATCTTTAGACCCAGTCTCGTATAAAACCTCCCAGAAGCACTGAAAACAGTACATAAATTCCTCCTTCTTCCAGTGGTTGCCCATTGGAAACACACCTACACGGGATCTACTGGCCACTGGCTCATGTGTGATGTAGCTCTTGAGCCGTAGCCACGACTGCAGTCAGCTGCTGGTCCCAGGCCAGGTCCTGTCATTAGCTGGAACAGCTGGAGAAGGGCCGCACCAGCTGCACATGGCTAATGATACGCAGAGTGACATGAGAACAGATGAGAGGGACAAACCCTGGTAGACCTGGAGCACCAAGGTCAGGCCAAAGAGAGGAAGAGCAGGCCAGGTGTAGTAGTTAAGAAGCAAATAGGGACGAAGAACATTAAGGCAAGAGTCAGGGAATCCATTAAAGGTATAAAAAATTAGTTTTGGTGGTTCGATGCAACACCTCTGTTATTAAGAAGGCGTGCAGTTATTTCAGTCCTGGTGGATTTGATAGCACCCCAGATAACCGTGGTGGTAACCACAAGCTTGGTTTAATACTCATTGACCTGCTTCTGGCAGTAGGGATGTCATGATACTGGATATGTAGGAGTCGATACCAACACTGGTGAAATTCCATGATTCTCAATACCCAATACGATACCACAGTAAAAAACAAAATCACTTTAAGCCAATCAATATCAACCTACATGAGTCTCATTTTGAAAACATCAGATTTCCACACAGTGCATGCGTCCTGCTCATAGTTCAGTTATAAAATCCCAGGGCACCGCGAAGCATCCCTCCGTCCTTCGTTTCTATCACAGTTTTATGGTTTGTGGTCTTTTTGCGACTCAGTTCAGAAAAACTCCTGGAAAATGTCCCGGAAAATGATTTCTTCAAAAGAGTGGGAACCCTGGTCTATACTGCCCTGGCACCTACAGTAGTGTAGAAAAACAAATGCAAATACTATCAGGTTTTCAGTACTTTGGCATCAACTTTGTAGTGAAGTATCGTTCTCGTTACACCTCTATTTGTCAAAAATACATCCTAGATGCAGACTGAAGTGTTGTCAACCTCCATCTCTCTCACATGACTTTTCTAGGTTCTCAGCGATGTTTTGTTGGACCTGTACCGAGCTCTAAAGTGGGTGGTCCGCTCAGATCCGGATGACGTCACGGTGCTCCATGCCCAGCTGGCTCTGGAAGAGCTTTCTGACGTAATGAAGAGGTTAATCTTCCCTGAGCAGAAGCTGGAGAAGAAGATAGTGGTCCTGCCATAGAGCTCAAATTATATTTCTGTGGGGTCTTCATAAACTTCATTTTTATGTGCTCTGCTTATAGACAGTACTAATTCTGCTTCCATGTGATGTGTTCAATCCAAGACTTGCCTTAAAGAAGGAACAGTGATCCTACACCATTGTGTTCTATTGCACCACCAACAAAATAAAAAATAAACACAAACACACATTTTCAGGAATTTTTATTAAAGGGTTAATATGTGCTGATACTGCCACTGTCTTACCCAGGATGTACTGCCAGACTCAGCTTATTAGTAATCACATATCAGCTAGAAACCTCAAATGGAGGAAAACAATTAAGAGGACAGTATTATCATAATAAATAAAAAATTCCAAAAGAAACTTCTTATTTTGGTGGAGTTTGACTTGGGGCTAAAAGTCAAAATATCTTCAATCTGCCCCCAAACATTTGTGTTAGTACATTATGAAATCATTGGAGTGGCCCTTTAACTAAACACACATATTATACTAACACCCATTCAGCCTCCTGCAAGAACATTATTGTATCTTACACTCCTCTTACTTTGTCCTGTGAAGTTTGCTCATAGGTTTTGAAGTTGGATTCAGGAACTGACAAACTTGTCATAAATTGCTGATTTCAACTTGATGAATACCAAATAGCAAAAAAGAAAAGAACCTCAGACTGTGGCGGTTGAGATGCTGCTATCAGAAATCAGCAGATAAAAACAACATATTCAACAGTGTCAGTACTTGGGTCAGGGGATGAGAGAAAATGAGAAAACATTACAGCTGAGGGAATGGTTAGATATGAAGTTGAATAAAAAATAAAATGTCCTTCTAAAAATGTCTTTTGCACTAAAGCACCAGCATCTCAGACAAAAACGATGGGGGCTACGACCTACCAGACTCTATTGACAATTGTTATTTTCCCTCGCAGATAATTATAAAACACACTTTAACCCTTTATAGGGCACTCATTGAAATTGTTGAGTCTCAATCCCAGGTCCTCAAAATACCACCGCTTTGGGTTGGTTGTGTGACTCATGACACACTTTGTTTCCCATTTACCATAATTCAAAGTATTGGTATTTGATGACACTCATCAATTATACTCTTCCAGGGTGACTGACATCACCTTTAATTGACCAAATTAGATGAAAACAGGCTGCCAGGTAATGTTATAATCCTCTGGGACAAATGCACCAATCAAAGAACGCCCAGTTAGAGTGCTTGTTATTTTCACTGGCAGGCTCAGATTGTCATTCTAAGTGTCTGATAACATTAAGGGGATCCCTACAGAGATATACCTTTTGTTTAAGCAGAAACAGCTGTAATATTGCTATCACTTGCCACCAGACTCCACTGACAAAAAATTAAATTTTACCTCTCATTATAAAAAATCATAACTTCATTCAAATTGGACAGAAACAGAATGAAACTCTTCAAAATCATCTTTGTCTTTCCACTGTTCACTGATGTAGATGATAAAAACAGCAGATCCAGTCGCTGCATGGAGCAGACCGGCTATGGAACCAAACCACAGAGAGGCTGTGATAGCAACACAGACAGAGGGAGTGTGACACCATGACTCCGCTGTATCTTTACATAGAGAATAGTTGTTTGCCACTATATTGATGTTTTTCATATAAATATATATGTTTGTATGCAAAATTCAAAATCTCTGCAAACACAGAATCGTCTTATCTCCTTGAGTCTAGTTCAGAACAAGGTTTTGGGTTGAAGAAGCTCACCTGGTTTGGTATAGTTTGTTTTTCTTAACAAACTCCAACTTGTACAGAGTTGTGGTTGCATCTTTACATCCTTGAAAACATGCTGGCAGGCAGTAGATGAAATGATTGCCTTATATTAACACTAACCTGACTGCTTTATGTAAACAAGGCTAAATGGGGTCCAGCAGGGTTTGTACAGAGTCAGGCTCAAGGCTGACAGGGAGCAATGAGACATTCCTTCTTTTGTGTCGTCCATTGAGCAATAGGCTAACACTAGGCATGACCTTCTCCGTCTCCTCCCTCTGTGTGAATATACCGCCGGCAAACACGAGGAGCTTCGGCCTTGTTTGCAATCCGTAGATATTTCCCCCGATGTGGAGTCAAGGTATTGCTGTGGCAGGCGGTGCAAAAAACGGCTCTTCAATCACAGTGGCAGATTTAGGCCTCTCCACGGCATCCACCACCAAACTATGGCTCTTAAATCCCTCCTGTGTTTACTCTGGAGGTTATGCATTTCTTGTCAGTGCCACCTCAAATAACCTCCAGGGAGACTCAACACTAACAATAAGACATGTTTAAAAGAATATTTGCCAATGTCTGATGCATCATTTGTGTCTCACACAGTGAATTTCCATTCAATTAAAGACACACATATTGGCTACAGATCACTTTTGCAGACTGATTACAGCAAAACCTGTGTAGATGTGGGAACCTGAATAAAAACAATCCTTTTAAAGATTTGTAACATAGTTTATTTCCACTTTCATACTAAATGTATCTGGATGAATTAGCAGAATGCTGGTGTTTCCTGTAGCCAACAGAAACCTGCTAATCCAGTACTGCGATGATTAAAATCTCATTTTGGGGGATTTTCACATGAAGCACACACTTTGAGCGGTTACTTACAGTATGTGGATATTGTCCAAAGTTTTCAGGTTTACTGGGCTTCATTTTTTGAGAGTGAGGCATTGTACAGTTATTTTGGTCAAGGTCCCACTAGATGCTATAAATGGACAACTAACTCAAGAGTTTGGCTGTGTAGTTAGAAATATTTGAATGGGGAGAAGCACCAACATTAAGTTTTCAATCTAGGCAATTCTGGAATTGACCCTCTAAGGCCCACCCCTTTTTGCTCTGTGCTCCAATAATAGTTGAGCAAACCTCGGTCAACTTTCTCCTTTCCTGTAGGCTACTTAGAAAGGCTATGTGCTAGGCTAATCTAAGTTTTAAAGACACGTTTTGAAGATAAAAGTGACATATATATAATATATATATATATATATATATTATATATAAAGTTATATATATATATATTTTATATATATATATATAATATATATATCGAGGGCTTGGAGCCAGAGGGGCGTAAGTGGCATTTTGGGTGAATATGAGTTCTTAATATCAAAATAAAGGTCTCGTTGAGCTCTATCCAATGGTACCAAAAAGAGATCAAACTGTATTGAATAAAGCAACAAAACAACAAAGACCTAACACAAAAGTGTGAGTAATGTTTGGAAAATACATGTAGGACCCACATTGTTGTTCAGAGCCAGAAGGGCGTAAGTGTAGTTGTGCCCTAAAACAGCATTCAAAATGTCTGACACTACTGCAGACATGGAACTGTCTGAGGCAGAAAAGATTTTGATGAATATTATGAAACAAACTGATGAATCCTATATTGAAGAAGTTGAAGATGAGTCAGAGTTGTTTTTGAATGCATTTCCTCACAAGAGTGATGAAAGTAAGACATAATCATGCCTTGAGAGCCTTACCTTGTTAGCCTAGCCTAGCCTAGCCTAGCATGGCTAACGTTAATCCCATTGAAAATAAGTTTGAACATTCACTTTATCTAATCCTTAATCCTGAATTATTAGTATCAGGGCATTCATGTAGGATATTAGTAAATATTAATGATATCATTTAGGGACACAGCATGAGATGAGGAGATGGAAGAGAGACAGGGACACATGGAGACAGCAGAAGATGGAGGGACTGAGACAGCAGACATTGTGCTAGAATTTGTTCAGGAGGGAGGGGCTAACAGTGGCCAGGAAGAGGAGACAGAAGAAGATTGAGGGAGTGAGACAGTAGACATTGAGCCTGTTCAGGAGGGATGGGTTGAAAGTGGCCAGGAAGAGGATGCCAACACACCACAAAGAGGAAGAAAAAGACAGAGAGATGTTGAAAATTGGAAAAGAAACCAACGTAAAAGGTTAAGAAATTCTGGCCAAAGCTACATTAATTCACATGGCATTCATGTTCCAGGAAGGAAAGGAAATACGAGAGCATATCAAGTCTTTCCCAAAACTTGAATCCCACTACTCCAGGAAAGATACAAACAAGCTCTACTTGGAAGGATCTCTGAATGTGCCAAGAATGTATGCGCTGTATAAAGAGAAATGGAGGAACAGGAGTGGAAGATTAAACCAGAAAAACAAAGTCTTTATAGAATGGTGTTTGACACTGAGTTCAATCTAGCTTTCCACACTCCAAAGAAAGACGCGTGCAAATACTGTGAATGGTAGTCATAAGGATAACTGATGCCCACCAGTTAAGAAAGAAACAGGCCAGAGAACATAAAGATAATGACAAAAGGAAAGCAAAGGAACAGGAGTCATACAAGGCTGTCACTTTTGACCTGGAGCAAGTGTTAACCACCCTCTGGAGCAACGTTAGTAGCCTGTTCTACTCACGCAAGTTAAGTACCTACAACCTCACTGTATATGAAATGGACAGTAAAGATGTTGAGTGTTACATGTGGCATGAGGGGGAAGGGGAAGGATCATCAGAGATCAGCACTTGTGTTTACTCGTACCTTTCACAACTTAATCCTGAAGTCAAACATGCAGTTCTTTATTCACATACATGTGGTGGACAGAATAGAAATGCTGCCTTTAGCACAGTGTGCCTGCATGCAGTCAGCACATTGCCCCTCAACACTATTGACCATAAGTACATGGAGTCTGGTCACAGCCAGATGGAGTGTGACAGCGTGCATGCTGCAGTGGAAACTGTGAGGAGAAAGGTTCCAATCTACTCCCGATGGCTACTACACCCTTGTGAGAGTGGCAAGAAAGAACAACCCATACACCGTACATGAACTTGGTCACAAGGACTTCCTAGACTTCAAGTGTTTCTCCAATCACGTACTCAAAAACAAAACCAAAGATGAGGAGGGAAAAGCAGTGCATTGGCAGAAGATTAAATGGTTTCGCTACACAAAAGAACCCAGAACAATCTTCTTCAAGTATGATTTCACTGACCCAACCTTCCATGAACTGAAGGTAGCAAAGCAGGCAACCAGGGGCACCAGAAGCACCCATTCTGTGTCCAAACCAAGTTCAATGTATGAAAGCCCTCCTGGGATCAGTGCATTAAAGAAGAAAGATCTACTCACCGTGTGCAGCAATGGGAGTATTCCTCACACATACGCAGAGTTCTACAATGCTCTGACAGTGGACAGTGAGTAGAACTAAACAGACGAGTGAACAGAAAAGCAAATAAGATGCGACTTGATTCTTTGGATGTGGTCAATGAATAGACTCGCAGAGTAATTGAAATGGTTGAACAAAAAAGAAAAGTGAAATGAGTAAAAAGAACACGAGAGAACTGTCAATTGTATACAGTATTTGAAAATGAATGAATGTTATGAAATAAATTTAATAACTCATGAATTGCCAATCAGAAGTGTGTTTAGCAAGTTCAGTGACTTTTATTACAGTCTGTACTGTTCAGCAGCTGTCCAGAATGGAAAAGTGAAAGGAGAAAAAAAGAAGAAAAAATGAATGAATGAGTTAAATGAAAATGAATTACTTGTTCAAGTGTTATTCAAGTGTTAATTATTCAATCAATTCCCCTTTTGACCAATTATTTTCTGCATTGTTCAGCAGATACGCCCAATATCTCCATAGAAGACTTGGAAATGTTTGGTGCCAAAAAGGCGTATCTGACATTTTTGCCATATTGTTTTGATTTTAAAATGTTTTAGAACATGTTCATTGTGTTAATATGCCATAGGTTTATTACTTAAATACTCATTCATGTAAGTATGTCTGTGGTTGCAATGTTTGTGGTTTAAGGTTAATAATACAGCTGATTGAAGTGTGGTCAGAATTTTGTTTTGTCTCTCCTGTAAAGTTTGTCAAAAGCCACTTACGCCCCTCTGGCTCCAAGCCCTCGATATAGTCACAGTTGTTAGTTAATGTTAGCAAAACACTAGTTCACTAGCTAACTAGCTAGCCAACATGGACCCCAGGAAGAATAGTTGCTATCTTGGTAGCAGCTAAATCATTAGTTAGCTAGTTAGCTATGCCTTGCATTACATTAGCTAACTTACATGTCGCTTTTATCTTTTAACAACCTTTAAAATGTGGTTGACTTTTTGTTTTTTCTAGTGACAAAGTTCTAATAAAGCCGCTGCACAACCCGCTCAGCACCAAACAGCAGACAGCTAACGTTAGCGACTAGCTGGTGAACATTTTTGCTTCACAGTGACGAGCAAATCAAGCAGAAGAAGACTGAATATTGGACTTATTTTGTGAGGTGGAGACAAACACAGTGAAGGCTAATGTTGCTCTGTGTCAGCTTGATGTGTACATAGCTAGCCACAACAACTTATAAGGTGATAAAGTTCTTGTAAAGCATTTCTGCCAGGCTGGCCAGCAGTCAAAGTCAGGCTGTGCCCTCTGGAAAAGGCAGAGGTTTGCTTGAATGCTAGCTGACATTGTCTTATAATGGGACATAATATTGTTTTCTAAGTCATACAGGTTTTCTTTAACATCCATCTTGTTTTCTGCTATCAAGTTTTAAAAATGCTAAATGAAATGCTAAGGCTAAATTGGATCAGAGATTTGAATCCACTCAGCATTTTGACCAAGGTCAGACCTACTTTGAAACAGCTTGGTGCCATAGCCTCTAACATGCTTAGAGCAACACACAACGTGGGAGGCATCACCACTGCCATTGGCACTGTTACTGGGAGAAAATCATTTTTACACAGTAGAAAACAATATGCAATTACAATTCAACCTTTTTTAGTCAAACATGGGATTAATAGACCTTTTTCACAGCAGGCATTTTGACATGGTAAACACAGTTGTTAACAACAATATTAATTCATGTCCTGTTCCATTTAGTGTAGTAGAGACTTTCCAGTGAAACAACATACAGAACTGCAGCACCCTGTTTGACCTGAATGGAATGAAACCTTAATTACTATTGTTGGTAAACTTTAAAAAAATAAAATTTACCCTATTATTTCATGTCAAAATGTCTGCTGTGAAAGAGGTACATTTCTGTTCCATTTCAACAGTTTTAATCAATTAATTTCATCATACATGTCTATGATTACAGTTTGATTAACATTAGGCCATTTTACTTTACTTTAATTAAGTTGTTATTTAAGCTCTTTGTATATATGTGGTATAAACTGGAACAGGGTTCAGTCTGAAGGGGCTCTCAACGGCGTCTTTCAAGTATTTTGTTTTAGGTTTGGTAAGACCTGCTTTAATCTGCCCTTTTAGATAGTAAGAATGCTGTGTTCCTGGTTAGTGTACTTGAAGGATCAGTGTGTAGGATTTAGCTAGCTGTAGATTGTAATTAATTGAACCCTATGTGTATTTGACAACCTGGGAATGACAGCGGGCTGGAAAGTGTCCAGCAGCTCATTCTAGGGTAATGAAAACACAACAATTCTTATATTCAGGTGATTATACACTAATAAAAACATACTGACAATAGATCCTCCTAAATGTTACACACTGGACCTTTAACAGAAAGCAATGTCCATAGTTCCCAAAAACAAAGCTGTAAAAAAAAAAAAGGCGGCACCCCAGAGGACGAAAACAGCAGAATTATCACGTCATATGTCCCGGGTCTTCTCTTCTAACAGAAAGCCTGCTCCACAAATGTGTCGGAGCGATGCTTTTTCAGGCTGCACATAAGTAAACAAGTTAGCTAACACACTATGGTGGAAAAGTGAAAGTTAGGACAGCTTAATGGTTATCCTAAAGTTGTTTATTTAAGACTTTGGGAAGGAACATTTGTTAGGAACTGTTCATCTGTAATGGCTTTTCTCCTAAATTAGGGCCTAATTTACCAAACAGTTAAGACAGGATCTACAAATTAGGACGTTTCCATAATACAGCCCATAGACTACTCCTTTAAGATACCAATTCTTTTAAATTTTTAACTTTGGTTAGTTGTTAACTGAGTGTGTTAACCCCTTTTGTTCAGTCTCTGTTATATGTAATATCTACAGTTAGTCTACCCTCTGTTTCTCCCCGAGAGAGAGGGGGAGAAGGCACTGAAGCCATGAGAGGTCTATTACAGTAATTACTATATCTCTCTATATGTGTCACAGTCAGGGAGCCAGAAAAGAGAATGTAGAGAGAGGAGTGTGAAAAAGGCTTCAAATGTAGGGTGATGGAACTACTTCAGCCTTATTTCCTACGAGAGGTTGTTTGTACGTTCTATTACCTGACTTAAATTAAATGCGGCTTTGGCGGCCGTGTATCGATTCTCAGAGGCGTGCTGCAGTTTGTCTCAGGCTGCCAACCCAGCCATGGTCGTGGAACCTGCAGGACGTCAGCAGCTCAGCCTCTGAGCAGGAGAGGAGAGGAGAGGGAGGGAGGGTAGATAAATAAGCCCATAAAGGATGCTTTGAGTCAGGCAGAGAGGTGGAAAAGGGGGGGGGGGGGTGCTCCGGTCAAACAGTCCCCAGGCTTGTTGGAGGTTGCTGGCTGCATTGCAGAGAGATAGGGAGCTAGCTGGGGTGTCCAGAGAAGGGAGGGGGGGTAAGAGGCAAGGGGAGAGTGGGGTTTAAAGGAGACAGCGAGAGGAGCTGTGGAGGAGAGGCTCAGCAGTGTCGGTCTGCCAGCCAGCCAGCCAGCCAGCTAGGCGGGAGAGAGTGACAGAGGAGGAGAACGGGAGAAGGATTTAGGCTCTGCTGCAAACAGGGGATGTAGAGACGAGCTGATACTGCAGCGCAGGACAGAGGAAGAGGGGGTGAGGAAAACTAGGGGTGATTCATTGCAGGGGGCGAAGGAGAAATCAGAGGACGACACAGAGTTAAAGCTCCCCACTTTGGCCCTTAATCTTCACCTCCACTATCAGTTTGGCTCCATGCTGGAGAGGATGGAGAGCACCAGAGGCAGAGACCAGACCAGCTGCTGCCCCCAACCTGTAATCTACAGATGTAAGACTGCGCCAGCATCAGCTGCTGGCTGAGCACCTCTGATCACATCTCAGCTGGGGGGGCTTCATGCCCTGGGACAGTCCTGGGAGATAGAGGGAGGAGGTGGTGGAGGAGGAGCAGGCAGTGGGGAGGCTGGCTCAGAGAAGTGGTGGAGGGTGGTGGTTTAAGCTGCCTGCTGTATTTTTGGATGTGGGATCTCCTGAATTAAGCAAGCAAGCTGGAATAAAGATGTAGTGTGAGCTGGTGGAAGGAGGGGGACAGAACAAGGAGAGTGCTGTGCTGAGGAGAGGAGAGGGCTGGACGTCCCGGCTCGACGGACGGACCAGACGGACGGAGATCTGGGGGAAGTCCTGAGGGGGAGACGGAGACGGAGGGTCCACTGGATCAGGAAGGTAAGGGTTTGAATGATGTGTTTTTCACTATGTTCTTATGATGTAAATTGCTCCCACTGGGACAGAGCGATTGGAGTTCTTATGCAGGTCTACAAATGGTTAGTTAAATATTGAACCTTTAAGATTAATGTCTGATGAGACTAGTTAGGATAAGATCTACTTTGGAGTCAGGTTTGGCAGGTAGGTGTAACACTTTGGGGAAAGAGAATGAATGAAGGGAAAACAAACATGTTGAACATGGACAGAAACTGAATGGAAAGTTTTTAGAAATTTGGAAAAAAGCTACATTAAAGCTCAGTTTGAAATCCAGGACAAAGAGTGGAGTGTGTTCAGGCTGCTGTGGTGAATGTGTTTGCAATATGAGGTAGAGAAAATGTTTCTTTTCTGCCTGACTCTGAGTGTGTGTAAGTGAGTCAGTCAGTTGAACAGGACTACAGGAGTCAAGAACTGTGTCCCCTGCCTATGTATGTCCAGTATTACTCTGTCTGTGGCTGCATGTGCTGCTTTCCCCTCTGTGGAGGCAGACTGTGACAGTTAGGAAACGGTTGACAGGAACGCCTGTTTGAAGGCTTCTGGCGTCTCCAAAGAAAGCACTGGCCTGTTTGATTTTCCATGGAATCACTGCCATGCTGGACCCGTCTGGTCTGGTGGCCTTTCATACAAAGCCTGCTGGTATTTGACTGGCTGCTTGTACACAGTGACCTCAGGTGTAGTAGAGGTGCTATCCACAACACATCCAGATGCAGTCAGAAGGGTGGACAGAATACAGATGAGTAAGAAAAAAACCCTCTAGAGACAAGATTAAAGCAAGACTGCGTAACTTTGTTCTCTTACAGATGAAAAGTTTAATTCATAAGCAATAAAATGCACCCTTGTTCATTCCAGCACACTCAGGGCTTTTTGCTGCTACAGCCTTACTTGGTCTGTTATGACCAGTAGCTTATGATGGCTAATGTTAGCTAATGTTAGCGAACTTTAGATTCCTGTGTAACTGACTTTATTCAATCAAATCTAACTTTATGTTTTTGTTCAATAGCTTTGATCGGGCCCAAAAAAATCAGATCCGACCTGAAAATTCTGTGTGAGCCAGAACCGAACCCGAACCACAGGGGCAATTTTGTGCCCGAGCCCGACCTCGCCATCTTGACACTCCTGACTGCGAAGGATCCTAGCTAATCCAAAAAACTGGCAGAGAGGTGGAGCTGACACAGCTAAATGAAACCTGGTTATTGAAAACAGCCAGCTGTGACGGCATCCACCTGTCACTCAAAGTGACCACGCCCTTAATTATGCATACCTTTAAACCTTGATATTATTTAAACAGGTGACTTTACAAAAATTCACCTCTGTACAGTCATGAACAGGGAAATTAGCTATAGATATGTTTATTTCTGCTGTGAAGTTGGGCATTTTAATATGGGGGCTTATGGAGATTGACTCAAGTTATAAGTTGTTTGAGGAACTGCAGTTTTTGTTACTTCAGTGTTTGCGCCATTTGCTATCCATGGAGGTTACCATCACCAGCTCCAACAGCTCTTGTTGTTCTGTTCTTATTGTCCAACCAGTAGTAGACCTGAGGGCGGAGCTAGAGGAGGCCAGGGAGTGTCCAAAATGTAAAGGGTTGATACATTCTGAATAATACAGCTAATTTGATGGCCTGTAGTGGTAAAGATGTTTTGCTCTGGATAAAACACTGACTGAATGATATTAACTATTCCATAATTAGGACCTATGATGCATAATGGGATTAATGGCAGGGTTCAGGTAGTTACTACCCAGTTAAATATTATCCAACCCGACCTATGAATGGAGGGCCAGAGGCTGCATTGGGCCCATTGCAATTGTGTGAAATTCCTTGGCATCAAAAGACCTGAAATACAATCCAGGCATGACTTCTTTTTTTTTTTGCATGTTTTGAATGGTTTTCCAGGGACAGCCAGACTAATTACACACTCGTCACTTCCTACATTATGTAATGAGGTGTGTAAAAGAGGATTTTTGTGGTACACTCCAGTGAGAGAGCCCTCTAGTGGCATCATGTCTTTTTCCAGCTTGAATGTTTTTATCCATGTTTCTTATCAAAGCATGATTGGTTGTCATATCTCTTCATATCAAACTGTGACGTTAACAGGTTTGCTCAGCTTTGAGTAATCTTAGTGATGATATAGTGACTCACATTAGCAGTAAGTGAGGCTGTTGGGCCCTAACAAGTTGGTGGGTGTAATTCATCACATATTCATGTTTGTTCATGCAGTGAAAATGAACATGAAGGCCTCGGTCTGTTCACCTGGACACTCAGACACCATAGTTCCCTTCTTGGATGCTCACCAACCTCACTTCCTCCATCCTTCTCTGTTCCACCTGTCATCTCTCCCTCTCTTATGCTGTCTGACCTCCAATACTGCCCTTAGGACACCTAACCTTTCTGGCATTTATCACAGTACACTTTAGGACAGACATGATAACACTGCTGCCCCCAAATGGCAAAAAAAAAAAAAAAAAAAATGAATGCAGATTTAAATCACTAAGACATTTTTCTGTCCAAGTAACAGTAGAACAAGTCTTCTCAAAGTGGGACCATGAGGGTCAATTTGCCCCGCCCGATGTTTCTAGCAATATAAATATTGCTAAAATAATGCTAAAATGCTTTTAATGCTGTATTATTTATTTTTTGTGAGTTAAAACTGTTCTTCAAAGCTGTAGCATCCCTAATTTTTTTTTTGTAGACGGAAGGACAATTAAGAAAACTTCCTAGTACCATTTTGCATCTTAACAATACAATAGGTGTTTGCTTTTTGTCCGTGGACCACCATTAAAAGTCCATTCCTCTGTCTCCTTCATGTCCTGTTTCCTAACTTCCCTCCCTGCTTTTCTTGCTCCACCCAACATCCCTTTACAAACATATTTCCCCCCACCTCTCCCTCCCTCCCTCCTTTTCCCTCAGCTGGGTAAAGTCCCTGTCCCAAGTCCAGAACCATCATCATCTCTCCACCTCCTCACCTGGAATCCCAGCCCATTCACTCAGAGGGCCTGGATGTAGGAAATCCTTCCCATATGGCACTGCCACTCCTGCCATACAACTGGGACTATTACTACTGATTCATTCCATGTGATTTTTACCTGGATGTGTGGATTAACCCTGGGATTACTCTTTATTTTTCCTTAATCCTTTACCTGCATCTTTACCCTATACTCTTAATTTGGATCTGCATCCTGGATCATTTGTAAAATGATGACCTAGTGGGCCTGGAGAGCTTTTTTTTTTTTTTTTTAGCAACATTGGATTTTAATCTGGATCTGGATGTAGACTTGGACCACATGTACACGTTACATTGAATAGGAGTTCTGCAAGGACTGCAAGACTGTTAGACATGTCATTTTTACCATATTACTTCAGTAATGTGACTTTTTTCCAGAGGGATTGAAATCATATTATTTTTATTTATTTATCTTTTTTTTTTTTACATACATTATAAGGTGATTAAAAAAAAATCTTTTTTTTTAACTTTTTATCTTTCACAGTTTAATGATGTGTCATTTCATTCATTCAATTTCTGTGGAGTTCTGCTCAAGCTGAAACTTGCACCTAGATGTTGAAATTACCGCTGTTACTCCCACGAGACAGACTTGTGCTTCTAACAGCATTTTCTGCCATTAACTGAATTCTGCTTCATTACAGGAAGCTTGTAAATGACAAACCCTTAATTTTGCTCACTTTTCAGTGCATTTCATACAAATAATATCTGTTTTTCATTTCACTGTGCTGCGTGGCGATCAGCAGTAATATCTGAGCATCCAACATTCATCCCATTACACACCAAGTTGTCATTGTGCTGCAGTCGGGATAGCCTGGCAGATATAACCTTGGGGCTAATTGCACCGTCCCCCTCCCTCAGTCCCCTGACTAATCCCAGGTCCCGGCCTGCCAACAACCCCCTCTGGTGACTGTGGCCCTCCAATCAAGTGGTCCATGTTACTGTCAGCTTGTTATCTGGCCTGTGGCCCCGAGGCACTCAGACCCCACTGCCTCAACCTGCTGGTATAATCCACCCTGCTCCTTTCTCTGTGGCCCGCAGTGACTAAAACGAGATCCATGTCCCAAAAGGACATACAGTACACTATATGACCTTGTGGCACTCAAGGAAATAGTGTGGTGTCTCAGTTATCCAGGGTAACCTCTGAAAAGAGATTGCTTTTAAACATTTTAAATACAGTTTTTCAATGCTTTCAGCAACACAAATGAGATCCCATTCACCTCCATTGAGTTGAGGACGAATCAGAGATCTCAGAGACAGATATCTTAAAGGACCAGTGTGTAGGGTTTAGTGACATCTAGTGGTATAGCTGCAGATTGCATCCCCCTCGTCTCACCCTTCCCATAGAAGTATGTAAGGGAAATTACAGTGGCCGTAAAGTGCGAAAAAAATGCTGAAGTCCCTATCTAGAGCCACTACTGCATGGATGTATAAAGAAAACTGGATACCGTGTTGGAGGCAGGGCTCCATTCAATCCTATGAAAGCTGCTCAGTGGTGCATGAAGTCACAAAAGCCCCTTCCCACTGTAAAGAAATTACCCAGATGAATACATACAGAGACTAGCACCAGAGACTTCCGCTGGCAGATCCAGCTAACTTCCTTTTTAGCCCTCCTTTAACGTGAATGGACATAAATAATTGTATCTTGCGAATTTTATAGATTTTAAAAATGTTATCAGACTGAATGGATAAAATTCTGATAGTGAAACGTCCACCCGTTCAATGTAACCTTATGGGAAACATTTTTTTTCAATGTCAAATTAGCTTTAAAGTACGGTGCTCTTCCTGGGCACTAGAAACATGTTGGACAAAAGTGGTTGTTTTTGCCTCGTTTTATTGATTTCAAGGGGAATCTGACCCAGTGGTCAGTCTTGTTTGTTTATATAGGTCAAATAGAGGCATCAGTATTATAATGAGACTGCTTCATAACACGTTGCAAACTCCTTGTAGTACGTTTAATGTGATGAATTTTTCACTTAAGTTCTGTTTCTGATAGAAAGAATCTCTAAATGATGAGATGACACATAAAAAAACACTCTTTTGTATGTGTTCCAAAACCCCGATTTACAAAATTCCCCTTTCTGTCAGCACTGTCAGTTGTATCACACAGACGGTTTTTCACATAGAGTGTAGATCTGTGCAGAAAGCGGGATCCAGTGCCAGGATGTAAATCTGTACATCCACTCAGAGAGGTGGATAAATCTGTCTGTGCCAGTGTGTCCCACGGAGCTGAATGTAATAACATAAATATCAGCCTGTCTCTCCTGCGTTCACGGGCCCAGCCAGGTGGGGTGAGAGAGGGGGGCGACCAGGAGGTAATTTCATGAATGAAAGGACAGAATTGTTCCTCTATTTCAACTGGTCCTGAGCACTGGCCAAACTCCGCCTGGCCTTTAATTAGAGCTATTAACCCGGGGAAAAAGAAGAAGGGAGCGCCAGAGGGGCTGATGGGAGGAGGGGTGAGGGGAGAGGAAGGCAAGAGGAAGATGAAAGAGAGAAAAAGAGACGGGCAGGTGGTGTTCAGCTGTTGGTTCTTTCACTTTAACTTAGTGAATGTTCATCAGGTCTGAGCAAGATATTAGTCTGTGCAGTATGGGTTATAGTAAGTAGTAGTATGTAGTATCTAGTAGTGGAATTTGTAGCAGTGATACCATTCCTTCTTCTTAGTTTCCTTCTTCCTCACTCATTATGGTCCTACTCTCTGGAATTCTCTACCACATGAACTAAAGTCTGCTACAGCAGTGTCTTCAGTCAGAAATCAGTGTTTCTTCTTGTCCCTACAGTGTGCTGTTTGAATGCTGTCTGTGCAGAGTTTGACTCTAAAAGGATGTTTTCACATTCATCTGCTGAAAGTGGAAAGTTTCTCTGTGCTCAGTGACAAGCTGATTTTAAGGGGCGGGCCTACCAGCATGATTTGTGACATCACAAATAGTCTGGAAGTCAGTCCTGGTCCAGTATCAACTTGTACAGTGTGATGTAGAAACTTGAAGTCACCAGTGCACATCCACTGAGAATGGACTTTACAGTGAAGTAGGAGACATCTTGTGTCCACAGCAAAACTTTAGAAATCAACAACGTTTGCATATTCAGAGATTCTGGATTTCTTAAAGAGGTAGAAGGGGGAGATGACTTTTTAAAGTGGATGTGATAATTATACTTTCTTTGTGGAAAAAACATAGACTATTTGTATATATGTAGAATCAGTATTATTGTTATTGCCTTTTTAATAATAATGCTAAAAATACCTCCTTATGGTTTAGTAGTAGTGTCGTAGTAATGTTTTTGCAGCAGGAGTAGTAGTAGTCATGGCAACAACAGCAATAGTAAGTAAAAGTAAATATTACTTTTGTAAAGAGTAATGAGTTATACATTACATGTTTTGAGTAACTAGCACATCACTGATTATTATTATTAATATTATTATTATATAGTATTATTAGTAGCAGTAGTTCTATCAGTAGTACTACTAAATGCAGCAGGAGTTGAGTAGTTTTAGTAGTAGTATCTGTAAATGCTTCATGCTCATGCTTCTGGCACCGTGTCTCCATGACGTCAGTAACTGATGATGAGGTCTCTTCAGCTGGTGGCGGTCAATACAGAAACAAACAGGAAATGGCACATGGGTAAACTAATGAGAAGTTACAAGCTCTCTCTTTCAGAGAGTCCAGAGGCCCCACTCTCTCTCACCTGACAGGTACAACAGACCTGTGTTGATACGGCCTCCTCCATATAGGAATAACATGTTCAACTTCCTCACGTGTGTCCATGTGTGCATTTTCATGCAGTTTACCCACTTTCAGTTTATTTTTCTCCTCCCCTACCTCCCTTGTGTCGTCTCCCTCTCCCCACTCTTTCACCCTCTCTAAACTCTTTGGTCTCCTTCTCATTTGCCCTCCCTCGCTTTATGTTCACTCTGTCTGATTCTCACCTTGACATCCCTTGTGGTCTTACATCCTCCTCTACCTCCAGATGCCCTCTCGCTGCAGGAATGCGCTGAACATCGTGGTCACCACCCTTTTTGCTGCGGTGGTCCTCTTCACCATCCTGCTGGCCTATGTCACAGGTGAACTTGTGAATTTCAGTAATAAAGAGAAACATGTACATGAGAATCAAGTGTTGATCATGCTTTTTATTTATTTATTTTTCCTTTAGGCTACCAGTTCATCCACACTGAGCAGCACCACCTCTCCTTTGGCCTCTATGGTGCCTTTCTCTCCCTCCACCTCTTCCTCCAGAGCCTTTTCGCCTTCCTGGAGCATCGGCGGATGAGGAGCCCCGGCCGGCCTCAGCACCTCCGTCGTTCTGTGGCCCTCTGCATCGCCGCCTACCAGGAGGACCCAGACTACCTGAGGAAGTGCCTGCGCAGCGTCCGCCGAATCTCCTTTCCTGGCCTGAAGGTGGTGCTGGTGGTGGATGGTAACCGGCCTGAGGACCGCTACATGATGGACATTTTCCAGGAGGTGATGGGTGGGGCAGACCAGGCTGGCAGTATGGTGTGGAAAGGAAACTACCACAGCGATGGCAGTGGAGGAGGTGGTGTCGGAGATGGAGGGAGGAGCACAGTGCATATGGAGGAGGCAGCGCGAGTGGCTCGGTTGGTCAGAAGCTGTCGCTACTCCTGTATCATGCAGGAGTGGGGAGGGAAAAGGGAGGTGATGTACACTGCCTTTAAAGCACTGGGGGACAGTGTGGATTATGTGCAGGTAAGGGCCACAGACACAGAAAATACTGTGCATGTACTTCTGCAGTGAAAGAGTATAAGAGAGGATTAGGACCACGAGAAAGTGAGTGTGGTTGGGTCCTCCCTAACACACCTGTACTACGATATGTTATGTGCTAAAAAAACTGAAAAGACAACCAAATTTTAAACATGGTTAAAAAGTGACATAAGTTATAATAACATTTTAGCTTAGCTAATGGTAACCAAACACTAACTAACTAGCTAGCTAATCTACAGTAATTGTTACTTAGCTAATTAGCAAGCATTTAGCTAAGATTAGCTTCTACATAGTAACGCTTTGTTTATACTAGCTATCAGATGTAACTAGTTAGCAAATCATTAATGTAGATCTGTTAGCAAGTGTTTGCTCTGTAGCAAAATGCTAGCTAACTAGGCACCTAACTAACTAGCTAACAATATATGTAGATGAGCTAGCTACTTAGCTAGTGTTCTGGTAACATTAGGTAACTTAAGATTGTGACTATATATATGTCCCTTTTATCTTTTAACCATCTTCAAAATGTGGTTGTCTTTTCTACATAAACAAGTCTAGCACATAGCATATCTAAGTACAGGAAAGGATGAAGTGTTATTGGAGAACAAAAAAAGAATCCTGTCCTGAAATTTGTCCAATAGTTGTTGAGACATTTCACTCAATGACTTTATGGTGGTGCTAGAGGAAAAGTATGGGGATGATCAATGTCAGTAGGATACGTCAGATTTAAAGGACCAGAGTGTATGATTTGATGAAAAGTAGTGGTGAAGCTGCAACCAACTCAGTACTGCTCACCTTACAAGTGTGTAGGAGAAACTACGGTGAATGCGGAAGAGGACCGCTCCTTCTGTAGATAAAAATGTCTCTTACTAAGGTAACGAAAACACAATTCTTATTTTCAGGTCATTATACACTAATGAATACATACCTAGGAATATTATATTCTATTTCTGCCAATAGATCCTCCTAAATGTTAAACACTGGACCTTTAAACCAAACAGCCAATGAAATTGTTATCATCTCAAAACCATAGAACATATAATAGTCACCCAAGTCAATTAAAAATCAACAGTAGACTTCTCACATAAAGAGTTCACTTATTTGCATTCCAAACCGATGGACGTATGTTGGACAACCAACTCAGTCTTCATATCCAGCTGTTGCATGACCTCCGCCCTGGCTGTGGGTCAGAGGTCACATCCAAAGCTGACCAAGTTCTGTGCAGTTATAATGGACCAGCTGGGATCCCTGTCTGCAGCCTCTCATTTCTCTCACGGATTGAGCATTAATACAACTCAGTGTTCTGCAACACCTGCAGCCTTAATTTGACCAATAACCAATGAGTCTGTGTGTGACCCTCAGCAATATTGTACCCTTTGTGTTTCTTGTATTTATGTTATAAAGAGTTCAGTCTAGACCTGCTCTAATTAAAAGTGTCCTGAGATAACTTCTATTATGAATTGGCGCTATACAAATAAAATTGAATTGAATTGTATCTTTTTTCAGGTGTGCGACTCGGACACAGTTTTAGACCCAGCATGTACCATAGAAATGCTGAAGATTCTTGAGGAAGATCCGATGGTGGGAGGGGTCGGTGGAGATGTGCAGGTAATATATAAAAGAACTGACAAGTATAATGACTAAATTTTTTGTTTAAAAGTCAACTTGGGCCACCTAGGGAGGTGACTGAAAGCTCACTACAAAAAGCTGTAAAAGTACAGTTAACCGTGGGGATTTTCCTTTTCTATCTTTCTCCAGATCCTTAACAAGTATGACTCGTGGATCTCCTTCCTCAGCAGCGTGCGCTACTGGATGGCCTTCAATATTGAGCGAGCCTGCCAGTCCTACTTTGGATGCGTCCAGTGTATCAGTGGCCCTCTGGGGATGTACAGGAGCTCCTTGCTCCAGCGTTTCCTGGAGCCCTGGTACCACCAGACCTTCCTAGGTTCTAAGTGCAGCTTCGGCGATGACCGCCACCTCACCAATCGGGTGCTCAGCTTCGGCTACAAGACAAAATTCACAGCGCGATCACAGTGCCAGACTGAGACGCCGACCCAGTATCTGCGTTGGCTCAACCAGCAGACTCGATGGAGCAAGTCTTACTTCCGTGAGTGGCTCTACAACGCCCTGTGGTTCCACAAGCACAGCCTCTGGATGACCTATGAGTCTGTGGTCACTGGCTTCTTCCCCTTCTTCTTGGTTGCCACGGTCATTCATCTTTTCTACCGTGGAAGGCTGTGGAACATCCTGCTCTTCTTATTGACAGTCCAGCTGGTTGGGATGGTGAAGGCCACCTACGCCTGTTTCCTGCGTGGAAGCCTGGTCATGATCTTCATGTCACTCTACTCTCTGCTCTACATGTCCAGCTTGCTACCTGCCAAAATATTTGCCTTGCTCACAATCAACAAGGCTGGATGGGGCACTTCAGGCCGCAGGAAGATCGTTGTCAACTTCATTGGTGCCGTGCCTGTCACGGTGTGGGCTATGGTGCTGCTCGGAGGTGTGGCATATACAATCTACTGTGAAACACAGGAGCCATTCAGTGAGACAGAGAAAGCCTTGTTGATAGCAGGGACGATACTCTACGCCTGCTACTGGCTCATTCTACTGGTGCTGTACCTGGCAATTGTAGCCAAACGGTGTAACAAGAGGGAAGAGCAGTATCACCTGCCATATGCGGAGGCATAAACCTGTTGCCAAACTGGGAGGACTTTTGCTCTGATGATTCTAACAAGGTCTTTGCTGACCCTGTGAACTGCTCGAGTGATGAGCTGTGAACCAGGAACACACTCACATCTTCATCACTGGTGCTAAAAAGTTGTGAATCTGAAATTGGAGCAGGATTCTAATCCAGTTGGTGGAGACTCAGAGAGATGACTGGATCCATACAGCTCTCCTATTTATATCATGCTCTATGGTGCTTCACAATGAAAACCAAACAGAACTGCTCCAGTTTATAAAGTGTTGACACAGTTGTAAGAGTGACATGCTCAGAATAACATTAGGTAGTTTATGGGTACAGGTTAGCTTTAAAACTGTGACAAAAGGTGCAGTACGGTGCTTTTTGCTTTGAATATAAAGCAGAAGATGGACAAGATAAGACTAAGAGACAAAAAGGTCTTAATGTTGGTCAGTTTTTCATGTCATTTTAATAAAGATGAGATGGGATAAAGTATGTCGGAACTGAGCTTTTATAATATATAACAATAAATAAAATAGCAAGGAAATTCTCACAAATTAGTCAAAGCACCTCTATTTCAAGAAGAGGGAAACATAACACTGGAGCGTATCCTAAAGGTGTCCAGACAGAACGCAAGGCAAATTCTAGTGGTGCAATTGCCTGCAGAGTCCGTGCAATGGGAAAATTTGTCAACTTGAGTGTAAAAGTGCGCGTTGATCTCAGCAAATCTACTTTATAAAAGTATCTAGACACAAAACACAAAGGGAGAGACAACTGAAGGAAACAGAAAGCACTGAAGTTTTTGGTGAATTCTGAAAGATCAGTCAGGGGTGACATATGCACAGCCATGCCACACACACTGTTTGTGATTAGCTAGCTACAGCTAACGTCTGTACAGTTGGTACATCAACTGTTTGTGAACAGACTGCAAAAATAGTACAGCAACATTCGGTTTGTATTCTGTTCAACACACCTTAAAGCATAGGTTAGGATCTTAGGCCTATCTTTATACTGTTATACAAGATGTTTGGTTGCTGTAACCATTCCTCCTCTCTGTGAAGAAGGTGAAGTGATGTATTTTTAATGCATCCACAATTGTAAATTATATGAAGTGTTTGCTTCATGTGTTCTTAAAAGTTATAATCAAGTATCACATTGAATGTTCCTCACTTGCATAAAGTAGCTTAGCCTCTACTTTATATTTATTTTAATCAGGGATGTCCGGAACTACAACTCGCCGCCTCTGGAAACTCACAAAAAAACGTTAAAAGCTGCAGTAGGTAGTTTTTATAAAAAGATTTTGCTGTATTTGCTGAAACTTTCACTTTATCCTGACAGTAGTACATGAGACAGATAATCTGTGAAAAAATCAGGTTCCTCTGGCCCCTCACGTTGACTTGCCACCTGAAGCGTTGCAGCATGTTTCAGAAGAGTCTCTCCGCTCTGTTCCATGGAGAATACGCGGCTGGTATATTTTTGACAGAAGCTATGTCCAGCAGCAAAGAGCAGATTGAGCTGGTAAGAAGTCAGACACAGAAACAGAATTGACAATTTGGTCAGTTTTCAAAATAAAATCCCTTTGCAGACTCCCAATAGTAAAAAGAGACAAAAAAGAAACAATTTAACCACATAAACCTGATGAGTTAGTTCAACTCAAACTGTTTGAGAAAAATGATTTAAGCACGTAACTCAAGTATTTATTGTTATGGTAACTTTGGTAAATTAAGTTAATTGTACCAATTCCATTCAGTTAATTGATGTTACACTCATATGCAGCATTTCTCCAAACAAAAAAAAGTGTTAACAGAATGTATCTGATTAAACTATAAAGCATTATAATGCTTACATTTTTATAATTATATAATATGTACAAACTGGAATTACATCTCTAGTACTTAAAATACTGCACACATTCAAGTGCACTCAAAACAAGTGAGTTGCTTTAACAATTCATTTTTGAGTGGGGTTTAATTCTTGTAAATGAGTGACTCCAATTTTTTGGAGGATTCATTTGATTCAAGATGTGTTGACAGGTTTAACAGCTCTGTAAAACCAGATAAGTTAATTTAGCAAAAAAAGTCCTGACACTTCAAAAAACGTAAAGTAAAACTAACTAAATTTTGTTGTTTTATTTGTACACAAAAACAAAATACCACCCAATATAACCAATCAATAAATCAGGAATGGTTCTGTAACTTACAAAACTATGTAACTTTTTTTTACAAGTAAAAGCTGCTTAATCAAGAATCTTTTTGAACTCACAAAATTCAGTTTGTATTACTCAAAATGTTCTATGTAATCCGTTTCAACAATCGTGAAACATGTAGTGTACTTACCCATGGCAGAAGTACATATATCAACGAAAAATGACCAAATCGACAAAATTTGAGCAGGTTGACAAAATCTAGCAGGCAAAATTGTGGAAGGCTCGTGCAGGACTGACCAAAACAGCGTTGCAGACGTGACGTCACAGAGCCATACCCAGTGGAATCAAGACCTTACAGCATAGTGATGTTAGGAAGGTTTTGCTACTCAGCCAGTATGGACAGGAGGAATGATTACGAGCGACCTAAAGCTCTTCTTAGTACATATGGGCATGTATGAAGATAGACTTAAAAAAATACAAACTTATCCTTTAAAAGTGTCTATATTATGAGAGGCTACGACTGAAAGTTAACAATATTCAGGAAATGCAGATAATATGAGAAGTTCTCTTGTCACACTACTTGTAGTGTCTTCAGGGCAGCTTGCGGGGTTACTCCTCCACTCTGAGACCAGCCCTCATGTGCCCTCATCAAACAGAACAATCATCCACGCCAGCTGTATGTTGTGGAGCAGCTATGATTTACCAGAACAGACAATCTAACATTTTTGAACATGTGTAAGTGCAGATGTACTTTTGGTGCTGTTGAGCCGTAACTTATTGTTGTGCATCATGTTCCAATTCTCAGTTTACAGTGGCCCGTAGTTTCATTCAGTGTCACTTTTATAGTTTATAAAAGGTTCCAAATCACATTTGTGTAACAGTAATGTTTTACTGCTGGACACTTTTGGACATTTGTGTCCTTTTACACTAGATGTAGCCTTTGCTTATTCATCCCATCAACAACAGCGTGAAGACTGAAGACCAAAGAGATTTCTTCTGATGTGAGAGACTTTTCATGTTTTTAAATTTTGTATGATTTTAGATCAGACAGATTCAGTTCTGGTATGTTTAGTTAATTTGCCAAGTGTGAACACCATCAGCATCTGTGCCTACAGTGACAGCTGTCTGTTTGCTTTGGCCGGTGGATGTTTCCTCTTTCTGCCATTTAAGTTTTGTTCATATTGTTTCACTGTGAGCAGGCTGTTTAAGTTGAAACTTGAAAGTTCAAAAAGTGCAGACACATTAAGAAAAAACTGTGTTTAGGCTTGGTTAGCCTCTCTGAGGGTTCACCAGCAATGCAAGAGGTCTTGTTTCTCAATCTTATGCTACTTCCATCTCTGGGCACCACAGGATATTGGAATTTTCCTAAGTCATTAAAAATGCATCCCGACACAATCCTCGCATTCATACCAAACAGAATGTGTCTGATTTAAATGACTGCATTGACATGTTCCTATGCTATCTCTTTCAATATTCTGATTATATCTTTTGTTCAGTGTTGTATGTTCACTTTAAAAAAAAGAAATACATTTTAAAAGTAATGAATTGGAGTAGAGCATCAATGTTTTAATGCAGCCTTTTTTGTAAGAGCCCACAGCCCAGTCCAGTGAACTCAAGTACTGCTTCATCTACACCACCATTTATGTTCCAGTTGGATTTAACCATTACTCATCTAAAAATTTATATAATAGGGAATGTTACTATATTTTCATACAATTGACTTTTGGTGAGATTTGCATTAATACTACAACCAGATGGAGCGGCAAAAGCTGGACGTTCCAACCATTTATCCAGTACTTCTATTTATTTCAACAGATTATTTTGGAAGCCCCGAGAGGCAAGTGAAGAAAAAAATGTGTGTGATCCATCAAAATCTGAGCTAAATTGTTTTCTCTCATTTCGTAAAGATTCAGTATGTAACATTTAGGAGGATCTATTGGCATGGAATAAAATATTTTCTTTAGTGTATAATCATCTGAAGTGTTTTTGTTACCTTAGGATGAGCCTTTTTTAATTTATAGTCTTCCATGAAGTCTGAAATGATGAGCCGGCATGTTTCTACAGAAGTCCAGAACGGACACTGTAGTTCCTCCTTCCTGCTTGGAAGGGGAGTGTGAAGCGACACAGTTGCAATCTGCAAATACACCACTGGACGCCACTAAATCCTACACACTGGACCTTTAAGAACAGGTGAAAAAAACTTTTGCCAAGGTAATCTTACTGTGTTCCTTTTTTTTTTTTTCATCTGTGGGAGAAAAAAGGCAGGTCAAAGTGTTTATTATTGTAATGAAGTTCACCACTAGCACATATGATAAGTAGGACTAAAGGTATGAATTTTTTCTTGGTGAGTCTTAGTTTTGCACCAATTAAAATACATTTCTGGACATGACATTGCTAACACGCAATAAATGTACATAGTGTTTAGAGTACATGGGAAGAGGATATATGCTAACTGTAGATTAAACTGCTCATTCTAAGGTAATGAAAACACAAATCTTATATTCAGGTGATTATACACTAATGAAAACATGCCTATGAATATCATATTCCATTTCTGCCTCCTGAAACAATTGAACAACAAACAAATTCAACATTAAAGGCCTAAAATACATGCTACTCTTGCTCTCACTTTATCTAATCAAGATAGAGAACTCCACACAGGCGGTCTTCTCTGCGTGTTCAAGGGCAGGCAGCAGAATTTCAGTACTAACCGTAAGAACGAAGAAATCAGTGTGCGTTGTGCCCCCACCACTACGGAGTGGCTACTGAGCCCAGTTCTGTTGCTCACTGACGGCAGATACACTTAGCAGCAGTTAATTAGCGGTTAGCTACAGTCATCAGAGAGAAAAGCAAAAAAATATTTTCTCCAGAAACTGCAGGATGAGTCATCATCATTTTTTCCCCTAGGAAATTAAAAACTATGGGTTGTTCAATCTAGATGGACAAGTCTTATTTGCCAACATCTGTGAACATAGTCTTATTTGATCTAAATGAAGACTACAGGACTTGATGAAAAGCTGCATTATTTTACTGCATCCACTGTATTTCATTCCAAACCGGAAAAGGACTACAGACAAATATGTTTTATTCAGTTAGTTGAGGAATGCCAGTCACTGAAAATGACTGAGCTTTGCCTTTAACAACATGGTTCTAGGGAACTTCAAAAACATGTTGCCAGCATACCCCCTCTCTCTCTCTCTCTCTGTGTGTGTGTGTGTGTGTGTGTACTTTACAGAGGCTGAATGAATTAGTCCCTTCAGTAACCCTTTTTACTTGTGGGGATACACCTCAACACGGGAACTGCCCTCATCAACACACACACACACACACACACACAGTAAATATTCTATATGTCAGAATGCTAGAACACATATTGAGTCAGATATTTTAAATGTTTATCGCCAAACTGATCTCTCACTTTGTCATGAATATGTGCAGTGCTGCTCTAAACCCGGCTTTACTAGAATCACATTCATATACAGCTGATTGACCCTTCATAAGCCCTGCCCCTTTTAGGACATCGGTCAACTTCCTCCTTTCTTGTATTAGATATACTATGTGCTAGGTTAATCTATGTTGAAAAGACAACCACATTTTGAAGACGGTTAAAAAAAGTGATATATTCATACATATAGTAAAATCTTAGCTTAGCTAATGTTAACAAAATGCTAGATAACTACCTATTGTTTTGCTAACATTAGCTATCAGATGTAACTAGCTAGATTAGCTAGAGCTTTGTTAGCATTAGCCAATTTCAGACACGATCTTAAGTTAGCTACACGCTAGCTGAGCTAGCGAATCTGAAAACCAAAGGTGAGCAAAGGTTATTAAGTTAAAGTGTATTTGCAGTATTTGGGAAGAGCACACCTCCTGTCATCATGTGCAATGCAGTCATGATAAATTACCATCTGTGTCTTTAGCATAGGTATGGATTGGAACTTCTGATCTCCAATATTCTTTAATTTAGTTTGTTTCTTCCACAGAAAAGCTGTACAGTTATTCAGTGTTCCATCTAGGATGTGATTATTATCAGTGCAAAAGCCTTTAAAACAGCATCACAGGGCTTTATGAATTTCAGCAAAACAACAGATAGAAACATCCATTCATACTTACGAGGAGCCACAAAGTCTCTCATTGGAATGAGTTCTGGTTAAAGGTTGCTAGGATGAATCAACATGATGTGTAGTAATCAATTGTACAATAAATAAATAAACTGCATCCTATCAGTTAGATGAGACTAACTTGGAATCAGATCAGTTTGGGATACGGTCACACTACACCTTCTTGGGTACATTAGTGATGATGGGTTTGGGGCGAGTCTTAAAGATGAGCTTCCGTTTGATGAGGGCGGACACAGAGTAAGAGGTGGAGGTTGGTCCTTGCTGGTTCGTTTCCATGGGTACCTGTGTGATGACACTGTTGTCGTGGCTGCCCAGGCTATCCTGTGAATGGCTGGAGTGCTTGGTGAGGACGGCAAAGGGTTTCTCCAGTTTCACCTGCTTCCCGTACAGAATGTGGTGTCCTACGATCAGTACCGGGACCCCCTAGTGGAGGGAGGGAGAAAAACAGCGGTGTAAAATAAGACTATGGGGAGGGAGGAAAGGGAAAGACACTCAAGACCCCCTACTTCTGTCTACAGGCTAATCTAAACTGACTAGTGCACTGGTTGTCAAACTGTGGTGCATATACCACTGGTGCTACACAGGCTCCCTCTAGTGGTATCTCTGAAGTTTTTTTTTTATATAAATTAATAAAAAAAAAAAAAAAAAAAAAGATATATATATATTTTATCAAAATACTACACAATTCCAAATAAAAATACTTAAACTATGAGATCGCTTAAATATAATTGATTATTAGAATTTCTAAAAGTTTTGCATTTCCTGTAATATTTAGTTTTAATATCAGCCTGCTATGTAGTCAAGTTCAAGAACTTAGTGCACACATACATCCATGATTAGTAATGAGCAGAAATGTTAAGGTAAAATGAATGGTTCAAAAACACTGTAATCGTGGCTCCAAACAGGAACCATTACGAAGAGAACCAGTAGGACCCCTTTTCCACCACATTAGCTCTGCTTTATGAACTGGTTCAATTCAGGATTCAACAGTCAACAGGAAATGTCATTAGAAATAAAGCTGCCTCCTGTGTGAACTGCCTGTAGGTAAACAGAGTCAGCCCACACTGCTTTACCTTAACGTCAGTCATAATGGTGGTACTTTTTGTTTACAACCCAAAGATAGAGTTTACGGTCATACAGGGCTAAAGGAAGGTACTTCATACAATACATATCCACAGTTTGCTCTTAGAGGCTCATATTTATATACTAATTTACAACAAACAATATAGAAAGGATAAATACTAGAGCTCAAAACGGTCAGTTGATTAATTGAGTAGATGATTGGCAAAGTGAATCTGCAGCTATTTTAATAATCAATTAATTATTACACCACAACTTCTCTGATGTGAGGATTTGCTGATTGCTTTTCTCTTCTACTATATTATTATGATAGTATTTATATCAATATCTTAGGATTTTAGACTGTTGGTTGGACTAAACATTTACAGACATCACATCTGGGAGGAGCATTTTAACATTTTCTGGGTTCCCATTCTCTTAAAAAAAATATTTTCAAAGACCTTTCCAGGACATTTTGTTGACAGTACAGCACAACACACAGACTGTCATATAATTTACAGATAGGCTTAGTTTTTCCAATTATTATTCCTCCTTTTTTAATGATGCAGGACAGTTTACTACATTTTTCTGCAAACCTTAGTGAGGGGCTAACATACAATTTAAGTTTTCCAGGACAACAAAGATTATTTCCAGGATACTTAGTCATTGTAATCCATTTCTGACTGGAAAAGCAGTCTCTAAACATGCAGGTTTTCCAGGATTCGTGGGAACCCAGATTTTATACACCAATCTATTAATTGAAAAAAAAATAATAGTCAGCATTAATCAATAATGAAAGCAGTCGTTTAAAAAAAAAGAAAAGAAAAGACAACTGTACCACATTTGTAACAATGAATTTCAGAGATGTGTTCATTGGCTGGATAGCCAGAAATATGATGCCATGATCTAACCTCTTAGTAACTGTTTTCTTTGATCAATTTTAGTGTTCTATGGCCTGTTGGTTTAGCAAACACTCTACAAGCCAGTCCACAAAGGCAAACAGTTGCAATGTTCGTTTTTCAAAGGAACAAAAACTGTTTTAATTTAATTTTACTGCATATTGCATAAAGAGTATATATTTTTCATTTATAGTCCTATATCTTCTATTATATTTTGTTAATATTCTTAGATTGTGATTCTTATAGTACTTGTACATTTGTACTATTTGCACTACATTACCCTGTGCTACTGTGTCTGACTTGAATTTCTCATACGGGGATCAATAAAGGTACATCTTATCTTATTATACCTTATCAGTGAACCAAAACACAGGCCAGCTGTGGCTGTCCTATCAGACAATGATCTAGTTCTGATTGGCCCCACAGTATCTCAAATACTCAGTTTGCATTTGTTGGCTCACCTCTTTGGTGTAGAGCAGGTCTCCCATCACATTTCCTGCCAGGCCAGAGTTGTGTCTGGTGATCACCTCTCCCTGCAGCTCCACCAGCAGCCATTCTGGAGGACTGCTGCCGTCCACGCTGCCTCTACAGGAGCACATACACAGCAGCAACTAAACACACCTGGAAACACTTCACTGTAAAGTCAAGGAATGGAAGTCAACATAAAGACAAACTATCTCAAAATATTGAATTAGAATCTCAAAATAACGTTTTCTTGACTCATTATTTTGACTGATACCAAGTCATTCTTTTGAGATAAGTAAAAATACTGTGAAAATCTCTCATTATATTGAGTTATAGAATCATTTTTTCCATCACATTGACGTTAATAAGCTTCCATGGTAAAAGTCCATAATACTGAAACGTCAAATATTTTCACTCTGAAGCCTTTTTAAAGAAAATGTGAGCGTTTACATCCCAGTTTCTGCCACAAACCTCTTTTCCATCCAAACACAGGCTTAGCTAACTAGCTACTGTTTTAGCGCTATCTCTGGGGACGTCCTTATGGTGACGTTATTAGAAACTAGCCTACCTAACGTTATATCAACCGTAAGAAATAACGTTACTAACGTTAACTACGTTAAGTTAACACGTTAATTCACCAGGCAACATTAAGCGACACTAAAGTTAGTTCACCATTCTTACCTTACGACTATTTGAACCATTGTCCTGTCGGGTAGCGCAGACCGTAGAGTGGTGTTAACATTACCTTCGTCTACGTTAAGCTGGAAGATAACCACAACCAGTATTCATGCGGTAATATTTCCCGCCAGCTGAACGTGCCTCGTCTTCTTGTTTTTGCGTGCTGTCAGCGTAATGACGTATTTCCGTTTCTTCCGGTCTGTTTCGGGAGATTCATTACCGGTTCAAATGTCCCCAACGTGGCTGCTGCTGTTTTCCAGCGTGTGGACCTAATAGCAAAGGAAGTTCAGTGACTGTGGAGGAAAGCCAACAGGTAAACCATGTTTGTAATGGCGGAAATACGGTTCAGTGACTTGTTAAACGCACAGCCTGTGTGTCTAACCTCTGAGGCTTTTACTTTAACTGCAGGTTTACAGGTTGTCTTTGCTGTTGCCTGCCCAGCTTTAATAACCTGTCTGTGTATGTGTGATTTCCCTTATAGTGATAACAATGGGTGAGTTCAAGGTGCACCGTGTTCGGTTCTTCGACTATATGCCCAGTGCTATCCGAGCCATGGCGTTTAACAGCCGCACCGAGCGACTGGCGGTGGCCCGAGCTGATGGAGCTCTGGAGATCTTCAACTTCGCTGATCACTACTTCCAAGAAAAGGTAAGGGCGAAATTCAGATCAGCTTCCCACATGCTCCACTTGTGTGAAATCATGTGCTGAATTGGGCACATTGTATACACAATGTTATTCAGTGAAGTCTCATGAGTAAGCGTCATCCTGTGTTTTGGTTGATAAAAAGCTGTGGTAATGTGAGTTTAAAGAGCCGTATAAGTCTAATGTAAGTTAGAGATTGTGCACGAACATGAGCACTTACAGCCGGAGGTAAGATGTGCAGGGATAACCTCCAGACTGGTTTTGGTTTTGATCCACAGGTCATCCCAGGACAGGACGGCAGGGCTGTTGAGGCTCTGTGTTGGGTGGGCCAGCGTCTGTTCAGTGCTGGTTTGAATGGAGAGATCACAGAGTACGACCTGGAGAACATGAGGCCCAGGTACACTGTGGAGGCCTACGGAGGACCAATCTGGACCATCAGTAGTAACAGCCAGGGAACGCTGCTAGCGGTCAGTCAAGACCTTGTGTGGATATTGTATTTACTCTGTGCTTCATGTTAAAAATCTTCCACACTGGTTATTGTTTATTGAAGTAATAAGCCTCATTTAGCCTTTAGCTCTGATTTAATAATTGAATGTTTTGTGTTCCAGGTCGGCTGTGAGGATGGGACAGTTAAGATGTTTGAACTTCTGGATGAGAGGATTCGGTTTCAAAGAAACCTCGAGAGGCAGAAAGGTAAGAGAACTAGCTGATTCAGAGGTATTTTTCTTTCTCTTTCGACACTGTTCATATTATATTTAATTGTATGTATGTGTCCTGCAACACGCTTTTTATTTGAGCTCCTTAATGTGATAAGTGTACAAAATGTAATTTTAGGATCACTTGGCAAATAAGTAAACTGATGATTATTCATTTTTGTTTTCGTCCAAGGACAAATTGTTGTGTCATTTTGGACCCTGCCTGTGACACTGTGCTTCATTTTGTTTTATGTGATTCTCTAGGTCGTATCATATCTCTGTCCTGGCATCCCTCTGGTACACTGATTGCTGCTGGCATGATGGACATGATCAGAATCTTTGATGCAGAGACAGGTAAGGAGATGCAACTTGATCCTGGAGTGATTGGCGGCAGAGCCTACCATCAGTTTTAGTTTGGTGTCTGTTAAATTTAAATTTCCTTAAATAGCCCCTAATGATGTGATTGTGACCTCTCGGTTTGCTTTTGCCGACTTCAGGCCACGCCACACACAGACTGCTGGTGGAGAGAGGCGCTGGAGCATCCAAGAGCAAAGAGGTTGTGGTTTGGAGCATCGCCTTCCTGTCTGATCACACAATCGTTAGCGGCGATTCTGCAGGGAAGGTCCAGATTTGGGACGGACTCACAGGAACTCTGGTCAAAACTCACCTGGTCACCAAATGGGATGTTCTGGCTCTGGCTGTTTCACAGGTAAGTGTTGGGATGTATTACACAGCCTCTAGACTAAAGGCAGTTCCTACAGAATCCGTGACGTTAAACTGTCTGTATGATCACCAGGATGAGAGCAGTCTGGTAGCTGGGACGTCGGAGGGCACAGTCGTCCAGTTTCAGTTCATCGCCTCCACCGTGGACCAGCAGGATAAGGAGTGGGTCCGAACTAGGACTTTTAAAAACCACTCGCATGATGTGAGGGCACTTGCCCACACCGAGACTGCTGTGGTATCTGGAGGTCAGTGTTAAATCTGCTCTTGGTGTTGGATTGATGTAAATCTTTCTGCTCCCTTTTTAAACACAAAGTAGGGTCTCAAGTCATCACACTTTAAAGTCATTTTAAAAAAAATACTTTTTTTCATATTCACTGAAACTTTCACTATATCCTGACAGTAGAACAGGAGACAGATAATCTGTGAAACAATCTGGTTCCTCTGGCTCCTCCTAGTGCTCCTAATGGTATTTGTGAGAATCCACCGGGCCTGAATGAAAACAACCAATCAGATCCAAGAAAGATTGAGTCTCATTCTGAGTCTCTCAGTCCCTGGGAATGAGACTCAACAATCTACTGTCTTCAAGCTTCCAAACCAAAGTGTCTTATATCTTCCTTGACTCTGATTGGATGTTTTTGTTCAGGCTGCACAATTATTATAGTAAAAAAAAAAAGTATTCCATCAAACCTTTTATTAAATGTGAACTTGTGAACAGGCAAGATGATGATGATGATGATGATGGTTTGTTTGTAATCCTTTCAGGTATGGACACCCAGCTGGTAGTGCGACCCCTGCTGGACAAGGTGGAGAAGAACACCCAGGAGTCAGCACTGCGCAAAATAGCTTTCCCACATGTGAGTACATATTTAATAGAAACAAAACTCACACAGATCATTAGAATATAAGAAAAGCCTTTTTAAGGCCACTGTAAAACATGACTGTTCTCATGGTGACATGCTTCCCTCGGTCTGTCTTCCATGTAGAGAAGCCTGGTTTGTTGTGCTAAGAAAGCAGGACTGCTGCTCTTCCAGTTCCCTGATCATTTAGAGCTGTGGAGAGTAGGGGAGAGCGATGGACTTGGTGAGGAAAAAAAAAACACACAAGCACACAAAAATATATATATATTGCATTATACTGCAAGAAGTGGCACACAGTAAAACTAAAGGAGATCTAATAAACAGGAAAAACAATAGTAAAATTCATCTTTATGTGACTGATCAGTTGTACAGTGTCCCCTTTGAGCCAGTCTGTACTGTGTGTTAACAGGAAAGCCTGGTGACAGTCTACCTGTGAAGAGAAATCCAGAGAAACTGATCCAGCTAAAGAGGAAGGTGTGTATCCTGGTTTAACATTATGACATCTGTATGGCTCAGTGGAAGCTTAACTCTACACGTTCAGATGTCTCCTCTGAAAACATGGCTGCGTGATGGTGATGATGATGATGATGATGATGATGAAGTTGGGGTAATTTAGCAGTACGCCTCACTGACTTAACTAATTTAAAGTGTGGAGAAAAGAAAACGAGGCATCTTCCATTTGGTTAACCTTTCAACCAGATACTGTAATTCAATTCAATTTTATTTGTATAAGTTATCTCAGGACACTTTTCACAATAGAGCAGGTCTAGACCGAATTCTTTATTATATTAATATTTATTATTATGAATTAATAATATATTAACATTATTTACAGAGACCCAACAGTACCACCATGAGCAAGCACTTGGCGACCAGTCAGTCAGTCAGTCAGTCAGTCAGTCAGTCAGTTTCTTGTCTTGTTATGCAGAATTTAGACATTATTTGCAGACATCCAGTTCCCTGTTTATTATCTGTCAGCTGGCTTTGGCTGATTTGTGGCTGTTTATTAAATGTTTGGGTTTGGATGATAGAAACTGTGCTGCCTTTCTGCAGGGAGAGGATCATATCTGCTGCAGTGCTCTGTCTCCGTGTGGAGGCTGGCTGGCATACTCTACTGTCTCCGCCGTCCGTCTCTACAGAATACAGTACAACAACATCAGCATCACCAAGGTAGGCTCCTCCACACTGATCTTCCTCCTTTTCACTCATTCTATGTATATTAGCTCCTTCTTTACAGAGACAGTGAAACCTGAGCAGCTGTTTAGAACATGAGATCAATGTAAACCAAAGTCTGTAAACATCCGCAATGTGATTTCAGTGTTACACTCCATGATGAAGCTCTCTTCTTCCTCCCTCCAGGTTTCCAAACTACCCAAGGACCTTCGCTCGGCCCACCAGCTCTGCTTCTCCTCCGACTCCTCCAAACTCTTTGCCTCCTCCAGCCATTCTTCGGTCGTCATTGTTTCCCTCAACCAGCTGGAGTGCAAACACCTCCACACTCTCAAACCCAGATCAGGTGAGTCCAGGGTCCTGACTCAGTGCTTATGGGGTTTTCTGGAATATTATATATATAAAATTATATATATAAATTTTGAGCAACACATTCCACAGAGGCAGAGTTAAGAAATGTGATTGTTTCTGTGGAAACAAGGGTCACACAACCTCACAATTTACCCCCATAGACGAACGTTAACAGTTAATTAATGGGCAGCCACTTTATTATACTACCCATGATCCTTGTCATAGTGTATAGTGTTCATTGTTGGGCAGCAACTAACAACTATTTTCATTATAGATTAATCTGTCCATCATTTTCTTTATTGTTTTTCTTTTCTTTTCTAAAACCGAAGCTGACGTCCTCAAATGCCTTGTTTTGTCCTCAACCCAAAGTTACTCATTTTACTGTCATACAGGTCATACATTTTTCACCAATACAACGACACAACATTACTCTGGAGCATGGCTTAGCCTAGCGGTCAAAAAGCTATTTGTGTTCCTCCGTCCAGCAACACCTGTTCCCCAAATGAAGGTTCAGACCTAAAAGTGATCTGAAGCATGAATGTGACACCTGCTGGACCAATTTGGTGCTGCATACACTTAGACATGGCCAATGCCGTCTCTTGACCTCCAGTTTAACGTTAGAACTGCAGCCTTTATTTGTCGGGGTATAAAGTGTCTTTGTGTGGTGACGTCCAGGCTCCAGACAGCCGGTGCACCTGCTGTTTGCCAGCGAGGACGGAAAATGGCTCGCTGCAGCAAACGCAGACTGTGAGATCCACGTCTACAACCTTCACAAGCTAAAGGTGAGTCTTTTCCTCCTCTGTCCATGTCATTTCTTCATAGTTCTTGATAAGTGAAATCTAAACTACTTACGTCTCTGTGTGTGCCTGCAGCTTCACTGTACAGTTCCAGTGCACAGCTCCTGTCCCACCGCCATAGCCATCCACCCAGTGACCAGCAACCTCGTCGTGGTGCACGCTGACCAGCAGGTAAACCGTTTTTTCCTACCAATAAATGACACGTTTCTCAAAGATAGTATTGAGATCTGGTTTCAGTGTGTGTTTTCTGTTTGTGTGTGTGTGTGTGCTGCAGATCTTTGAGTACTCCTTGATGCAGAAAGAATACACAGAGTGGAGTCGGAAACTGCAGAAACAAGGGCTGCACTCTCTGTGGTTGGAGAGGGACACGCCCGTCACCCACATCAGCTACAGTCCCAAAAACCCAGCTCACATCTTTCTGCACGATATGTTCATGTTCTGCATCATCGACCAGAGTCTGGTACGTGACCCGTCACCTGTCCACCATGTTGGTACAAAGCCTCCTCCTGTGCCACGTGCATTTCAGATAACGGTGGAGATTAAATACAACTACAGCTTTGTTTCCACATGCAGCCCCTTCCTGAAGCAAAGACTATGCTCTACAATCAGATGACACTGAGGAGTCTTCCCGAGCCGGAGAGGATCAGACACAGCCACGCCTTTAAGATATGCAAGAATTTCCAGGTACCATTATGACACTGAGCACTGCCTCTATGGTAAATGGACCTGTACTTGTATAGAGCCTTTCTAGTCTTCCCCAATCAGAGCTTACACTGACGGCCACAGTCCCCTTTCCCAACATTCACTCAGTGATGGCAAAGTCCACGAACAGGATACATCACACAGCCACGCTTCTGGATTAAGTATCTTGCTCAAGGATACTATTTCCAGGAGCCGGGGATCGAGCCCACAACCTTCCGATTAAGTGACACTGAGCCACTGCCCCCTGTGTCTATGTGAGGAGAGACCCAGGAAGTCAAGTTTGAGTAATTAATAAACTCAGTAGTGAATTGTTGTTGTCTAGCAGGAAAACTTTAGAAATGAACAACGTTTGCATATTCTGAGATTCTGGAATTTTTAATGAGGTAGAAACTAGAGATGACTTTTTAAGGATTTTAATGTGGAATGTGATATTCTGTCCCACAGCACCTCCTGTGTGTGAGTTTACTGGAGGACCATTCGCTGGTTGTGGTGGAGCGCCCCCTGTTGGACATCATGTCTCAGCTGCCTGCACCTGTCCGACAGAAGAAGTTTGCCACATAAACAAACTGAAGCGAGTTTCCTTGACCTGTTTGAGCCCTTAATTCACTGTAGCCAAAGTCATTTTCAACAAATGTTAACGTGTCTCCACTTTGTAAAGACTGCTTTGATAGAGTAATAAATAGAACTATTTACTGTCATTCTTGTTTGACTGAGAAATGTTGATTGTGTGAACAAATTTAATACATTTGAATGATTTCTCTGTTTTAAATGTCATATTAATGAGTAATATCTATGAAGATCCATGTGTATAATGTTTTTCATAACTGACTTTTTTGCTTCTAGCTAGGGAGATAGGTCATAGCTCATTTTTGTGCAGCCCCCTTGACATTTAACACAATGTTTCTATAATTACATCTGTTTGCACAAATTTGAACAAACTTGTTATTTTTTTTTACATTTAAATACATTTATGGTGGAATTTTCAAAGACTCAAATGAATTGATAAACAAGTAGAATCTCTGGACCTTTTTGATGCCAGAGTCAGGAGCTGCCCTCTGACACACCTGCTCAGTCATGTGACCAGTGTTACAGCTGCTGTTCAGACAGTAGAGAGCACTGCTGAGCTGCACTAATACTATCATACCAATGACTGGGTATATTTTCAGATTTTATGGTCAAAAGTTTTGGACATTTAATTCATCTTGGGAGTCAGTCATGTTCAAACAGGTAACAAATTATAAGAAAGAGACTTAAAGCCCCCCTCCAGTCAGAAATCAGTGTTTCTTCTTGTTCCTACAGTGTGCTGTTTGAATGCTGTCTGTACAGAGTTTGACACTAGAAGGATGTTTTCACATTCATCTGCTGAAAACATTGGATTTTAACAGGCTTAGAGTGTGATACACACACTACACCTACACACAAGGTTGCTGCATTGTACAGCTACACCAAATCCTGAATAAAGCTAATGAAAGGAACACCCGCTCCTTTGCCCAGCTAGCTACCAAACTAAACCCCCACTCACACCAGTGAAGCTGGGATTTGTGCAGATGGAAATCCAGCCTTATGTGTTCCAATATCAGCTGTGAATACAGAAACACACTGAGAATTTGTTTTCTTTAAAATCCAAGGTTTCTTTATTTTGCTTCAAAGAAGCTCTTACACTTAAGTCCCACTGGGACAAATCTACAAGATATCCAACATAAGATAAATACAAAAAGTCTTCCTCATCCACTCATGAGCATTCTAAAGCTTTCAAATGCTCAAACATTTCAAATGCAAAACAGACCAAATAAATAGATAATTATAATATTATTAGCAGTTAAATTATTATTTTACAAAACTATACAATAGCTATTTTCTTCGATGACAAAGCCATCAGTATGAAAAGAAGTACGTGATAAAATACCTGCACTATGCAGAGACCTATAAAACACACATCATAAATTATTATAATGTCATTGTGACAATAAATAGGCCTACAAAAAAGGCTGATGTGAATATGACTTTTGAAGCCCTCATACAAAATCCCAAGGGTATCGGATGTGGGTGCCCAGCTGGACCAGCGAGCCCACTGAGCCACCCTGTAGCACTCCACACCCCTGAGTTAAGACTTTTTTTTCCAGAGAACTTGGTGCATTTTAAAACAAACACAACATTAACTGTAGTTGACTCTGACGCAGGTACAGCCCACAGCTACTTCCACATTAACCGGCTTCAGCTGGTATCTCTTCACGTCGTCATTCCCGCTGCAGAGCTCCCTCTTGAGAAACACCCTTTTCTGCGTTAAGGGGACTGAGTTGTAGCTGAGGCTGTGTTCCGGGAGCTGCGAGTTGTCCTGGAAGAGGATGCATCCGGAACACAGGCACTGAGCCTCGGCATAAGTGGTGGGAAAGTGGTCCTCCTTTGTTACGTGTCTGGAAAGGAACAAGATGGTTACAGGTGAACAGCTGATCCAGAGACAGAGAGGAGACATCCAGTAAAATGACGCTTCCCTGAAATTGCATTTTCTACACCAATAAATAAAAGAAATCTGAATAATTATTATCAGAGGAAAATGGGTTTTTTTGTCCCGTGTGACTGTGCTGCAGTATGATACAGTATAGAGTATATTCTCTTAAAACTTTCACTATATCCTGACAGTAGAACATGAGACAGATAATGTGTGAAACAATCAGGTTCCTCTGGCTCCTCCTAGTGCTCCTAATGGCATTTACAAGAATCCACGGCCTGAACGAAAACAACCAATCAGAGCCGAGAAAGACAGAAAGACACTTTGGGTTGGAAACTTGAAGATAGCTGATTGTTGAGTCTCAGCATCTATTGTTCTCGGCTCTGATTGGTTGTGAGCTGTGTGCGTTTAATTGAGACTTGAGGTGACAGGCAACAATGCACATTACAGATTATGATCAGCATACTGGAGGGCAAAAATCTAGTAAAGGCAACTAAGGACTTTAATCACAAACTTTGTTTTGCTAGTCTAAATCTAAAGCTGTTCAGTCCTAATGCTGAGACAAAGAGTTAGGAGGAGGACTCTGGAGCATTACTGTAACTTTTAGAAAGCTTAGAGTAACTGCAAGTAATCAGGAAACAAAAGAAAATTCCAGTTACCTACAGTTAATAATGTGCTACAGATTAGAGATAACACATTTCACTGAAATGCACTGAGAAGCAATTCCTGTGTTTCCCAGTGGATATGTGCCAACAAAGCTGCGCTCACTGCCTGCTGGGGGGACTTTCCCTACCCTGGAGTCGGCCCCAGCACTAATTAATATGAATATTAATGCATCATGAGGCATCTGGGGTCTGTGCAAATATACATTTTCGCCTAAAGGGTTATTGTATCATTTGGCTGTAGCCTGATGGCGCTGATTGTTTATGGCTGTAGCGTTCCCTCGCATGCATTTGTCCCCACATATCTTTAAAAATGTAGGCTACTTAATAGAATTCAAATGATGTTTTCAATGATCCATGGATGATGGATTGTTTATGGCAGCGCAGTGTCCACACTGTAATGTTGTCTAAATATAAGGAAAGGTTGGACAAAGTTCAATGACACAATCTCATACACTCATTCTCCCATCACTCCCACAATTCCCAAGTCAATCTTAAACTGGGACTCCTTGTGATGGCATGGGATGACAGCCTCCACCCATAAAAAATACCTGGCAGCTCAGTTTGGTGTCAAATTTAACAGAATAATGTTAAACATGTATATAACAATATATTTGGAAATAAAACAATGTACTGGTTTCTTTAGATATTTGTATTCAGTGCTTTACTAATAATGTTTCTCAGTTCAAATAACTTCATTTGGGAGCTTTTACAATCACACAGTGATATATGTGTATATATATAGTGATATATGTGTTTGAGATTAAATATATAAGATATTTCTGCCACACATCATGGGTATCCCTCTAGATCCGCCCCTGCTCGTTCTTTATTCCTGCTGTAAACAGTAAGAAAAGCCCCAGGAGGGTACTCACATGTATCTCCAGGGGGAGAGGGACCTGCCGCTGTACTCCCGGGGGGGCGGCTGTGTTTGGTACAGCTCCACCGGGCAGGAGGCAGGTGAGCCGGATGTGACGGTGGTTGAGGGGTCCGCGGGCTGCGGGTAGCGATTCTGTAACTTCCGCTCTGCTGCCCCGGCCAGCTCGCGCTCTTCATAACACCTGGACGTCCACACGGGCACGAGGAAAAGTCCAAAGATGAGAATCTGTGGAAGGGACAGACAGACAGACACACACACACACACACACACACATACAGGCGTCAGCTGGAGCGATGGAGGCGGCAGAGAGAGCAGCCTGTCCCGTCCTGTCTGTGTCTCACTGACCTGTTTCATGTCCATCATCCTGTCTGTCTCTGCGTCCTCGCGCTGACCGGTAGTGAGGGGATCTGCTTTGCTGTGACTGTCCATCGTTCTGTCTGATAGCTCTATTTATCAGTGCACCTGGGAAAAACCGGGCGGCATGAGTAAATGGAAATGCTAGGCGATTTAGTTCCTCAACTTCCTCTTTCCTAAGTGAGAGTAGCCTCCGGCAGAGAGGCAGGTGTGAGGGAGGGAGGCAGGGCTGCACGCGCCGTCACAGGAATGCATCAGCCCAGGGATTTTCTCACACACACACACACACACACACACACACACACACACTTGTGTATAGACAGGCTGAGCCCGCTGACGACACACAGGAAAGATGCTGTCAGACAAACAACTGGAGGCTGTTGCTGCGGGGACACCACAGTCTGAAGTGTCCTCTTCACATTCATGATGCAATAGTAACTCAGAGGCAGTCTCAGAGTCATTCAGTTGCTTCATGTGTATGTTTAATGTGTGTATAACTGGAAATGTATGAGATCACAGACACAATTATTCTAAACTTAAAGGACCAGTGTGTAGGCTTCAGCAGCACTGAGCAGTGAGGTTGCAGATTACAACCCCCTCGCCTGACCCTCGTGTTCCAACCTAGTAGGATAAAGTACAGTGGCAACAAAGCTCGGCTATCTAGAGCCAGTGTTTGATATGTCCATAAGAGGACCCACTTCCTGTGTCAGTGACAGCTCATTCTAAACAAAAACACAAAAATTCTTATAATCTTTGTGATTATACACTAATGAAACATACCTATGAATATTAGATTCCATTTCTGACAATAGATCCTCCTCAATGTTACACACTGGACCTTTAAGTTTCTTCTGAAACTTTCTATCTTCAGGGGCGGATCTAGAAAAAAAAATGTCTGGCCACCCCAGTTTGGTATGCTAATACTAATTTAACACATTAATTTAGATACATTTTTATAATTACATGTTAAAAACAAACATTGGTTTTTGGAGTACCATTTTGAAGACCCAAGTTTGGCGTTATGGTCGTTGTCATCTTCATATCTGATCAGCACTGCCTAGATTGACAGTGTGATCTGAGTTTGGTGCGTTGAGCTGGACAAACTCACTGAGAATGACCTGTCAATCACAAGGTAGCCACGCCCTAAAGCATATCCTGCTTTATGGTCTATTTTACTCTAAATGGGACCATCAGTTACTAAATGAACATCATGCTGTATGGAAGAAGACTGAAACTAGAGATTGAGACTATAAACTCATTAGGAAACTGTTTACTGAGATAATAAATGTGAGAAGTCTGCTTATTTCTCCATAAGGCTCAATACTATCGGACTTTTTCTTTTTGCAACTAATGCAGCTGCCCCCTGCTGGCCATTACATAGGATGCATTTTTAGGACACTTCCACGTTGGCTTCACTTCAGAGACCCGGAAGCTCTGTGCATTGTACTGTCAGTGGTTTAAAACATTTTAGACTAGGGGATAGGCTTAATTTCATTAAAATAAAAAGTATTTGGAAGACATTTTTTTGAGTTGAGTTAAGGAGTTCGGTCTAGACCTGCTCTATTTGAAAAGTGTCCTGAGATAACTTCTGTTATGAATTGGCGCTATACAAATAAAATTGAATTGAATTTAGTTCAAATATCTTCATTTGCAGGCTTTTCCAAGCTATGTGATTGTTTGTGATTAAATCAGACCAGCCACCCCCTGACCATCCCATGAATATTCCTCTCGATCCGCCCCCGTCTATCTTACCTTTTACCCACCATGGTTTTATCCATCATTTTTATTTATTGTTATGTTGTACTGTGTTTGATGCTTATTGCTTATTGTAGAAGTGTCAAACCAGAACCCCACCTAAGGGTCCCATTGCATTTCCATCCCTGATTAGTCCACTAGACAAAGAAAGTAGTAAAATAAGTAAGAAATGACACATATTGTTCAAACTGCACTTTTACTTCAGGCATCTCAGACTGTTCATCGTCTTAGTGTTTTTATGATTAACAGCATTAGCACTTTGTCGACCAGGTTTTGAAAGGTGTAATACAAATAAAGTTTATTATTATTCATTTATCACTTTATTCTGTTATTTATATGTGTGGGTGTGGGTGTGAGTGTGAGTGTCCATTGAGGATTAAGCATGTACTGATTAAGGCTGAAGTTTCCATCACTACAACGTTCCCTGTAGTGATAAAATTGTGTGTGTAGTATGTTACATCACATTAATGGACTCATATTGGAATATACCTTATATTCTCATACATTTGTAAGACAAATATTATTGTTTGTGTGTTTATTCATTTATTTACCTGTTTATTTCAGGGCTTTGACACTTTTATGTGAAATTTTTTTCCCGATTTTATTATTTATTCAGCAAATTCAGCTGTTCCTTTTTTGCATATATTTGAGAATATTTGTTTGTGTTTATTCAGAACACTCAGAAATTAAATTAAAGCTACAAATGTTTGTTTATTTGTGAACGTTGAGGTATACTCATGCAGTACAATGTGGTTACAACCTTAGAGAGAACATAATGAATGACATGGAAACATAAAAAGAGGAACAAACGTGAGTTCAAAACAAAAAGGTTGCAGCTTTCTGTTTCTTTTACACGGACACTGTGTTTTACCTTGCATAGACTTTTCTTTTTTATAAATAGTCAGACTCAGCAATTAAAATGCAAAAACATCCAGACAAAACTCCTCTTCCAGCCTCAGAGGGTGGTGTTAACCTGAGCTGAATTGTTCAGAGAAATCCCAGCAGCTTCGATGAGGTAATGCTTGTTTGAATACAGCGCTGTAACAGGGGCAGAGATACAAAAATAGCTTTGGATTTGTTATTACTTTTAATCTCCTGTGGTTATTCTGTCAAGAGAATGTCCAGGTTTGTATGGCTGGCCCAGTGACACCGCCAAGCCTCCTGTGATAGAGATAAGGTGACAGCTATTTTTAGCAAACCTTTGTGGCTGCAGCATAATGGCAAAGAGGCGTAAGAAAAAGGCTTAAGAAAGTCTCCTTTGTAATGGGAAATGGACCTGTACTTGTATAGTACCTTTTGTAGTCTTCCGACCACAAGTGCTTTTACACTACGTGCCACATTCACCCTTTCACACACATTCACACAGTGATGGCAAAGCCCATGGAACAGAAACTAACTCATTCATACACATTCACACACCAATTCAGGGTTCAGTATCTTGCTCAAGGATACTTTGACATGTGGCAGGAGGAGTTGGGGATCGAACCAACAACCTTCCGATTAGGGGCTGTGCCTCTGAGCCACAGTCGCCTTTGTATAAATTCTACTGTCATAGCTGATTGTTCCTTTACTGTTTTGACCCAACATTAAACGCTTGTAACACACACACACACACACACACACACACACACACACACACACACACTGTCTTTCTTTCAATTTGCAATTCAATTCATTCTTATGGGTGCCATGATTTTTTGTGTTTTCCTTTTTCGATATCCAGTTCGTGGTCACTGAGCCTGTCCTTGGTGAGGATCTGTCTCTGCTTTCTATGTCTGACAGTACAGAGATATTCTGACCATTCATAATCTCTCTTTAGGGTCAGATAACATTCTAATCAACCTGGCTTTTAGTCTCTTATTCTTTCAAATGTTCCAAATAAGTTTCTTTACATTGCTTTATAATTTGGTTTACTTGGTTACCTGGTTTAATTGGTGTTTGTGAAACTGGTGAGAGTGTGTCTGAGAGGGGGTAGTTAGTCATAGCTAACTATGAGAAAATTGTATCATGAACCCAGTATTGTGTTTCATCCCTATTTCTGAATTGGACGTAAATCGTTAGCTGCAGAATTGTCCAATATGAACATAATTCCTAGGGATACTGGGCTGTGTTAAACTTTCAGCAGAGTCAAAATCAGTTGCCCCGACATTCCTTGCTATGGTGTTCTCCTTGGACAACTTTCAGTCAACTTTCTCCTTTCCTATGCTGTTATGCTCATCTATGTTGAAGAGAACCAAATTTCAAAGATTGTTAAAAGATAAAGCGACATATAGTCACATGTAGCAAGCCAAACACAGGCTTTACATTTATATAAAATTATAAAATTTGAAAATATCTGTTCAGTATTATTTTAATGTTAAACTTGTTTTATCTTTTAGCTCAGACTGTTTTATGGGATTTATGGCAGCACCAGTTATTTACTTATCAATTTGAACTACAAAATACGTTGTTTGTAAACCGTTACTGTTCCAAAATGAAACCCCTTTTCTGATCTGGCAAGGAAGCTTTAGCCTCAAACATAATTAAAATTAGGGGAATTTTTTTTTTGAGTCATTATTTTGTCAGAGGGGATCTTCCTCATTGTATTTAAAATAATATTTTTTTGTCTTTTTGGGTGACACATCCAACCACCGCAACTTTCTCCTGTGGACTGCAGGGCTTTGTCGGTTGAACAGGAATCAATGCAATCTTTTGGCCATTTGCTGAAGCGACTGATGCTGTCCCTCCCATTCTCTGCTCTTCTCACCTTTTCAAGATTAGTTTACTGCCATTTCCTCCCTTGCCCTGGCTCCTTTCTGCATCCATATTTCTCACAAATGCTTGTTCAAAATTAAAATTCTTCAGTCAGAGATTGTCAAACCCAAATGTCACCCTTGACTGGAACCAGCTCTGTCAGAAATGTTTGCTGTAGAATTTTACATTTTATGCACCCTCCATCGGCGTATGCTTATGTAAAAAGTCTCGGGTTCTCTCAGCACACAAACCCGCAACACAAGTTAATAATCCAAACCACTTTATTTATTTCTCCACCACACACACTATTTACAACACTTAGCCTGCTTCAAAAGTCCATGAAGGTTTTCTCCAGTTGTCCTTTCTGTTGTGTGTGGCCCAGGTCCAGCACACTACTGCATTAAGAGAGGTGAGTGTGATTACTCAATGTAAATCAGATTGCTCCTCCAACAACTCCTGAGAAAAACATCTGGTTCTTAGCTGCTACGTGCTCTGTATGTTCACCAGTTCTACTTTCTGATATGCACCCTTTTAATTTAATTCAATTTCAATTCAATTTTATTTGTATAGTGCCAATTCATAACAGAAGTTATCTCAGGACACTTTTCAAATAGAGCAGGTCTAGACCAAACTCTTTAAAACATTATTTACAGAGACCCAACAGTACCACCATGAGCAAGCACTTGGCGACAAGGGCAAGGAAAAACTGCCTGTTAAAAGGCAG